AAGAGGAGAAAGCCGTGACTCGGGGTGCACAGAGGAACACAAAAGCGAACTGCATGAGTGACTACAGCCTAGAGTAGAAAACAGAGTGACAATGCCCAGTAGGAAGGCAGGCAGGATTCAACATTTACACACAAAACATGACAGAAGCAAAACAGATCTCAGAAATGACTCACTGTCCCTCCCCCATATCCAGTGGATTCCAATAATGCAGACACTGGAAGAAATTACTCATTCAAAAAAACAGAGGAAATTTTTTGAATTCTTTTTAAAAATTTTTTTCTTAATTGAATTTTGGGACCATGGGGTTATTTTTCTCTCTTTTTTCCCTTTATTTGTTCTTTTTCTTTACTTTGCTCTTGTTTTTCTTGTATGTCATGTTTTGTTACTTTTACTTAATTCTATTGATTTCTTTTTAGTTCTGAATAGTTTTCATCATCTCACTTTTTTCTCCTTCTCATCTTCCTTTTTATTTTGTTTTTCTTCAATTTATTTTTTGGTACTGGAAATCAAACTCATGACCTTGTGCTTACCCGGCAGGCACTGTGCTGTTTAGCTATATCCCCAACCTCTTTTTGTTATTTTTAAAATTTTACTTCTTTCATTCTCCCTTTCCCCACCTCCCCTTTTTACTAGTATTACTATAGAATCTTTTCTACTGTTAATGATGGTATAATTGTTGTATTTAGCAGATACTCTATGTCAATATTTGGTTTTGTGTGTGTGGTACTGGGGACTGAACGCATGACCTTGCACTTGCCAGGCAGGTGCTTATGCCACTGAGCTAAATCCCTGGCCCTTGGTGTGTCTTTGTGTGTATAATTATAGGTCTCATTTCTATGATTAAGTGTGGTACAGTGGTTAGCTTTTATTGGTTCTCATGGTATGTCAATATCTAGATATCCTTGACACTATTATTGTTGCTGCTACCAGGATACCATAGTTGTTACTATTAATTTTTTTTTTTTTTTACTGTACCCAGTATCTTGTTTATGTCATCAACAATACTGTGGTTCATTCCAGAGAAATGCTGCACCAATTACACTGCACCCTTTCCTCCCAAGTGAATGGAGATGGCTGGACCTTGGAACAGACGTAAAGGCCTATAGTTAGCCATACCCAGAGTGCATTACTGAAAAGCAGACACTAACTAAAGAGATCTCCATCACTGCAACAAAGTTTTTCCACCATAATTAACCTGCAACCCTTGGTGCACAAAATAGAAACACGAGAAAGCCAAGCAACAAAACACCTCTGAAAACTCCCAAGACTCCCAAAGCTGACCCGAGAAGTATAAATGGGGAGGAAATAAAAAATATATATGATAAAAGACAAGATTAAAAACAAACCAATCATGGCCAGGGATTTAGTTCAGCAGCATCAGCACCTGCCTGGTAAGTGCAAGGTCATGAGTTCAATCCCTGATACAAAAAAAAAAAAAAAAAAAAAAAAAGAGCCTCCCCAAATAAAATACCCAATCAAAAATTGGGCAAGTAAAATATGTAGTCACGGAAGAAGTACAAATAGCCAACAGACAGATGAAGAAATGCTCAGCATCACTCACTGGCCATTGCAGAAGTAAAAACTTAAAACAACACCGAGATTCCATTACTCCAGAAAGAATGGCACATGCCCGTAATCCCAGTACTCGGAAGGCGGAGGCTGGAGGACTGTTGCAAATTCGAGACCAGCCTAGGCTACAAAGTGAGTGCATTGCCACCCTGAACTGCATAGTGAGACCAAGTCTCAAAAAGTCAAGAAGATGGGGAAGGGGAAGAGGAAGGGGAGGAGAAGGAAGGAGAAAGAGGAAGAGGGAGAAGAAATGAAGAATGGCTGTCATCGGGGCTGGGGATTTAGCTCAGTGGCATAAGCACCTGCCTTGCAAGCAGGCGGTCGTGAGTTTGATCCCCGGTACCGATAAAAATGAAAAAGACAAAAAAAAAAAAAAAAAAAAGAATGGCTGTCATCAAGCTGACAAGGCTTGAGGAAAAGGAACCTTTTATCCTCCTCTATTGTCAGTAAGAATATAAACTACTACAAGCACACTGGAAATCAGTATGAAAATTTTTCAAAAAAATTAAAATAGGAATTCTACTCTACCTACTTATTTATTCCCCTTCTAGGTAGCTTCCCAAGAGTTAAAGAGATATACAGTGATATATATGAATACCCATATTTATAGCAGCACAACTCACCTAAATCTTGGAAACATTCTATTTGCCTAACAACAATGAATAGATAAAGAAAAAGTGATATTTATATATAGTGGAGTACTACTCTGTCATAAAGAAAGATAAACTTGAGGCATTCGTAGATAAATGGATGTACCTTGAGTGAAATAAATCAGACGCATAAGCTTAAATACTATATAGTTTCTCTTAATGGGAAACTCAAAATACTGTAATATAAATAAAGAGCAAAAAATAAAAAAATTAGGAAATAGGGAGGTTTTTTACAAATGGGAGGAGGAATGAGATGTGGAGCAAGAGGGAAGAAAAGGAGGGAAGAATATTTTAAAAAAGAATTTAAGAAAGAAAATGGAAATAGAGCTTTTGCAAATAGAAAGGGGAACCAGAGTTGGAAGAAGCAGGAAGGCATGAGATGAGTGGGAGATGAAAAAAGCATGAAGATGTGTTTTATAGATGTTTCAACTCCCCACAATAAATATAATCATTCTTCGCTGCCAATATATAGGAATAAAGAAAATTTTAAAACACCACTGTGATCCCATCTGACTGCAGAAAGAATGGCTACCATCAAGAAACCAAATAATAAGAAATGCTAGCAAGTGGGTGGGAAAACAGGAACCCATCTACCTTGTAACTGTAAATTAGTACATTCACACTGAAAATCAGTACGCAGATTACTCAGAAAACTAAAAACAGAAATTCCATTGATTCAGCTATTCCCCTTCTAGGTATCTTCCTAAAACAGATAAAGTCGTAACATGTGATACAAGCATACTCATATTTAGAGCAGCACAATTCATAATAGCTAAATTTTGGAACCGACCTATGTATATCAACAGGTGAATGGGTAAAGAAAATGTAACATTTATAAGCAACAGAGAACTACTCTGCCATAAAGAAGGATAAATCTGAGTCACTTGGAAGAAAATGGGTGTACCTGTAGGCCATAATGTTAAGTGAAATAAATCACCCACAAGCTTAAATATCATATTCTTTCTATTATATGAGAAACCAAAAGTATAAATAAACCAATGAGCAAAATAAAAGATAGACAGCAAGGGATTGGGAGACAGATCTTTTGCAAATGGGAGGGGATAAAAAAAGGGAGGGAAGATGGAGCGAAGAGGAAGGGGATGCAAAAATAATTTTAAAAAATTTAAACCTTTTTCAAACTTCTCCTTCCCCTAAAAAAAGTACTTTAAAAAAACTGCATGTTTATGGAAAGAGAAAATGCCAAAATGGGCCTTGGTTGCATCATTTTTTTTAAGTATAAGATTTAGTTTGGTAATCTTAGAAAAGTGTTTTTCTTTTATTTAAAACCTAAACAAGGACCAAGGATATAGCTCAGCAGCACAGCATCTGTGTGCCAAGTGGGAGGTCCTGAGTTTGGTTTCCAGTATGAAAAGAAAAAAAAAAAAACATAAATTGCTGGACTTGTTTACACAAGCCTATAATCCCAGCACTAAGATTGAAGAAGGAGGCTCTTGAGTTTGAGGCCTGCTAGGGATACATAGCAAGTTCAAGGCTAGCCTGGATCACACAGTAAGATTGTCTCAAAAATCAAGAACACCCACTGATACAGCTCAGTGGTACAAGTGCCTCTTTGGCAACCACAAGCTTCTGAGTTCGATTCCCGGCACCAAAAAAATAACAAAACAAACCTTAGGGCCAGGGATATAGCTTAGCCATACAGCACCTGTCTGGCAAGCGCAAAGTCATAAGTTGGATCTCCAGTACCAAAACACACACACCAAAAAAAAAAAAAAACAAAAAAAACCCCACCAAGAACAACAAAAACCCTAAAGGGAGGGGGAAAGAAACAACTAAAGACATAAATACCACGCTTTCCCAGAAAGCCTGCATCTTAGTTAAACCACATAATTCACTCAGAATATGTAGCTGGGAATCTTCAATTTTCAGAATGTGATTCAACTGGATACAGGTCTTTAAAGTAAGTTAAAATGAGGCACGTAGGATAGGCCCCCAAGCTAACATGCCCAGTGACATGAGAGACACACCAGACAATCACGTGAAAGGGCAGCAAGAGGGGCAGCCACCTTTCACTTGAAGAAACCAACCTTGCCAGCACTTTGATCTTAGACTTGCAGCATCTAGAATTATAAAAAAAATAAACTTCTGTGGCTTAAGCCCCTATCTATAGCATTTTGTGATAGCAGCCCTAGAAAACTAATTCACAAGGTCCAACTCCTTGGAGTCATGAAAAAAAAGCAAAAATCTATGAACAGGAATGTATTCAGAGCAAAAATGCACCTCAGTGTCTTCATATAGGAAAGGAGAAATCATAAAACTTTAGATAAAGAAGACGTGGATCTGACTGCCCACTCAGCTGCATGATGATGGTATGATCCACTATTTTGGCTTCCTATGTTCTTATCTGTAGGACACAGTGATTTCTACATCTTATAAAGTGTTCAGAGGATTAAATCAAGGATGAAAAACCAGATGGCAGAGGCAGGTATAGACAATGTTACTAGCATGTTAGCTGAATCTATCTACAGTCAAAAGCATATAATGTAGGAGATACATTCTTAAACTCAGCATTTATTAAAAATTTATTGGAATGCTACTTTACAAAGCATTACTTGCAAACTGATTGGCATGAACCAGTCCATCAGTTCTTGGTAACCCTAACCTAACAGAAAAACCCAACAACTAAATTCTGAGCTAGGTATGACTGAACCAACCCTACAGCCTTTCACTGCAGAATGAGTCATTTGTACTTTCAAAAGAAAGAAAAACTAGTTCAGGGATATTTCAGGAATCAAAAATTTAACACTCTGACTTATAACTTACCCCGACTGTTCCAGTTTTTAATTTGAATTTGCTTCCACCTTTCATGGCACCAAAAAGAGGCAACGTAAGCTTCTTAGCTTTGTTTCCTGAATCTGCAGTCTGACTTTCGGTCCTAAAAAAAAGGAACAATTATACATATCTATTCAGCCCAAAATTTTATCTAAAAATATGATACTAACAAAGAAACTTCTAGCAAGCCAAAATTTACCACCAAATGAGTATCTGAGCACACAACAATATGAGGTATTCAGTCAGGCATGATAGTGCACACTTGTAATCCCAGCCATGTGGGAGACTGAGGCAGGAGAATCACAAGTTTCAGCCATCAGAGCAACTTACTGAGACCCTATATCAACATAAAATTTAAAAAGGAGGGTATTTGTAGTTCAATGGTACAGCTTTTGTCTTGCATCTATGAAACCCTGGGTTTAATCTCCAACACCACACAGAAAAAGAAAGCAAGAAAGCAAAGCAAAGCAATAAATCACACCCTGACTGACAGGCTTTGTAATTTTGTTGTGTTTTTTTTCTTTCTTTTTATCTATGAATAAAATGGATTTACAAAAAAAAAGAAGTCACGAATGTAGCTATGAAGGATGAGAGGATACTGTTCCCTTAGTCTAGTAATCAGAAATATGTTGCACGACTTCACGTTTATAAAATGATGACTATAGCACAAAGAGCACTGATGAAGGAGAATATGTAAGTAAGATTCCCATCTCTCATAAGCAGCAGGAAACAGATCCATAACACAAAGCTCTGTTGCCCACCAATCTCTAAGGGGTGCCTTACTTACCTGGAGTTCACACTTAAAACCAGGCTCAATAACTCTGAATACAGAAAAAATCTAAAAAAGTATGTGCATGGGGAGAGAACAGTACCCTGTTTAGCTAGAGACACCGCAACTGTTGAGTTTGTCAACATTCCTACTGGCTGGAGATAGTTTATAAAAGCTAAGCCTATTAGGGCAAAACTAAAAGGGAACAACAACAAAAAAGAGGTATCAGAAATTAGAAGGAGGCTAGAAGAACTGCAAAAATAAAGAAGGAAGTTGAGCTGACAAGATATGCAATTTTTAAGAACAAAGGTAACAGTGAGAAGATGGAAACAGGAAAGTAGGCAGAGGTGACACGGCAAAGAAAAGGTAGCATGAACAGACAGAGGAAAATGTCCAAAGAACTGCCCGAGGCCAGAGAAAAAAGCCTGGGCTTTCTTCCCACGGGCCATGGGGGGCCGTGTAAGCAGGGCTGCCAGTCTTGACTCAGGATGACCCGTATCAGAAACTGGGTGCCCTGGCCCACCCTGAAGTTCAACCTGCCACTACTCCACGTCTTACCTAAGTCTTGTCCCTAGTGGTGCTATTGGTCCCACATTACTGCCTTCTTCCTTATAGTCAGTGCTATGGCCACTAGCAGAATCCTGCTTGCCTGGCCTTAAAACACCCTCTGCCAAAACATGATTCTTCACATCCTTCCCCACAGGCCTCCTGAAAGTAAGTGCTGGCACAAGAAGGTACAGGTATTTTTTAGCTACATTAAGTAGCTGAAATGTATTTAATAGTTGCAGCAAATAGCTGGGCTGGCCTGGAAGATGTGCAAAGACCAGACCAAAGGAGGAGAAAAAGCCGAAGACCAGAACACAACCAGGAGCTGCCCAGGGCACGTGGTTGGGAGGCAGTTAGTTAGAAACTGGAAGCCCAACCAGAGTGCTACCAATGAGAAGAGACACAGCACCTAAGCCAGGATCTAAGAGCAGAACGGAGAAAAGCCGAGCAACCACTGACGGGGAGGAGGCTCTGGAGAAACTGATACACACCTTCCAGCTCGGAACACCCCAAGCATTAAAGGGTTACAGATGCTGAATGAGAACTCACTAGTAAAACTTAAGACAATGATGACAATAATACACGGATGCCTGTACTTTAACCTTTTATTTAACCTTTTCATCACCATTACCTTCAATTTACAGATGAGGAAAGTGACGACCAAAGAAGTTAATAACTTGCCCCAGAATACAGAAGGTAATTGGCAGAGCTGAGAATTAAGCTTAGGAGCCCTAACGCCACTGCTAACCTACCTCCTCACTGCCAGTAAGGTAACTTCAGTGTCCCCTGAGTCACATGGAGTTTTGTGGGCTTATCCAGTAATCACTCGGTGGCAACCTCTCTTCTCCTCAGTGGGTGCCTAAAACCACAGATGGTTCCCAATGCTCTATATCCTTTTTTCCCACATATATACAAATTTATTGCCTTTCCTCCTTTACAGTACTTATCATGCCCTGTCACTATGTCTTTTGCAGTTTGGGGTGCAAAAATAAACTAGCATAAGTTTCTTTCCCTTTTTTCCACAAGTTTATGGATACAAGACTTGTTCTTATCACAGGATCTTAGTAACCTAAGCAAATATTTTTTTTCATTAAATCAAAAACTTTCACCTTTTCACTCAAAAGAAATACTTTATTATGGCTTTTCTTTGGCATATCTGAACTGCCAGCATTACTACTCTCACCAAATAATGCTGAATCCCGGAGAGTCTATCTGATAAGTACTAGGCAACTGTTGGGTAGGTAAAGTACACAGCACGCATATGCTGGACGAAGGAATGATGCATACCCTGTCAGGACAGAGCAAGACAGATGACATTTCATCATGCTTCTCAAAACAGTGTGCAACTGCTGGGGGTGGTGATATACACATGTAATCCTTGCACTCAGGAGACTGAGGCAGGAAGACTGCTGTGAGTCCAAGGGCAGCCTGGGCTATACAGTGAGTACAAGGGCAGCTTGGACTACACAGCGAGACCTTGTCTCAAAAAACCAAAAAACAGGGCCGGGGATCTAGCTCAGCAGCATAAGTGCCTGCCTGGGAAGTGCAATGGCGTGAGTTCGATCCCTGGTACCAAAAAAAAAACCAAACTGTGCAATTCAAAATTCATCAGTTATTTCTTTCTGGAAATAATTATTTCAGCTGGCAACAGGTAATAAAATTTCAGATAGCAAAACCATAGATAGGGTAGAATACTGTATTAAATATCTAAACTACACTTAAATCTCTGAACAAATCAGCCTAATTGGGGAATAAATTTTCTGTAGATATGATCAACAGTTCCAGAAGCATTTTATCTCCGTAGCAATGAAAGACAAGATATCCCCTTAACGTTTAGAAACTCCTTTATATAATGCCCCAATATCAAGTTACACTTTTTATATACAGAGGTGAGGGCTTAATAATACAGTGTTAATCAACATTGGCAGTGATGGAAGCAAACTATACTGTACTATCACTACAGTAAGGCACCAGCCATCTGTGGCTGTTGTGCACATGAATTATGCCATTGTGAATAAAGAACTGAGTTTTTTAGTTTTATTTAAAGAAATTTTAATAGTACATGTGGCTACGGATACTATACCGGACAGCACAGATCTGAAGGGAAAAAGAAACTTCCTGGTAACTTCCTACCCTCATAGTAAGAGAACCTACCTAGTCAGCACCACTGCTGAGATGTTCACCTGGCCGGGTCAGGGGAGTCTACATTTTCAAAATTGTTGATGAAAAAAAGAATTGTTGGTGAGACAATATAGAAATTTAAATACTGTCAAGTTTAAAAAGAGTGAATCAATCTCTCACACACGCACATAAATATTCATAAATACTAGCTAAATCTGAGAAAAATTATTCTCAAAATCTGACTTACAAATTACTCAATAATTTTCTAAATGTCTAAGAATGGACTGTGGTTAATTTGTTTTCCCAAAAGCAAAGTTAAAAAACTAACCTATGCTGACTATGATGGTGAACACCTGTAATCCCAGCACTCAGGAGACTGAGGCAGGAGAACTGCCAAGAGTTTGAAGCCAGCCTAGGCTGAACTCCAAAGTGAAGCCCTGTCTCAAAAAGGGGAAGAAAAAATGACCTGTTTGAGTTCTATGCCTCCCTTCCTTTTAGAGGAAGAAATGACACTTTAAAAGAAGTATTTATTAAAGACTAAGGATGCAGCTCCGTGGCAGAGCACTTGTCCAGCATGTAATGTGTGAGGCGCTGAGTTTGAATTCTGACACTGAAAAACCCATTTTAAATACATTAAACAAGCCAGGTAAGGTGGTGTATAACTACACCAGTACTCTGGTGGTGTACAATTATACCAGTACTCTGAGGAGCTCTGCAAGAGCAGGAGATCTGCAAGTGTGAGCGCACAATGGGCAACTCAGTGACTCAGCAAGACCCTACCTCAAAATAAAAAGTAAAAAGAGAAGCAAAGGATGTAGCTCAGTGCAACAGCCCTGGCTTCACAGGATCACAAAATTCCTAGAATTTTGTCATTCCTAGAACGACAGATACAGGCATTAAAAGGCAGTTTGTGCTTATGGATTTTTGTCTGCGATTTTAAAATCATCTAAGATTTATCAATTCCAAGAAAGGAGGGTCAAGAATAAGTACAGATTGAGGGGCTGGGGAGTTAGCTCAGCAGCATAAGCGCCTGCCTTTTAAGCGCGCAGTCGTGAGTTCAATCCCTGGTACCAAAAAAAAAAAAAAAAAAAAAAAGAATAAGTACAGATTGAACTTAAAACTATCAAAAACTCTTCTATACGCAACTGTGAATTCTGATTTTGAAATGCAATTGTGCAGAGCCCTGGTCCAGGCTAATTTAATGCACTCTAAGCCAGATACATTGCTTGAGCCCCAGGTTTAGGACTAGAAGAAATAAAAGGAGAGACAGAGAGAAAAAAAGAGCAAGTTAATAAGCCCAGCTTCACAGCTTCCAGTTATTTGCTTTTAAAGTAAGTTAGGTCTAGCCCCCGGGCCCCGTCTCCACCTCTGTCTCTCCACATTACTTGTGAGAACTGGGGCTTCTCAGGTGAGAATTTTAGCCTTCTGGCTATTTGGTATTCTGAGATCCCAGCATGATAAACTTTGTCCTAAAGTCATTGGTTATGTGAATCAGGCTTTGTTTCTTTTAAAAACACACTATTTTAATAAACTATCTTCAAGCTCTAAATCCATTAAGCATGAAGGGTGTATACTGTGGAGAGTCTCCCCCCACTGCTGTCCCTCAGCCAGCCAGTTCCCTTGCATGAGGCAACTGATATTATCAGTCTTTCTGAGATACTGTAGCAGATGCTGTTGGTGTCCCTGTCTGAGTCCCTTCACCAGGGCAGAAGCTACTGCAGACACTGACTGCCAGAGGCCCATGACTGCACCTTTCTCAACAGAATTGCTGCTCTGCCTCCCCATGTGCAATGAAGGTTGAGACAGGCATCAAAGCCCTGGCCCCTGGCCTGTCACTGCTGTGCTGCCATTACAGCTCCTAAAAGCACATCTTGGCCCTGCTTCTCCCCATGCCCTGTCCTGCTCCCTCCCGCCTTGAGGGCACTGTCTCAGTCAATCAGTGGTAGAGAAATCCCAGTTCTAAGGCTGCTTTTTCAAGAAGTCAACCTCCCCTCCCTGGTAAGCGGAGGCAGGGTGGCAGACTGCAGCCCTTCCAGGGGGAGAACTAGCAGTTGTTATAACTTGAGCCCCGGTATAAAATCCAAGGAGGCAAGAGACCGAAAATTTAGTGGCAAAGGCTTTATTTTTAGGCCTGGCGACCAGTCTCCGGGAGCCAATTTGGAGACCGTCCCCTAGAAGCTGAAGGGAGGACTTTAAAAAGGGGCTGGAGGAAAGGGCGGGGGGGGGAGAGAAACAAAGAAACCTGTAGAGCCATCAAACTTGTTGACCCGAGTCTGGAAACTGTATTGCTGTCTATTTAGCTCTGACAGTCTAGGGAGTTTCTGGTGTTTTTTAAATTACTCCCATCTTGCAGACTGACATTATCTCAGAGTGGCACGTCTGCAGCAATATTTGGAGAAGAAAGTGGAGAGTTAATTATCTCAGGACAGCTTGTCTTCACTAGTGAGTGCGAAGGGGTTACAAGTTATGAGAGGCTGGAACTTAAGTTTTACAAAGACCTGATATCTAACTCATTTGATACATACAGAACAAAAGGAAAGCACCGATTGGGGTTTGGGCCATAGTATTACCCGGTAATTTGTTTAAGCTAAGCAGTTCTTAAAATTGGGGCAGGCTCATTTTACAACAGATCATCACCGGGTCGGGGGGAGGTCACCAGAAACCCAAATTTTTTATGGCCTAGATAGATAGGTGAGGGGAGAGGGAGGCAATAAGGCGCCATACAGAACAGAAAACGGCGGTAATGTGTCAAGGTCAGGGTAAAGGGTTAAACTCACACGCAAATCTCTCTGCACACAAGCAGGTTACTTTAAACAAATGTAAATTAATTGCCATTTTAGTTTTCCTTAGCTCTTTAGCGGAGAATAGAGGCTCCTAGCAGTGATTAACAACCCTTGTTAGCTTGTTTTAGCACAGCTTCTGTAGTTTGTAGAGAGCAACAATGGTTAACATATCAATTAGGTGAGATTCTTGCAATTCTTTACAGAGGAGAGTGTTGCTCAACAGATCAATTAGGTCCCTTAACATATCAGTTAGGGAAAAAGGATAAAACAAACACATTTAGTAAGCCCCTATACAGGTTTGCTATAATACACATATAACAAAGCTATTTTCTTAGGGTACAACAGCAGTGTCTCCTGAGATCCGAGCCATGTTGGAACTGAGGACTCTGGGAAGCCAAGCAAGCACCTCCCCTCCCTGGTAAGTGGAGGCAGGGTGGCAGACTGCGGCCCTTCCAGGGGGAGAACCAGCAGTGTCTCCTGAGATCCACACCATGCTGGAACTGAGGACGCTGTGAAAACAAATGACCATTCTGCCTCCCTGCTTAGCAATAGTGAACCTACTGCTACATGGCCTAGAGTCAACTATATCCCCACCCACCCACTCATTAGCAAGTGGGAACCAGAAATCTGAGCATCTCCTGGGAGGTTGGCCATAGCAAATAAGGGGGACTTCCTTCTACCATTTCTTTGAAAGCAAATATTTTTATTACTGTTTTGCTCTTTTCTGATTAATGGTACTGCTCTATTCAATATTCTGTTTTGATAAGTTCTATAGTGTTCTATACTTCATCTCATTTTGATATATGGGATTGAAAGAACAACTATTATAAAGATAACAAAATATACTGTGATACCTATTACTGTTATCCCAGTAACCTGCTGTGAAGTTCTGTACCAATTTCACTGTACGATCTTAGTTGGCTTTATTCTGACTTGTTCTGTTGTATACTTTCAAAATAAAAATTTTAAAAATAAATAAATAAAAAGAAAGTTAAGAAGATTATATGCATACACAAAAATGCCCTCCTGCAAACAGTCCTTATTATAAGCACTGTCCTACTACTCACTAACGTCTTTTATTACTTCCTATAGTTTGACAATGTTGCATTTTATTTTATTGTCTTTTTGAAACAGGGTCTCACTATGCAGTTCAGGATGGCCTTGAGCTCACTTTGTAGCCCAGGCTGGTCTTGAACTCGAAACAATCCTCCTGCCTCAGCCTCTGGAGTGCTGGGATTACAGGTATGAGCCACCATGCCTAGCTGACAACATTACATTTTAAATAAATGGTTGCTCCAAAAGCTGCATGGTGTTTTACTGTATGTTTGTAATTCATTTAATCTATCCTCTCTGATAAACTTTTAAGTAGCTTCTCATCTTTTACTATCATAAATATGCTGGAATACACATTGGTTTCTTAAGTATGCAAGACACAAACAACTAAAAATAATAATTAGATCAAGGGCATATGTATTTAAACTGAACAAACTCTGACAATTTGCCTGCATAAGGAATGTCCTAATGTGTCTTTTAGTCACAGCCTCATCAGTACATCATATTGACACCTTATGAACCTTGGTTCATTTGTTTCTTTTTTTAAAAGTTTTATTAATTTATTTTTTTCCAGAAATTGAACTCAGGACTTTGCACTTGCCAGGCAGGTGCGTGCCGCGCAGAGCCTTAGCCCATTTCATAGATAAAAATTTGCATTACATTGGAGAATCTCTATTGTGAGTGAGATTAAGCATCCTTTTATATTTTTAAAACTGTATTCCTTTTTCAGTGGCTTGTCAGTAGGTATCCTTTGCCCATTGTTATGGTTGATATATTGTGTCAACTTGAGAAGTTTAACTACCAGACTTAGCAGGGAGCCAGGGTCCTTCCTTTGTAAATATCCTCATCCTAAACAAGACCAGCCACAGAGATTTTGTGAATATTACACCCGCCCTGGAGGAGGGGGGTGACCTGTAAACAATATAAGGGAGGAGAAGAGGCTTGTCTTCCTCCTTTTGCTGCTGCCTTGAAGTGTTGCCCCAGTGCCATGCTGCCCTGTCTTGGAGCCACCTGATTGTGGACTGAAACTTCCACAGACAGTGAGCTAAATAAACCTTGCCTTCTTTCATTTTGGGTATCAGGTGGTTTTGTCCCAGCAAGGAGAGAAAAGTAACTAAGACACCCATTTATGTCTTGGGTGATTTGTTAGGTCTTTATATTTTAGAGAAATCAGTCTTTTATACATATTGTTTTTTATATTTTAGAGAAATCAGTCTTTTATACATATTGCTTTTTGAAAGCGTTGACACACACCTATAATACCAAAATTCTGGGAGGCTGAAGCAAGAGAATCATGAATTTGAGTCCATGCTGGACAAATCAGTAACTTAACATGACCTGGTCTCAAAATAAAAAAAGGTTTGGGTACAGCTTAGTGCAAAGATCCCAGGTTCAGTTCCTAGTACCACCAAAAAAAAAAGAAGTTTACTCTGCACAAATTGGGTAAATTAAGAAAAAAAAACTTCAGCTGGGCTTGGATTACACAGCTGTAATCTCAGCACTTGGCAGGCTGAGGCGGAAGAACTACTGGGCATTTGAGGCCCAGTTACATAGTGATTCCAACACCAACCTGGACTATGTAGTGAGATCCTGACTCAAAAACAAAGACAAACACATAAACAAAAAAAAAAAAAAAAAAAAAAAAAGGAAGAGAAAAAACTTCACAGCCTTCCAATTAAATAAGAAATCAGTTTTTCCTGAAAATGCCCCAACAGTCTAGACTTTTACAAGTGGGTTTTTAGTCTCTCTATGAAACCACTGCCTTTTGTGCTTATTTAAAGGATGCAGTTCAGTGGTAGAGATTGCTAGCATTTCAGAGGCCCTGTGTTCTATCCCTAGCAACCCCCCTAAAGGATTTCTTACTTACATTTCTATCTTGTAATTATTATTAAAATAGATTGAAGGATAATTCAGAGTGTTATCTAAGCTACCATGGTTATTTAAAATTCCAAATTATATACTTACTTTTTTAGTTCAGGAATCTCTGCTGGCTTTACAAGTTTTATTAACCCTTTAAGTCTCTGCTGTTCTTTCCTTAGTTCAAAAGTTCTCAGGTGAAGTTTCTTCCGGGACACACCATCTAATGCGTTCCCTGATTTAATTTCTGACATGAACGCATCTAATGAATCCTGAGATGCCGACTCTGAGAGAGCTGCCCAAGAAAGGGATAATATATATTTAGAAAAATGGTCCCAAATATTAATTTCATTAAAGTTTCCATAGAAAAGTCACCAGCATAAAGTTGGACAAAGACTATCACTGTTATTAGGAATACAGAAATCAGTTATAACTTTGAGACACTGGGAAATGATTTTACCTCAGGGGACTTCCTATCCTGTAACTACTAAATAAAAAACCAGTTAAACCAAATAACTATTATGTTCTTTTGATTAGAGTGGTAAGTGGCCGAGAAAACAGCCTCTTTTAAGAGTCACTATCCAGACACTGGAATACAACATTGTGAGGAAGCCAGGAAGAAAGTGGGCCCTCTGGACCCGGGAAGAATCTGACGTGTGCATTGAAGCCCACAGAGAGAATGAAAAGAAAAACTTCAGTGAAGAAGAAGGCGGTAGCTGGTGGCGCCTTCTCCCAGAGCCGGATCACTGTATGAGAGGACTTGTTCAAACCTGGAGACCCACAGTCCTGGTGACAGTGACAGCTGATGACCCCCGCGGCCCCTGCAGAGATGTGCAGTGGAGGGGAGCAGTGGACTTGGAGGACTGCGCTGGCTGGTGGTAAGTGCAAAGTACTTAGTCCTCCCATGGGAGACTGATTGGCTGGAGCCATTTTGGAGATGGGACTTTCAGCCCAGAACCAAAACTGCTGCTGATTTCCTCTAGCAGCTCCCAGCTCCCATGGAAATTGCTTGAACTGCGGTGAGCCCAATGAGTCTGGTCTCATCCGGGCCTGCTGAGGCTTCCACTACTCCACCATAAAGCAACTGCTGGCTTGCTGGGACAGAGTGGCACGGTTCAGGACTCCATCTCCACGGGCTGGCTACTAGTGAAACCACAGAGAATCCTGGAAGTGGACTATTTGTTTTTCTTTTTCTTTTCCATTTTTTAGTTGTTGTTTGTTTTGTTTTTAGTGTCCTCTTGGGGTTTTTTTTTCTTTCTCCTTCATTTTCTTTATGAGTGTGAGAATGGTTCCTAACCTCTTTGTGGGTGTGGTTCTGTTCTGCTCTTTTTTGTATCTCTCCCATCTCTCTTTTCCTTTGTCTTCTCCATCAGTTTCCCTAGGTTGGTGTGATCCCATTTTGTCCTCCAGCCTTACTTGTAACCTCATTTTCTTCTTCCACTTCTCTATTTTTTCCTTAATCCATTTTAAATTTTAAAACCGAGGGAAAAATGGACACATTACTTATATATTGCATATAATTATCAGGTTTGTTTTACAGTTTGTATTATAATCACAAATCTAGTTCATACAGTTAAAATTTGCAAATTAAGTGTTGGATCACTTTGTTGTTTTATAGACTTTGTTTGAGGCTACTTGTAGCACTACAGCCAAAACTGACATAATTGTTCTAAAGAGCTGTTTGTCTTGATAATCCATGATTGAGATTAACTAAAGGTCACAGGAAATACAGTGGTACAGTGCCAAAAACCAGATCTAGGCCAAATAAGCAACAACTTCTCCTCTCCAACAAACTGAAGAGGAAAGACCTTCCAACAAACTCAAAACTCAAAAACACCAGCTACACCTGGAAGACACCTCAGAGAAGTAACCATCACCTAAGGGTCCTAATACCACCAATAAAGCAGCCTGCCATAGGCAACTTACAAAAGCATCACCTCAGGAATTAAACAAAAAAAGAAAAGAAATAAAAACACACTTAAACAATACACAACCCATACATCCAGTCCACCAAAGGCAAACCCAGGGGGCAATGAGGTGGGACAATCTGAGAGCCCCCCACCAACAAACAACAAAGCAATTGAACGAGGCTCTGGAAAAAATGCAATCAGAAATATTCTCTTAAATAACTACAGAGATTACCAAAATACACATCATGCTTAGTGATGTCAGAGCAGACACAGACAAAAAAAATAAGCAAAGTATAGAAGTATAGCATAGGAAAAAAATGGAATCCATTAAGCCAATTCAAGCAGATATCCAGAATAAAAATTCCACTGAAGGTATTTAGAGCAGATTAGGCCACTGTGAGGACAGGATCTCAGATACTGAAGACAGGCTTGCCCAGTTAGTGACCAGGAAAAAAAAGATTTCTCAAAAATAGCAAAAACCCATGAGAAATCCATCCAGGAGCTGCTAGAAGAGACAAAGAATAATTTAAGATTAATTGGAGTCAATCAATAAACAGGATACCACAAATGACATTAAAAAATGTTTCACAGACATCATAACAGAAAACTTTCCTGAGAAAAAGAATTTGACATAGAGATAAATGAGGCATCTAGAACTCCAATTAGCAATGATCAAAAAAAAAAAATCTACAGCCAGGCATATCACAGTCAATCAACATTTCAGAAATTCAACACAAGAATAGAATCGTAAAAGTTGTTGTGTGTGTGGGGGGGGGGGAAGTTAGGGGAAAGAAATAAATCATCTATTGAAGGAAAGCCCATCAGAATCACAGCTAATTTCTCAGCACAAACTTTCACGTTAAGGAGAGTTTGAAGTACCCCAAGTTCTAAAATAGTAACTTTCAACCTAGACTGATGTATTCCCACAAACACTATCTTTCAAAATTGATGGGAAAATAAGATACTTCCATGACAAAGAACATCTGAGGAATTCTATTGAAGATAACAAGAGACATCATAGTAACCACTGTAGATCACCTAGTATTGTGGTTTAAATGTCTTTTTCATTTCGTGTTTTTCTAGGAATTTGTTTTTTGTCTGGTTTTGATTTGTTTTTTCCTCTAATACAGAAAGGATAGATATACATGTAGAGACTCATGCATGTGTAGAACTTCTAACAGTTTATGAGAATTGATTATATAATGCATGATGAAATAAACAAATACTTTGAAGAAAGAGACACCAAGGTACCCAGTAGCATCATGACATAATTCTGTAGCATCATGACATAAAATCTAGCAATACTATTTTATGGCAGCCATTGCTGATTTCCCTATTGTCTGGTCTTGAAGACCTAAAATGCCTTCATCATCCTGTTCAGATAAGTTTAATACTATTTTGTTTGGTATGAATTCACGTATGTGAAGTTATGGACAACTATTTGGAAGAAAAAAGAGACAATATGATAGACAATGAAGATCTCTGATGCTCTTGCTTTGAAATCTGTGACTCTTAAATTGTTTTCTTATGATATATTTTGTTCTGTTTTGTTATGCTTAATTTTACCCTCTTTAAAATACAAAAAGAAAAATATAGAAGAAATGGACAGATTCCTAGATACATATCAATTACCAAAGCTGAATCAAAAAGATATAAAAAAACTAAATAACCCCAATATCAATATTTATTTTATTTTTTATTTTTGGTAGTGGGAATCAAGCTCAGGACCTTGCACTTGCCAGGCAGGTGCTTATGCCACTGAGCTAGATTCCTGATGCTAACCCAATATTCATAAATCAAATCAAAGATATAATTAAAAATCTAACAACAAAGAAAAACCCGGCCCTGATAGATTCACTGCTGAATTCTACAACAAATTTAGTGAAGACCTAACAACACTAATTCTTAAACTCTTTAATGAAATTGAATGGGAAATAATATTTTCAAATTAATTCCTGGAAATAAGTATTACTCTGATTCCAAAACCAGAAAGGACCCAAGTAAGAAACAGAATTACAGGCCAACTCCCTAATCAATACTGATTCAAAAATACACCATAAGATACTGGCAAACATAATGCAGCAAACTGTCACAAAGATTGCACACCATGGTCAAGTGGGATTCATCCTAGGAATGCAGGCATGGTTCAACATACACAAATCTATAAATGTAATATATCATATTAACAGAGCAAGGGAAAAAATCATATGATCATCTCAATAGATGCACAAAAAGCTTTTGACAAAGTCCAGCACCCATTCATGATAAAAAATCCTTCAGAAAATTGGAATAGATATTCTTTATCTCAATCTAATAAAAGCTATCTATGCCAAACCAACAACCAACATCATACTAAATTGACAGAAACTCAAAGCTTTTATTCTAAAATCAGGAATAAGGCAAGGATGTCCACTGTCTCCCCTCTTATTCAATAGAGTCCTAAAAACTGTAGGTGGAACAAGTAGACAAGAGAAATAAATAAAAGGAATAAAGATAGGAAAGGAAGAAGTTAAACTATTGTTATCTGCAGATGACATAATACTTTACTTACAAGATCCCACCAAAAGATTTCTAGATTTAATAAGCAAATTCAGTAACGTAGCAGGTTACAAAGACAACACCCAAAAAACAATAGCTTTCCTGTACACAAATAAAAAAGCTCTCTGACAGAGAAATTAAGGAAACAGCATCTTTCACAATGGCATGCAAAAAATTGAAACAATCTAACAAAGGATGTGAAAGACCTCTACAGTGAAAACTGCAGTACTCTGAAAAAGGAGACTGAAGAGGATATTAGAAAATATAGAGATATCCTGTGCAGTAACAAACACTGAGGGAATGTGGGGGAAAGGAACCCTTCTCCACTCTTGATGGGGATGCAGACCAGTGAAACTACTGTGGAAATCAGTGTGGAGATTCATCAAAAAACTAGGATTGGAGGTCCCATTCTACCCAGCTATTCCCATTCTGGGTATCTTCTCAAAAGAATTAAAAACATCATACCACAGTGACATATGTGCACCCATGTTTATAGCAGCACAGTTTATAATAGCCAGATCTTGGAAATAAGCTAAATATCCATTGACTGAGGATGGATAAAAAGATGTGGTATTTTTGTACAATGTACTACTCAGCCATAAAGAAGGATTATCTGGACCCTTTTATAGGTAAATGGATGCAATTTGGGATTACACTCATTAGTTAAATAAATAAGATATATGTGTACACATCATATAGTTTCATTAGTGTGACAAGCTGAAAGATAAAACATGTATATGTAGATATCTACATAAAAAAGTTAAGATAGCTGTACTACTGATTTCTCTGAGTTTGCTGAACAGAAAGATTTGTCCTGATATTGTCTGGACAATTGAATGCAGATGTCTTATGCTCTGGGTGAATGATTTAGGGATGACAATGTGTAATACATGTACCATTGTTGCCCCCTGATTGATGTGTTCTGAAATTTTGTTATTTTTTTCTTTTTCTCCTTTTTTCTTTTTCTCCTTGAATAAAGTGGATTTTTAAAAAATGTTCTTTCTAGGTCTTCAATGTTGCTCACTAGAAAGAGTCTATTTGTTTATATTATTAACCAATGTAGCCCCAATGCCTAGCATAATGCACTGTATATGGAGGTGCTCATAAATATTTGATAATATCATTACCTTTGCTTGAAGCCTTGAGCCTCTCAGAAATTTCAGAAAGTTCCTTTTCAGCATCATTTAACTTTGCAACCTGTACACCCAGATTAACACAGTTAGCAAATGGTTTTCTTCTTGCCAAAACTGTTTATCATCCCCCTATTTTTGTAATTGTTATTGCAAGTTTCAGGAGAATTAATCTATAAGTGCAGCTAAAACTCTCCATAAGTTAACACTTTCCATTTGCTTATTTAACCCTAGTTGAATTAATTTATGAATTAAAGAACTCAGAATTAAACAGAATGAAATAAGAGTTAAATGGAATATGTAACTCAGATTTCCCTCCAATGAAAGTGGTCAGGCATTTATTTCCATTGGTGAATTGAAAGGATAGATGTTGGGCAATGTTTTAAACTCTGAATGTTACTAAATAAAGTATTAAGTAAATGCTACCCTAAGGTAAGGACTGTTGTTCCAGACTAATAATACCACATTACACTCTTCAAAATCCCTTTGATTCCTCTATTTCATTCGTCTCAGTAGCCTTAATTTAGATCTTTTTCTCTTCTCTTTTGGGAGTGATGGAGTATCTTAAAAATGTTCATTAGAGCCAGGCATGGTGGCACACTCCTATAATCCTAGCACTCTGGAGGCTGAGGCAGGAGGATCGCTGCAAGTTCAAGACCAGCCTGGGCTACAGAGTCCAAGGCCAGCCTGAACTGCATAGTGAGACCCTCTCTCAAAATGACAAAAAAAAAAAAAAAAAAAAGTTCATTAATTATCAATACCAACCTTAAGGAAAGTCTCTAGCAGCAAGCTAAATTTTTCCAACAACCTGGATAAGACTAGTTGTTTGTTACCATTAAATATATAGATCATAGGGGCTAAGGATTTAGCTCAGTGGCGTAAGCACCTGCCTGGCAAGCACAAGGTCATGAGTCGATCTCCAGTACCAAAAAAAAAAATTTTTATAGATCACAAACATTATACTTTGATATTAAATTTAGACACTATTTAAAATTACAATTATAAAACAGATTTAAATAATGCATTATTTTATTTTTAAAAAATAAACTACCACAGACACTTCTATAAATAAAACTTGCCAGTGATTCAAAGGTCTCCGGCTTCTCATCAATCTTCCCAGCTTTTTTCATTCGGTTCAGACGCTTCTTCTCAATCAGGCCAGTCCGATCAAGGAATGTATCATCGTCACTGTCATAAAAGTCTTCATCTTCCCAGTTCTTGGCTTTCCTTTTCCGAGATACTAGAGTGAATACAATGATTGAAAGTGAAATAAGATTTTTTTAGAAAGGCAAGCACAACCAGGCAGGCAGATAAAGAGAGGATTCCACAAGCTGCCGAACTACATAAGTAACAAAGGGTGACCTGGGCACAGTGGCACACGTGGGAGCTGCAGCAGGAGAGTCACAAGTTTGAGCCCAGCCTTCACATCTTAGCCACTTAGCAAGACTGTGTCTCAAAACTTAAAAAGAAAGAAGGAAAGAAGGAAAGAAGAAAAAAAGAGAGAGGTGGGAGAAAGAGAGATGAAAGAAAAGAAGGGTGAGAGGGAAGGAAGGAACAAAGGAAGAAAGGAAGGGAGAGAAAAAGAAAAAGAGCTAGAGATGTGGCTCAGTGGAAAGGCCCTGGGTTCAATTCTCAGTACTGAAAAAAAATCAAACCAAACCAACAAACAAAAAAACCCAAGGGCTAAACTTTGAAGACATTATGCTAAGTGAAATAAGCCAGAAACAAAAGGGCCCTTCTTACATGATTGCACTTATATGAAGTATGTAAACCAGCCAAATTCACAGAGATGGGACAAGCAGCAACGTAGTTCTCAGAGGCTGGTGAAGAGAGAGGACAGAAGCAGTGGTGACTGGGCCTAACTACAGCACAGAATCATGAAAAGCTCTGAGCTGGAGAGTGGTGATAACTGCACAACAAAGTGAATACACACAACAGCACTGATCTATACACTTAAAATGGTAGATTTTATGTGCATTCTATAACAAACGATTAAAACAAAAAGCTTTTATGAGTCAAACTCTTAAAAATCAGTGAGTTAAAAAAGAAAGACAAGGGGCTGGGGATTTAGCTCAGCGGCATAAGCACCTGCCTTGCAAGCAGGCGGTGGTGAGTTCGATCCCTGGTACCGATAAAAAAAAAAGAAAAAGACAAAAAAAAAAAAAAAAAAAAAAAAAAAGACAAGAAAAAGACTGCTAAAACAAAGAAATATCATAATCAAGAAAGAAAAATGGGGCTGGGGATTTAGCTCAGAGGCATAAGTGCCTGCCTGGCAAGTGCAAGGTCATGAGTTCAATCCTGGGTACCAAAACTAAATAAATAAATAATAAAAGTAAATTAAAGAAAGAAATGAAGGAAGGAAGGAAAGAAGGAAGAAGGAAAGAAACCAACCAGCAGATATGGACAGATGAACCAAATGTACACACAAAAGAAAAACACATTCATTACCTTCAGGGAGAATAAAAATAAAACTGGTCGGCTCTGACTAATGTTTGTCTAAGCATAACTGTGTAAACACTATATATTAATTTATCAGAGTTGGCAAATATCTAAAATAACTTAAAAATATAACATCATATTGGTTCTTGGAAATACAGATATTATTAAATGCCACAAAAAACCTGAAAAGCCGAAAGGCTGTGGGCATGAGGACTAAGAAAAGATAGGGAGGAAGACATGAACTTTAACCTGTCTAGGGGCTGAAAGCCAGATATAAGTAACTTGGCCACAATAAAAATTAATTTTAAAATACTTAAAAGTAAAATACAGGCCTAAAGTAAATGATGGTATGTATAACCAATCTTTTTCATCTTTAATGAGATAAATCAAATGTATTTATATGGACAAAAATCTATGAATATTCTTATGTTACAAAAGTGAGTCAGTCAGGCGTGGTGATGCACACCTGTAATCCCAGCACTTGCTGTGGGGCTGAGACAGGAGGATCCTTACAAATTCAAAACCAGCCTGGGCTACAAAGTGAGCTCAAGGCTAGCCTGAACTGCATAAGAAGCCCCTATTTCCAAAAGGCAAAAAAAGCAAGTCACAACCTGTGTAATCCCAGCACTCTGGGGAGCTGAGGCAGGAGAATGGAAAGTTAGGGCCTCACCTGGGCAGTTTGGTAACATGGGGGCCACTATCTTCAAATTTTAAAAAATGAGCAGGAGATCTGGCTCAGTATGAAGACCATGAGTTCAATTCCTAGTACTGCCAAAAAAAAAAAAGTCACAAAACAGAGTAAGACTCAATTTGTGTATGTGTTTTTTGTTAAAGGATCCAGTTCTTTTTCTGATTCTTGGGTTTTTAAAAAATTTTTATTTCTTTTTGGTGTTTTGAAACAGGGTCTTGCTAAGTGGTTTAGGTTGGCCTTGAACTCACTAAGTATCCCAGGCTGCCTGGAATGCGCAAGGATCTTCCTGCCTCAGCCTCCTGAGTACTGGGATTACAGGCGTGCACCACTACACGCCACCACACCAGCCTAAAGCATCTAGTTCTAAACTCCTCGTTGTTTTTGCAGCGCTAGAGATTAAACCCAGGGCTGTGGACATGCCAGGCAAGTACTCCATCACTGAGCTATCTTCTCAGACCCAAAATCTGGCTCTTCTAAACATACATTCATATATGCACAGATGTTTGGGAGAATATAAACAGCTCCTTAGTTACAGGTGCAATACATTTCTTTTCACTGCAAAAAAATCCTGTACATTTTACATACTGCTTGTGTAAAGATATTTTATAACATTCTGTGTGCAGTGTTCCTTTATTTTTAAAATTCGTTTTTCCTATATTTTATTTTTTTCTTTCTTCTTTTTAAAGAAAAACAACTCCCATACACGAACCTGCTTCCTGCCGTAGCAATCCCAAAGTATCAAGAATCCGACAAGCTTCCAATGAGCACTGGATCATTGCCTCCTTTTTCTTTCCTGAGTGAACGGCCTCCGCCACCAGCTGTTTCCCAGTTGAATCATCCACGGGTAATCTGCATTGGTTTAGAGAGAATTATAGCACAGTACTAAGCTCCAATTCTCATGAAACAATATGCAGTCCATTTTTCAGATGGCCTTTCAAGGTCTCAAATTCATTTTGTTTGGTCTTACTAAGACTGGACTTTCAAATCCTTTCTTTCTACCTCTTATTCACCTCATCCCTTCTCCCAGTACTGTCACTCAACTATCAAGGAGCAAACATGGGAATGGCCCAAAATTAATCTAAGGTTACTCTTTAGATTGCTGTCTATAGCCATAAATTAACCTGCAATTAGGTACTTTCCAGAAATGAACAGTAGTAAGAAAAGACCATACCTCACCCTGCAGAGCCAAGTGCTATGTCCCTGTTCATCAAATTCGTATTCTAATTCTTCTCCTGTGGGAGGAAGAAAGAAAAAACAATTTCAATAGAATCTGAAAAGTACTAGCTGATAAATGTGGAAAAGGAGAACAAAGGTTAAATAAAGGACGTCAAGTTTCCTTTCTGTGGGAGGGGGCGAGGCTGGATCCTTCACAACTGTGGGGCTAAAGCAAGGCCAGCCCTGAGAACACAGCAGCCGCCCAAACAAGCTGCTCCAGCTCCCAGAAGGCAAGATACCCAGGCACCAGGCAAACAAGTCGCTAGGCAGGGGGACTGAAGTTGACATAATCCTCCTGAGCGTGGAAGTCAGGAGCTCGGTGGCTGGGCAGTGCCTTTCCTCCATCAGGAGTGAGCGCTTCCCCGACCTCCACTTTCCTCACGTTTCTGTTTTTTCTGTCCTCTCACCGTCGCCATGTCCGCCTCCCACCCAACCCTCCCCAGCCCGGGAACTTTGAGAGCTATGCTGCTAAGTGTCACCATTCCACACTGACTACTAAATTTCAATACACTTCACTTCTCATTCCTAAGGATTGTCATCTGGTAATAAAACTAGGATGAGTTTGACAGAGTAAAGCAAACTCTGATCAAAACAAACAACTCTTGGGCTATGTGTGTAAATCAGCGGTACAGAGTATGGTTTTGGGTTAAATCTCCAGCACTGCCAAAAAAAATAAAACCAATCAGTTCCCTATGTACAATTTTGTTCATGCTAGAGTAGTTTTCATACCTGCTTTAGCTGTAGATCCATGTGGTTATTTTGCCACAGCTGGTTTTTAGAAGCATAACTATTAAGTACAAATTGGGCATGGCAGAGCATGGCTATGATCCTACCCCTCAGGAAGCTACATAGGACTATTACTACAAGCTTGAGGCCAGCCTGGACTACACACAAGAACCTTCTCAGTCCAGGTGTGATAATGCATGCCTGTAATCCCAGGCCTTGGGAGGCTGAGGCAGGAAGACTGCCATAAATTTGAGACCGGCCAGAACTATACAGTGAGGTCTTGGCTCAAAAAGAAAGAAAAAAAAACACTCTGTCTTAAAAAATGAAAACAAAATTAAGTACAGAAAGCAACCATTATTTATATGTATATGTGTATATATGGAATTATATATTACTGGAATTCAACCAATTACAGATTGAAAATATCCACAGAAGCTGACATGTGGCACATGCCTGTAATCCCAGCACTAAGGAGGCAGATGCAGGAGGACTGCCAGAAGTTCGAGGTCAGTCAGGACAGCCTGAAGCACACAGTGGAAAAAAAAAAGTACCTCTTCTGAACATGTAGGCTACCTATTTATTCATTTAGTTTTTGAGACGTTTGATTTTTACTGGGATTACAGGCGTATGCCACCACGTCGAATGTGAACAGGTAGTCTTTTTTGTCATTATTCCCTAGACTAGATAGCATAACAACACAGTATTCACACAAAATAAGTAATCTACAGATAGTTTAGGATACACAGGAAACCCTCTGGTAGGCTTTATGCAACTACTGTGTCATTTGTGGTAGCGGTCTTGGGCATTCTTGGATTCTAGGAAGAGAGGCGGCTGTCTTGGAACAATCCTCGTATCCCCCACCCTGCTCTCCGTCCTCTTCACACTCTGTTGCTTATATTAGGGCTTGAGTCCAGTACCTTGTGCATGCTAGTGCAGGGCTACATATCTAGCAACCACCCTTCTCCTTGTTTTTTTGTAATTTTGAGACAATGTCTTGCTAGGTGGTCTAGGGTGGCCTTGAATGTGTGATTCTCTTGCCTCAGCCTCCCGAGTACTTGGGATTACAGGTATTACAGTAAATCCAGGGTCCTTTCAGAAGAATAAGAGAAGTCAGAAAAAAAGTACTTCCTTTATTCTAAAATGGGAAACAAGATTAACAAGATTTTTTACTACTTTCTGCTTTCTTTTGCAGTATTAAGGATTGAACGTAACTAGCCATGGTCTCTGCACTAAGCTACATCCCCACTATATTTTTATTTTTAAAAAACCCCACTAGTGGCTAAATTGCTGAGCCTGGGCTAGAACTTACGATCCTCCAGCCACAGGTTCCCAGAGCCTTTTTTGGATCCTTTATATAAAAGGCTGGGATTACAGGTGTGTACCAAAAACACCCAACTAGACTTTGTCTATTTTCAAGCAAACCTGGAGGTAGAGATATAGCTCGGAAGTAGAGCATTTGCAAATGGCCCTGGGTTCAATCCCCAGCAGCACAAAAACAAAAATAAACTTGAAACAACTGACTATAAGGATAAGAAGTGAATGAGGGAGGGAGCAGATAAAAGAATATTTATATGTTTGATGCTGAACCTCTAGAAAACAACATTGCTATCAACATATTTTACTGTCGAGGTCAGAAAATGTTTACATACCTTCTCGGTCAAAGAAACCTTGGAGGGCCTTTTTTGGATCCTTTATATAAAAGGCTTCCCTTTCCTGCTGAAACTCTAAAACAATGGGATTCTCTTCGGCCTCATCCTCTACAGCATCTTCGCCTACAGTATGTGAGAAAAAGCGGAAAAGCCACCAGACATAAGACTGACTGAATGATACACTACTGGGTTGAAGGTATAGCTCACTGGCACTGTGTGCCTTCCGGTAAGGCGCAAGGTTGTGATCCCAGGTAGCAAAAAAACAAACAGACACACTATTATTTCTGGATACATCAAGATATACTTACATATGATAAAAAATACATGGCAGGAGAAACAACTACAAAACCACCACTGTGAGTATCTTCAGGTTTTCTAAAGTATATGAGAAATCAAAACTTGTTTCTGTGGCACTTTATGTCTCTTCCGCCTCATTTTATTGGTGAAATTTAAATCTGAGTTTCTCAGCCTTTTCTAATAATGGTCTACAATATAATTTCCTAATACTTCTCCCTATCTGCTGAATAGACTGCTAAACTCATTATTTCCTTAAAATCCTCCATCCCTGCCCTAAATATCAATCTCAATCTTCAGCTTCATAAGGGCTACTTCTCCTTTCCTTCAAATTCTAACTTAAAACCCTCTGCTTGTAAATTTACCAACTTCCAAAGACCGAAGTCAGTGCTGCCCTACAGAAATACAATGAAAAAGACATATATATAATTTTAAATGAAAGCTACATTAAAAAGTAAAAAGACAGGGGCTGGGGATTTAGCTCAGTGGCATAAGCACCTGCCTTGCAAGCAGGCGGTCATGAGTTCGATCCCTGGTACGGATAAAAAGGAAAAAAAAAAAAAAAAAGTTAAGAGAGGAAAAAAAAAAAAAACTAAAAAGACACAGGCAAAATTATCATTTCATTGTGTAATCAAGAATTAACATTTTTCTACCTCATCTGTAAAATACAGTGTGCATTTTGCACTGATAGCATGTCAATTTGGACAATTAAATTTTTTACATCAGAAAAGGCAATAACTCTCTTTTTATTTGGTTACCATAGCTGCATATTGGTATAGCACTATGTATTTCAGAGAGTTATGAAAAGCTATATGATTTTTTTTAGAAAGTCAAGAGTGCCACCAGTAATGAACTTAAAATATTCACTTCCGACAAACATTTACAATTTCTTACCCATCCCCCAGTTGCAGCCCATGTCATCATCTTGACCACTAGTATTTCCCTTGCTTTCTGTGGTATCCATTTCCTCCTCATCTGAGTCTTCTCCTAGCATCTTCTTCTCTAACAACATTTGTTGCTGTTTTCGCAGTTCCTTCAACTGTGTTACTGTTAACTCAGATTCTGCCTCTCTGTCTTCCTCTGGTCCCTGATGAATCAAGCAAAGAACAAAAGGAAAAAGAAACAAAAATTTTTTTTCTTCTATAGTTAAGGAATGTGCAAATAAATTTCAAAGGGAAAGCAACGTGTACAGAGGTCTTAAGACAAGGGTCCACAGTAATTTCTTCATTTTTTAAATTGTTGATTGACTCTCCTTCCTAAACTAAAACGTAAGTAGTTCAAGATCTCAGCACGGTGAAGTGTTAAAGTTTTAATTTATGTTTTTCTACTTACCTTCAGGATAAAGAGCCGACTGCTGCCTCCAAAGCGAAACACGTGTCCCACGTGGACTCGACAATACGTGCGGGGTGGGATGCGAGTTTTGTTGAGAAAAGTGCCATGGGTACTTCCCAGATCGTACAGGTAGAAACCCTGTCCCTGGCTGTCGCATTCTTCGTCCCCGCCGGGCGCTCGGTGCTGCAGCACGGCGTGGTACCGCGACACGGAAGGATGCTCCAGGCGTATGTCGCAGCTAGAAAGCCTCCCGAAAAGGCAGCAACTGGCTCCTGTCAAACTACTGGTGCCGAGAATAGTGCCGCCCTTCAGAGTCTCTAGGCTGTAGGGGGCGGTGGCCGGGCCGCTCCAAGGAGGCTCTTGATATGGGGGTGTCCGGGCCGGGCCCCCTAGGGAAAAAACTCCAGTCGGGGGACGCACTGGCTGCTCCGGGAGACTCCTCGTCTCCCCGCCGTCCGGCCGAAGCAACGGAACTTCGGGTTCCCCAGAGTCGGGCCCCGGCAGCGCCGTGGGACATTCCTCCGTCAGCTCTCCAGGATTCGTAGGACTGATGGTCGAAGCCTTCCCCCGCACTGTCACTACGGAGGACCCTGGCAAGGCTGGCTTCTTGAAGTCGTCACTGAGTTCTACAGATGCCGGCGGCTCGGACTGAGACCCGGCGTCAGCCATCCTTGAGCAGGTGTAACCTCGAAATGTGTCTCTAGGAAACCTCTCCCTTCCCTCTGTGTGTTCCCGTCCTTGTCTCCCTCTTCCTAACTCCCCGTGACTTCTCTGGGCGGGAATAGTTAAGAGTTGATCCTTCACGACTCAGAGTGCTGTAAAGTGGTGCGTAGTAGGAAAAGGTCAAAATAACAGGAAAAGACTACAGTAGTGTTGTGTTGCTTAGGGGACATCTTTAGAGGTTGCAACAGGATTATAAAGACTTCCTGTGGCACAAGCTAATTGGAAAAAATACTTCCGGCAGCCTACGACCACTAATCAACAAACCAGCTTTCTAGGCTGGTTGGGACCCTCGCCTCAGGGATTCGGAGTAGAACAGCTGCCCAGCCGATTCCTGGAATACGGTAGTAAACAGTGGCGTCAATTTGTCTGGGTTCAGGTTCAGAGGTCCCCATCTTCCGGCTGCCCTGGACATCAGGTGTACCCAGGATCCTGTGTTTAGTGTCTGCGCCGGTGACTAGGAACTCCTCCACCGGGGAATTTGGCATTCCTTAGGTTCAAAAGCTGTTCTTCCTACTCCTTTGGGTTAAGTTGGGGAAGGGGACAATTTTTTTTGTTGCTTCATTCATTCATTTATTCTTTCTGGAATGAGTTGAGGTAACAAAATAAGAGTTTAATAGCACTGACTGTAACAGTGGGCAAGACATTGAGTCTCAGCTTATACATCTGAAAACAGGGCTAATGGTATTATCTACTTCATAGAGTTGTTGGGAGAATTGAGCTAAACAATAAAAGACTGGCATATAGTAAGCACTCAATAAATGCCAGGTATCATCCCAAGATCACAGCCCTACTAGGTAGGTGGGAGAGTAAAGTTGATTGAGGTAAGTACTGGAATAAATGCTCAGACTGAGTCATGTAAGGTGATATGGAAATAAAAGGAAAAGACATATACAGGGGAAGTGATAAAGGGTGGCACCTTAAACTACTCTTAAGAACAAATATGGCCCGGTGTGGTGGCACACGCCTGTAATTCTAGCCCTTGAAGGTAAGGCAGGAGGATCACCATGAGTTTGAGGCCAGCCTGGTATACATAATGAACTCAAGACCAGCCTGAAACACACAGCGACACCCTGTGTCCAATATATATTTACATGGGGATCAGGGGATCATAAGATATTTATGGCAGAGATCACAAGATCACCTACCATTCTCAAGAAACTATGTAGCAGCCGAGTATAGTGGTGCCTACCTGTAATTCCAGGACTCAGGAGGCTGAGGCAGGAGGACCGGGAGTCATAGGCTAACGAATTTGAGGCTAACGAGTGATACATTCAGAGACCCAGTCTCAAAAAAAGAGAAAGATATTATTATTACAATTAAAGTGATCGTGTAGTCCAAGTATTAGGGAAAAAGGAAGAAGAAACAAAGGTATGAACTCAACAGGGCAGGTTTATCTCAGAACAAACCTGAGAGGGACCATCGGGCCCTTTGACCAGAGTAGATAATTCTTATACAGGCTCTAAGGTCTTTTATAGCTTCATCAGCCTAAGGAGGGGCTGTGAAAGGAAAAGATAAAATCAGGACTTTTGAGGGGGAGAATTCAGTGGAAAGGAGTTGTGGCTACCTACCAAGAACAAGGCTTGAGAACAAACAAGGAGTACTGGTTTCTTGTGAAGGGCAGAGCTGAAGAATAATGGAGTTATGTGCGGTAGCTGTGCGTACCGGGCCTCATCAACCCATGATTATCCATCTTCTGCAGGTGCACAAGCACAGAGGGGGGAAGAGGGTTAACGTGATCTCTGTTCAGCCTCAGATGGTGGTGGTCAGATTCCTTATCCAGGAAGTTCCTCCTGTGTGCTTCTGCTGCGGTAGGTCTGTACCTTTAGAACAGCACTTTCCACATGCTTTCGTATTGAAATATGTTTCATCTGTTTCTTTCCCTCACCTTAGGACACAGAACTTGCATTCTTGGCCTTTGTCTCCTCCCATAATACCTGATATTCAGTAAATGTGTGTTGAACCGGAAGATACATATGAGCAATGAATCTGGAAAGGTGGGTTGAAGCCAAACTGAATTTCATTTAATGATAAGCCAAAGAATTCTGACTTTTTCCAGCAGGCAGTAGGAAGCCATCAAACTGGAGTTTTCGAAAGATTAAGCTTAGGAGCATTGTGAAGAGTAGATTAAACACAAGGAGAATCAAGAGGAAAGGATATGAATGAAAAGGCAGCAGGAATCTCAGATTCTTCTTTATATGTTAAAAATTGAAAGCATAAGACTACATTTTATGTTTGTATATTTTCCCACCAATGGAAGTGTTACTCTGCCTGATGCACATAGCGTAAGAACCACCTCTTACTTGTTTTTAGCTTTAATCCCCTTTTCCTAGGGATCCAGAACATTTGTGTCAAGATACTCTGAGAAACTGAGCATAGTGGCATGTCCCTGTAATCCCAGCTCTCTGGGAGGCTGAAGCAGGAAGACCATAATTTCAAACCCAACTTGGGCAACTGACTCAAAAAAATGGAAGGGAACATAGTTCAGTAGGCCCAGTGGCTGCCTGGCGAGCGTGAGGTCCTGAGTTCAATTCCCAAAACCAAAGGGAAAAAAAAAAGACTGAGGATGTAGCTTAGTGCAAAAGCCTAGCTGGGTCCTCAGTATGGGGGTGGCGGTGACAGCTCTGAAGAATACTCCAGGTTTTTCTTGTTTTTGGTTTTGTTTTGAGAGAGAATTTTGCAGTGTGGTTCAAGTTGGCCTCAAGTTCACTGTGTAGCCCAGGCTGAACTCATGGCAATACTCCTGTCTTAGCCTCTGGAGTGCTAGGTTTACAGGCATGCAGCACCACACCCAGCTCAAACCTCAGATTTAAGTAACGTTCTTTTAAATTTTTGTTTTGTTTTGTTTTAGACAAGGTCTCACTATGTGCCCCAGGCTGGCCTCAGGCTCCAGGGATCTTCCTGCCTCAGGCTCCAGAGTCCTGGAATTATAAGCATAAACAACAACGCCCTGCTTATCTTTGCATATTACTTAGGAATAGGTGCCGTGGTACTCCAGTAATGAGGTGGAGAAATAGGTAGAAAATGAGGACCCTGGAGCCTTAGACAGGATTGCAGCTATTTATCTACTAATGCTCAGATCCTATGTTGTGGTTCAGTCTAGTAGGGATTGTCATTGTGTGACACAATGACAGCAGCTAATGGTTGTATTTCTCCTAATTTCTCCAGGGAGAACATCTTTGGTCCTACAGTTTTGCTACACTGACATTTTTCAAAGCTTGCGCTTTGTGTAAATAACTGGCTAGACTTCATATTTTCCACTACAGAAGGCTACAAGCTACAGTTCTCAGAGATTTAAACATACTACTTTGAGGATATTATCTACGTTAAGCCCAAGGGTTCTTCCTTTCTTATTCCAAAATGCTGAGATATTGGGGAGAGATACCCATGTCATCGAGCCAGACCAACAGAAGTTCCTTTGATCTGCTTCCACGGGAGTTCCGGCTGGTGGAAGTCCATGACCCTCCACTGCACCAGCCCTCGGCCAACAAGCCCAAGCCTCCCACCATGCTGGACATACCCTCGGAGCCATGCAGCCTCACCATCCATACCATTCAGCTCATCCAGCACAACCGACGCCTTCGCAACCTTATTGCCACAGCTCAGGCCCAGAATCAGCAGCAGACAGAAGGTGTCAAAACTGAAGAGAGCGAGCCTCTGCCCTCCTGCCCTGCGACACCTCCTCTTCCGGATGATCTTCTTCCTTTAGATTGTAAGAATCCCAATGTACCATTCCAGATCCGGCACAGTGACCCTGAGAGTGACTTTTATCGGTAAGGCAAACTTTTGCTGTATCTTAATGTTTTCCAGGAATCTTCCCATGACCCTGTTAAGTCTGTCTGAGGGTTTCTATTTCCAGGTGAGGAAACTGGGGACAAGAGCAGTTGACTTGGCCAAGGTCACCAAGTAACTAGCAGGAAGTCTTAAGTTTTGAACCCGAATCTTCAGAATGCAGAGTCTATGTAAAATTTTAGATGTGGTAGATACTATTTGAGTGCCTAGTATGTGTCAAGCATTTTACTAGGAGCAAGGTAATACATTTGGCTTGTGTAAAAAGATCAGGATCTCATAGTCTTCAGAGTCCAGTATGTTTATTGTAAAATACATGTACAGGTTTAGTTTAGTATCTTCAAATTGGGATTCATGGACTTCCTCTAATAGTATTAGGAATCTGCAAGTCTATACAAGAATATATGTGTTTGAGGCTTGACATATGCCTGCCAGTTGGGAGAGCTGAATCACCTTGACTGACTAGGACTAAAATGCTCAAATCCCTTCAAAAAATTTTTTTTGAGAATTTCTTATTGAGGGAGAATGTATATTTTATAATTACTATAACAAAAAATGTGATTTGTTGCAGAGTGTACAAGGTATGACTTAACAATAAAATGTGTTTAAATTAAAAAAAAAAAAAATATATATATATATATATATGTGTGTGTGTGTGTTGTACTTCCCCGAAAAGGCCCCTGAGATGGAAAAGATGGTGCAGAACGACGTCGTTTTTAGGAAGAAGCGCTTTTATTTTAGCTGGCCCAGCGACACAGTGCAGATGGAATTTGCAAAGCTGTGCAACTGAGTTAGAGTTTTGACTGATTTTTATAGTTCATTTATGATTAGCTCATTGATCATTAAGTACATAGTGATGAGAAACAGCAATAAGGTGGGCCTTTGTTCCCCTTTGCTTGAGGTCAGAGACATTTCACAGTGGGTGGTTAGCCAATTCATAGCCCTTGGACTGCCAATTCCAGGAACATTTGTCTCTCGTGAAGGGAACAATGGTTGACACAGCATCATTTGTCTCTTACAAGGGGAACAAAAGTTGACATAGCACAGAGGTTACTAAGGGGGGGGGATGATGCATTACAGAACAGCATAACGACGCGGTCAGTTAATTTATAACTATGTGGTTGGTGCTTGGTTACTAAGGTAACAAGCTCAGCACAGAATGACAATATTGCTAATAACTATCTTTTTAAGTAACTATTTTTGTTAATTATCTTTTAATCAATTATTTTAATTTTTCAGCATCTTAGTTTAACAATATGTATCTTTTTCTTTTTTTTTTTTTTTTTTGGTCTTTTTGAGACAGGATCTCACTATATATAGTTCAGGCTGGCCTTGAGCTCACTTTGTAGCCCACTATGGTCTCGAACTTGCAAGGATCTTCCTGCCTCAGCCTCCCGAGTGCTAGGATTATAGGCATGTGCCACCCTGCTCAACTTTTTTTAGTAAATTTATAGTCTGTTTGATTCTCGCATTCTTTTTTTTGGTATCATGCTACTGAGCTGTATCCTTGCCCCTTTCCTTCTTTCTTTCTTTTTTTTTTTTTTTTTTTTTTTTTTGAGATAGGGTCTCCCTCTATAGCCCAGGATGGTCTTGAACTTGAGATCCTCTTGCCTTAGTCTCCAGAGTGCTAGGAATTACATGCATGTGTCCCTGCACCTGGCTTACAAGAATTTTTAAATTCTATATTTTCATTTTCTGTCTGTCTGTTTCTGTTTTGTTTTTTTGAGACAGCGCCTTGCAATATAAAAACTATTTTTTTTTTTTTTTTGTCTTTTTGAGACTGAGTCTCACTGTGCAGTTCAGGCTGGCCTTGAGGTCACTTTGTAGCCCAGGCTGGTCCTGAATTTGAAACAATCCTGCCTCCTTAGCCTCCTGAGTGCTGGGATTACAGGCCTGTACCACCACAACTGGCTTTGTATTTTCATTTTGATAACATCATTTAGGAAGTAATAATGTAAAAAGGTTCTTGAATTTTGTTATTCAAAATCTGGTCAAGATCAGCAGCATCGCCCTGGCACTTGTTCGAAATACAGAATCCTAGGCTCCCAGGACCTGCTGAGTCAGAATCTGAATTGAACAAGCGCTATAAGAAAATTTAGGGGTACATTTAAGTGTGCAAAGTCCTACTCCAGATTCTGTGAATAACTGCTTTATAATCTAATGGTACTACTGAATTTCAGTGTGTACCTTTATAGTTAATGCCAGTTACTTTTCATTTTGAAATTTGTCAAAGCTACAGAAGAGTTCAAGTAATAGAATAGACATTCAAATACTCTTCACCTGGTTTCACCAATGGTTAATACTTGACCATATTTACTTTCCTGTATGTGTATATGTATATATGCATATGGACAAATACACAGATACATGCAGTGTATTTGAATGCATGTTATGGACATTTTTCACCCCTAAATTCTCTGCATAGTCACAAAACCAGTATCATGCTAAAGTATGAATGTTAATTAATGTCATTTGTTAAGTCCATATTCAGATTTCTCCAGTTGTTTTATAGATACTTTTTTCCATCTAGAATCAGATTGATGCATAGCATCTAATTTTTATGTCTCTTTAATATCATTATTAGTTCCGGTAATTGTTTTGTAGAATGTCCTCCTTACTAGCTGCTCTGATTACTTCCTCAGGGTTAGATTCAGGTTAAAGAAGTTCTGCAAGGATACTGCAGAAATAGTATTGTATGTCATTTATTACATCTGTCTATTGGTGATCATCGTTACTATTTTTATTGTCCTAATGAGAAAAGCATGTTTGAGATGTTAGGGCTGCAGTTGGGCCATCTGATGTCAAGACACACTGTGTAACTGAAAATTCTGAGAAAGTTCTAGAAGAACGAAAGGGAGAATAATAAATGTGTTATTATATGCATAGCATGCACTAGCACAGACATGCTTAACTCAAAAACTTACTCGAAAGCAGTCACTAACATTTTGAGGGCAATATAGTTTCAACAAAATATTATCCATCAGCTGGGCATGGTAGCTCACACCCAGCACTCAGGAGGGTGAGGCAGGAGGATCGTTGCAAGTTTGAGACCAGCCTAGGCTAAAGTGAGCTCAAAGCCAGCCTGAACTGCATGGAGAGACCCTGTCTCAAAGAGACAAAAGAAAAAAAATTATCCATCATATCAAATTGATGCTGCTTCCTAGGCATGGTGGTGCATACCAGTAATTCCAGCACTCTGGCAGGCTGAGCCAGAAGGATTGCAAGTTCAAGCCCAACTTGGGCAATTTAACAAGATCCTGTATCAAAAAAAGAGGGGAATTTGGTGATATAGCTCAGTGCAAAGGCTCTAGATTCAATTCCATACCCCACCTAAAAACTTGGTGCTATTAATTTTATTAATATTATATGTTTCATGTCAGATTTCTGTTATAATTGTTACCTATAATCATCAAAATTTATACCTAGTTTTGTGTCATCTATATTTTAAGAAATAGGTTAACAGAAATGATTTGTACCGGCTATTGGGAAACCAACAAATTATTTTTTGTTGAAAATAGTCCATATATTATTCAAGTAAAGTGGTAGTGGTTCAGCTGTCTGAGTATTAGTCTCCTCCAAGGCTTTGAGCCTTTGGCCCAGAGATACTGGCTACGGAGATGATGGTGTAAATATTAAAGGCAAAGTCACTTAGCAATTTTTCAACTATTCAACTGTCTTATTTTTCAACTATTTCATGAATTGCAGTAATTGTTACTGAACAGATGATGGTGATGTGGGAGGACCATTCTTCAAGCACTCTTGCACAGTGTGGGGATCCACACTTCATCCAGCCAGAAGCATTGATTTTATGTTTTGTTTTTTATTTATAAAATAACTCCCACTGCTAGAAAGAGGCAGGAGTCAGAATGGAAATGTTTTTTGGTGCTGGGGATCGAACTTGTGACCTCACGCTTGCCAGGCAGGCACTTACACCTCCGAGCTAAATCCCCAGCTCCCCAGATAGGAAAAATTTAAGGAGGAATATAACTTATCAAACACTTGTTGAAACTGTCTTTAGGACAGCAGACAGCTTTTCTAGATCAAGATTTCTGTAATAGTGATTGGAGCAACACATTATGAAGTATATGGGCTCTGTAGTCAGAAGGCCGCTGGTTATTAATAAAACCTAGCCCATTTTTGGCACATTGGCCTCTCTGAGCCTCAGTTTGCTTGATAGGAATGACAGTGATACAGACCCTACCCATTTCACAGTGTAACATACATGAAAAGGTTTTGTAAGCTCTGTGTGTTTCACACAGAGCTTCTATACAATTGAGTTGCCTTCTCAGTTTAAACTGATCTCCTATAGTTGTATAAGAATCTCCCAGTGAGAACTAAAGTTTTGAAAGTTTATCACCCACTATGTGTGGAGACTACAGTGTGGTTAAATAAGAGCGTCTTTGAGCAGTGTCTCAGCACTACTGTTCACCTGCTCCAGACGGAACAGCCCAGAGAAGGAGGTTCCCTTTTCCCTGGGTAACCTCGGGTGCTGTTTATCATGGGCAGACGCATAGTGCTGTTCAGCTATGCAGGGGAAGGGCTCAGAGATTTAACTGTGGGAGGCCTGGCCATGGCCTCAGCAGCTCAGTGAAACTCTGCTGTGTAACCTGGATTGAATTTTCCTGGAAAGCGAGCCAGCGATTTGATAGGCATTGTAGAGCTCCTAGACAGACTGGAAGCTCACTAATAACGCTGTCGCGTCTGCACTTTCAGAGGGAAAGGGGAACCTGTGACCGAACTCAGCTGGCACTCCTGTCGGCAGCTCCTCTACCAGGCGGTGGCCACCATCCTGGCTCACGCAGGCTTTGAGTGTGCTACCGAAAGCGTGCTGGAGACCCTCACCGACGTGGCCCATGAGTACTGCCTTAAGTTCACCAAGCTGCTGCGCTTTGCCGTGGATCGGGAGGCCCTGCTGGGACAGACTCCCTTCCCTGACGTTATGGAGCAGGTGTTCCACGAAGTGGGCATTGGCAGTGTGCTCTCCCTCCAGAAGTTCTGGCAGCACCGCATCAAGGACTATCACAGTTACATGCTGCAGGTGAGTGGGCCGGTGTGGCAGTGGACAGAGCTGTCCAGTCTAGGGATGTTCAGCAGGGTCCCCCCACCCTTGCTCTGAAGTGCAGAACACAGGGTTTGAAGTGAACGTAACATTCTTTTCGCGTGGCCCCAGCTGTTTCCAGGTCCTTTCCCTGACTTGGCCAGCCACTAGGGACAGCCCATCCACTAATATTCCCTCTGGAAGAAATTCTACATGAGTATTGAATGTGGTTGGCTTTGTTTTGTTTTTTGGGTTTTTTTTTTTGGTCTTTTTGGGACAGGGTCTCACTATGCAGTTCAGGCTGGCCTTGAGCTCACTTTGTAGCCGAGGCTGGTCTTAAACTTCCAATGATTCCCTTGCCTCAACCTCCCAAGTACTGGGATTATAGGCGTGTGCCACCACACCTGGCTGGGTTAGCTTTTTTTTGGTGGTACCAGGGATCAAACTCACAACCTCCCACTTACCAGGCAGGCACTTATGCCCTTATGCCGCTGAACTAAATCCCCAGCCCCTTGTTTAGCTTTTTATTCAAAAGATATATATTTGAGCGTAGCATGTAAGTCAGGCATCATGGGACATAGCCGTTAGCAAGATAGGTCCCTTGAACTCATAGTCTTGTTGAGGGGAGACAAAAACAGGTAAACAAATAATGACCATAATGTTGAGTGCCATGAAAATCAAACTTTGTGAGGTAATAATTGTTTGGAACAATAGAGAGGACATTTTTGATTCAGCCACAAATATTTGTTGAACCCCTGCAGTTGTCAGTAAGTCATATGCTCACTGTTGCTATTTCCCAGACCTAAAATATACTTGGTAATCTCTAACACGCAGCCACCACCAAAAAAAGACTTTGCTAAGTAATCCACATTTCCCACCTCGCTTATTGCTACCCAGGGTAGCTATGCCTGCTGTACTTTTTATAGACAAACATGTAATCTTTTGTCCCTGATTTATCTGTAATACAATCTAACCCTACTTTATTTTTAAATTTTAATTGATGTCACTTTTTCTTTACAAATCTCTTCTACTTACAAATGCAAACTTTACACGTTAACACCTTAATTCCTTCCATTGGCAGTGGAAGGTTTTGTGTCTTGCTGTGCTGGGGACTAAACTCATTGCCCAACCTTTGCTGAGCAGGCTTGCTAACCCTGAGCTACACAGCCAGCTCCAGCACTGGCATTTTAAGAACTTTTTGGTCCCCATATTTTGTTGGCTTTTCCTTTCCATGCCACATGCTAGCCATCCAATTTGCTTCATTAACAAACATTAACTCCTGCTTGTCAACAGATTAGTAGGCAACTCTCTGAAGAGTACGAAAGGATTGTCAACCCTGAGAAAGCCACAGAGGATACAAAACCTGTGAAGATCAAGGAGGAACCAGTGAGCGACATCACCTTTCCTGTCAGTGAAGACCTAGAGGCTGACCTTACCTCTGGAGACCAGTCTCTGCCCATGGGAGTTCTCGGGGCTCAGAGCGAGCGCTTCCCTTCTAACCTGGAGGTGGAAGCCTCACCACAGGCTTCAAGTAAGAGATAGCAGTGTTTTCCATTTTGATTCGGGGAGATCTGTTGACCTTAGCACTCAGTAGTGTTTAGGAATCAAGCTCTGGAGATGGGAAAACAAAGCTGGGAGTAGTATCCTATCTTTAGTGACCTGAAGATCCCAGAATCATTCTAATTAGTGAAGAGGGGACCAGCACAGCTTTACAGGCTTTCTGCTCAGTAACCTTCGGGTGGGATGTGGATGGGTACATTGTGTGTTTTCTGTGGATTGCCAGGATGGATTCAGCTAATTGACCTGGTTAGGCAGATACCTCTTCTTCCTTTAGGATTCTGTGTCAGTCCTTGACAATGTTAGTACTTGATAGAACAAGACAACTGCCAGACAGATGCAGGAGTGTCAGCTGCTCAAGGATGTTTAAAGGGTTGAGCAGCCTTGCTAGAGTATTCCAACGATTTGGAAATTAGAAGGATGGAAATAGGAACAGTTGAAGGAGTTGGCCTCTTCCAGACATAGGCTGTGGCCTTAACCAGGACAGCAGACTATTACTTGAGTCAGTTAAACTGACATTCACAGTAGGCCATACGTCATGTCTTCATCCCAGGCAGCTCGAACTACCGCTGGTACATGCATGACTGTCCCACTGAGTGGCTTTTTATTAATTAGTAAAAAGCCTGGTAAGTGATTAGATCCATTTGTATCACCAGTGGTATAATCTGCCTGATATGACAGTCATAAATATACCAGTGATGGTTCAAGCTGGCAAGAATGTGTTAATCTGGGTTTGATTTTTTGGTTTTTGAGACAGTCTCATTGTCAACCTGGCCTCAAACTCGTGGCGATCCTCCCACCTTAGCCTCTGAATGCTGGGACTACAGGCATGCACCACCATGCCCAGCAGGAATGTGTTAATCTGGCCACTTGGTTGTTTATAAACATAAATCTTTTTTATAAACAAATCGTTACTTCATCCATGCAGAAGTAACTCAAATGTAGCCTAACTTAAATGTTGGGAAGAGAGCCTTTCACCATGGAAGAATAACAATCCCAGCATTGCTAGCTGGGCAGTGATGGCAAACCTACGGCACATGTGCCACAGCAGGCTGTTCCTGTCATTGAAAGCTCGAAGAGGTTCACTATCATTGGAGTAGGGGAAGGGGACAGACATAGGGACTGTAACTGCTGTCAGTGTTATGTAGAGATCATGAAGTCTTCATAATGTGAGAAAAGACCAGACATCCAAACAACAAGTAGGAAAACAAGACAGCCCCACAAACAAGGACAGGCAAACCATACAATGAACAACACCCAGAGCTGTGCCTGCTTTTTCACACTGAAGATGCAGGGCCTTGGGGCTGGAGGTTTAGCTCAGCGGCATAAGCGCCTGCCTTGCAAGCAGGTGGTCATGAGTTCGATCCCCAGTACCGATAAAAATGAAAAAGACCAAAAAAAAAAAAAAAAAAAAGATGCAGGGCCTTCACACTGAACTATATTCCCAGCCTTTTTTTTTTTTTTTTTTTAACATTTTGAGACAGGATCTTGCTAGGTTTCCCCGGCTGTGCTGGAACTCACAACCTCCTGCCGCAGCCTCTGATAGTGCTGGCTTAACAGACATGACATGCCTGGTTACCTGGCTTTGGCCATGGGATAGGGAATCTCTCCTCCTGCAGTTTTGTCTGGTTTGGGGAAAATGGAGACAGGTGAGGTAAAGGAAAGAAATGTGGAAAAAACAGGAAGCTATTTACAGCTGGCAATTTGTTGAAGCTTTCTGAAGCAAAGAATAACCATCATATTCTCTAGCCAAGCACAGAACCAGGAAAAACTGAGCCCACAGGATCCTCATGGATCCTGGGGGGATATTCATTCTGCCTCGGCTTCCCATTGGGTAAACGTTCTTCCCTCACTTCTAGGTGCAGAGGTCAGTGCTTCTCCTCTTTGGAACCTGGCCCACGTGAAAATGGAGCCTCAAGAGAGCGAGGAGGGCAACGTGTCTGGGCACGGTGTGCTGGGCAGCGATGTCTTCGAGGAGCCCATGTCAGGCATGAGTGAGGCTGGGATCCCGCAGAGCCCCGATGACTCAGACAGCAGCTACGCGTCCCACTCCACAGACAGCCTTATGGGGTCCTCCCCTGTCTTCAACCAGCACTGCAAGAAGAGGATGAGGAAAATATAAAAGGAAAAGGCCAGACCCAAAATCCTACAGGAAACCTTGGTTTGATCAGAATTTGTTTCTGTAAACAGGGATTTGATTCTTATTTTTAAAAATTAGGCTTCACTAATTTCAGAAAAACTGGACTTAACCAAGTAAGTTTGCATTTACTGTGGCAGCCAGCTGTGGTTTCCACAGCAACTAAGACCACTGTGCCGCATTCCTTAGGGTCTCTGTGGCTGGTTTTCCTCGAACAGCTGAGAAGAATCACGCCACTCTGCTATCAGTCATGCAGGGGTGGGGACCGAGATGTCTGCCCAGCTTCAAAGTGGTATTTGAGTACTACAAATTCATGCTGATGCCAGCTTTCATTCAATTTTGATTCATTTCGATTCACTTTTGGTTCAGGTCGCTGGGAATTCAGTACAATAGCTAATAAGAAATAGCTAATACAACAAAGCTTCCCACTAGTCATCTTTTTAACAATGTTTCAGCTGCCTATGAAGTCCCATAAATGTATCAGGTCTGTGGTAACAAGCTTTCCTGTGCGTTCAGACAGCCCTCTCAGCTCACCCACGTTTTCTTTAACCTTCTCTAGACTTCCTTACCCTTTTTACCTTTATTTCTCCTCACTCAGACTTTTACGTAAGGTTCACTGTGTACATTTTTCTAGCTGTTCCTCACATGAAGGATTTTGTCCTTCGTGAATGAAGCAGACAGGACCAGTCCAAGGATCGGCTGTGCTTCTTCCCTGTGCTGTGTCTGCTTGGTCATCAGGGGACAGTGGTCCACTTCTCCGAGTCCCTCGCCTACACACTGTGCTTCTGCTACCCAGTGGGCAGCCTCTGACAGAGTGAAACACACCTGTCCACTCCACACCCAACCCAAACGGCTTCCCTGTTCCACATCCAGCACAGGATGGGTCCTGCTGGTACCTGGCAGTCTCTTAGCAAGGAAATGGGGTAGCACGGGATTGGAAATCAGTAACAAACGTTGCTTCAGAACTTGCTGCTGAGTGCCACTGTGTCCCATGACACTGCTCAAGTTTGATTTTCTGACACGGAATACAAGTCCTGGGAAATGCAGACAACTCTGAATAGAGACCAAAAATAAGGCACAGCTTTAAGTAATAAGTTAGTGAGTGCCTTAAATATCCCAGGGATTGAGAATGAAGTGGCTGTAGCAGGTAGGTTATAACTTCCATGTTAAGAAGTAAGTTACAAACCTGACTGCATATCCTTAGCACACTTGTCTGGACCTTTCTTGTCCAGTCTTGGCTTCATTTCCCCTTGTCTGCTAACAGGAATGGCCAGCAGGCAGCCTGTGTAAGGTGGCCACCTGGGCACTTCACTCATAGCAAACATTTATTAAATACTTACTGTACACACTAGCTCATGTGCAAGCAATAAAAAGATGGTTGAGATTTGGTCCAGGCCCTTACAGAGCTGAGCGCATAGGGGAGACAAAATGTTTTTATAGGGAGAGCTGGCATCAAAAGCACTGCAGAAGAAAACTGAGTTATGTTCAGAATTTTGCTGTACAGAAGGTTTCCCCTTAAAGAATAGGTCAAATATTACACCAGTGAGTTCCACTATGTAGAAAATACTGAAATTAATACTTCATAAAAATACTTTTAGTACTTTGGAAAGTTTGAATTGAGAAATATGCCAGGCATGATGGCACCTATCTATCCTGGCACTCAGGAGGCTGAGGCAGGAGGATCACCATGAGTTGTAGGCCAGCCAGGGCTATGTAGTGACTTCAAGGCCAGTCTGAATTGTGTAACAAGACCCTGCCTCAATAACAGATATCAGTAATAATAAATTGAAGAACAGCCATAGATTACGATCAGAGTATGCTAAGGGAAGTCATTAAGCCACCTGAAGGTTGGTACCCAATTTACCTAGCTGGGAAGATACCGTAAGCTTCTGAAATGAAGCATTGTTTCTCATACTAGGGTGCACCAGAATCACCTAGTGGGCTTATTAAAACATGCTGCTCGACCCCACTGCAGAGTTTCTACTTCAGTAAACTTTGCAAGGTGTTGCATTTGAATAAAACACCAGCGATACTCTGAAATTATATCAAATACCAACGAGGCTCAGCTCAGGTGTTTGTACCTGGGAAGCTGATGCACACCACCACCTTAGTGAAACAGGTTTGGACGTGACTTTAGGCCTCTACTAAACAGTGACTGTGACTGTGTAAGTTTTGACTTGAAATCATGACAGGCAGGCTTATAACAAAGTTACAATTAAAACCTCTTTATCCAGATCACCATTTAAACCGGATTCTTATTTAGAAATCACATACTTTGCCACTTTCTTCAGCAAACCTGATGTCCTAGGATGAGCTACCTAGTGTGACACGCATGTCACATCAACAGTCTGGTCGCCAAGGAGATCCTACTGCCACTCTGGACAAGCTTGTTTTCTCTCTCCATGGTAAGAGTAACTCAAGCCAAGGGCCCAAGGCTGAGAAGTGGATGGATCCAGTCGACAGAGATAGAGGTGGTCATCAGGCAATTCTCCATGATCCATAGCAGCGAGGGAACTTGAGTTAAATGGTGAAACTTCAGGTTTTGGCCTGAAAGCAGTCAAGATATTCTTCCGTGCAGAAATACAAGGCAAAGGCCCAGGCAGATCTGGCATTTACTTGCTTGCTGCAAGAGTCTTCTTTCCCTTCTTCATCTGAGTCATGAGGTTTCCCTAAAAAGAAACTACTATTCTGAAGAGAAAAATATTTTTTACAGTGCTAGGGATCAAACCCAGAGCCCTGTGCACGCGGGGCAAAGGCTCTGCCATGGTTCCCCGCTAACTCCCCAGCGATACAATGCGCATCACATCCCCCAGCCAGAGGTAAGGACAGTGTATTCATGGAGGTCCAGAATTCGGCACTTCTGGAAACTAGTGACGTTCCGAGACATTTATTTGTTTCTCTTCCAGTACTGTGTCCTTGATTCTTGCATAAAATTCTGAAATGCTGGCTCTTCATGGCTTTCCTCTGTAACTACAAGGAGGAAAAACATGATTTTCTAAAACTCTTCAGACAAGCAGATCAGAGCTCCTACCACCCATCAGCAGAAGCAGTACTGTATTTCTAGGAAACTACTCACTTCTCACAAGGAAAGATACCCCAGAAGCATGCAGAACTTAGCATGCTGCCAAGATGTACAGCTTTATAAGTGGGGAAGAATACCTCATTTATTAATGCCATGAATGTGACTCTTAGGTATTTTTATTTGCATTTTTTATTTCATGGTGTATTTTGCCAAAAGAAAAACATACCCACACAGACCTAGTTGTAAATGTCTATGGCACCTTTACTCATAATAGCTCAAATCAACCCAAATGTCAATTGGCTGAGGATGCAAGCTGTATAATACATCCAAGTAACAGAATGTTACTCGGTAATAATAAAGGACACTGTACTCTACGGTACTGATGAACATAACGCCTATACTCCAGGCAACAACATGAACAAAACATGAAATAATTATGTTGTGTAAATAAAAGTCAAATATAAAAGACTAACTACAATGAGTCTACTTTTTCACCACTCTGGAATGAGCAAAACAGTTGTAACAGAAACCAGTGGCAGGGTGTACTGTTAGCATGCATGAGGTCCTGGGTTCCATTCCCAGCACCAAAAAGAAATTTTCTTTTAAAAACTTTTTATCTAGGCATAGTGGCACATGTCTGTAATCCCAGCACTTGGGAGCCTGAGGCAGGAGCATTGCCACAATTCCAAGTCAGCACAGGCTACGTAAAGTTCATTCATGACCACCTGGACTATATAGGGAGACACTGTCTCAGAAAGGATATTTTTTTAATTAAAGAAAATTTAAGGGGCCAAGGATTTAGCTCAGTGGCACAACACCTGCCTGACAAGCGTAAGATCCTGAGTTTGATTCCCAGGATGCCCCCCCCCAAAAAAAACTTTAAAATCAACAAAATGTATCATGTATACAAATTGCCCATGATAAATATGATCATTATGTGTATCTAAAATGTACCAACAAACAATGTTTTAAAAATTAAAAACCAAAACCGTAACAACAAAGATCCTGGATTCTTTTCTTTTTTTTGTACTGACGAATGAATTCCCTTGCTCTTGCCAGGCAGGCGTTTGTGCCACTGAGCTAAACCCTGGCCCTATTTCTGGATTCTTTAAACTGAGTTAGAATGTAAAGCTCAGAAGACACCCAGGGATATAGCTAGCGGCACAGTGCCTGCCTGGCAAGTGCAGGGTCATGAGTTCAATTCCTGGTACCCAGAAAAAAAGGAAGGTCCAATATGAAAGGCCTGTAGCTAACCATTTAATAAGGCAAAAACTCTCAATACAGGAAATTCTGCTCGTGCTATATCCTTCACCTTCTCTTCTTCCTACCACTAACCACAAGCTTAAGATCTCTCAACAACGAGAAGGTCCTGAGTGAGCCACCTGGGCCACCTTACCTCTGTGATCAATGTCATCAGTATCACTGTCAGCAACCTCATCCTCTTCATCCAAGGTTCCTCGAGTCAGGATCAAGTCAGAAGGGTCCAGCGCAGGAGATGCACTGTCTGGAGAAACACCACCTATCAGCACAGGTACCTCTTCAAAGAGGTGATTCCGAATCAGTAACTGCAGTTACAAACTGGCAGGAAATGGGTTCTCTATGAATATGTCACAGGCCCTTGCTGCTGCTAAATGTATTGCTAATGGCACTTAACAATCTTTTCTTTTTGTCTTTTTCATTTTTATCAGTACCAGGGATCGAACTCACGACTGCCTGCTTGCAAGGCAGGTGCGTATGCCGCTGAGCTAAATCCCCAGTCCCGTCACTTAACAATCTACGGTAGATTAGTTCAAAGTGCTACTGTAAGTCCAGAAGTGCAAGGGGCCCAGACTTCCTTCTGAAAAGAACACAAGCACTCAGTCCACGTGAGCAGTGCTCTCTTCACCAGCACACACCCTAGAAGACACTACCGGCATGATCTGTCGCACCGAGACTGAAGTCACGTGAACAGATCCAGTGTGCTGGTGGCTTGGGGTGAAAGAACAGAGCCCTAGGAAGCTCCCTGGTGGACGCCAAGTTCAGAGAAGTTCTGAAGAAAGCATAGGGTACAATGAGAAGAGCCAAAGCATTTTTCAAGAAAGGGAGTAGAAGCCGGGCATCACTCCTGTGATCCCAGCACGCAGAAGGCAGAGGTAGGGGACCACAGTGAGTTCGAGGCCAGCCTGAACTACACAGTGAAACCCAGTCTCAGACCAGAAAGAAAAAGGGCAGAAAATGGGAAGTGAGATATACTAATAGAGGTAAAATTCCCTCGGGCCGATAGGGCAAAGTTTTTAAGAGTTTTCAGTGATAACAAACGTCTGGCTGTGACACAGGTGCCATGGTTCGCCATCACTGCCCTAGCGAGACTAATCAGAAAAAAGTCTGATCAAGTAATTGCAGGCAGGGGATTTGCCTTCTAGGAAACAGTTGCTTTGAAAACCTAAAACCACTGGAGAACACAGCCACTCTCTCTTCAGGAACCTAGGAGGCTTTCAGGAACTCAGCTGGGGAATAAGGACCAAAGGCAGTGACATAAAGGGGCACAAAACTCAAGGGAGCTGTGGCCCTGAAGGGATGATGGCAGGAGGTAAATGCTTCACTCTTTGTTCAACCAGGAATTATCCAGTTATTCTTGAGATTGTCCCCCAGTGACCCATGGAAACTAGACTCATCATCTTACTGGTTGGCCATAATTTTGTCCTACCTTATACTCACCTTGTGATTTTCCATTGTATCAATATTAGCTAAGCGACTGTCCTTGTTATCTTATTAGTTAACTAAAGTTTGTCCCACCTTAATACCTGCTTCACCTCATCATTTTACTCTATAAAACTTGCTTGAGAAGTGGGTTCCCTTGGCCACCCACTTGGGACCCCCTTCTGTCCCTCTAAGGCAGAAGCTTTTTTTCTCTCAATAAATATCTTCTACGCTTAAAAAAAAAATTTAAAGGCAAAAAAAAAAAAAAAAAATCAGATAGCTCTATCAATAAACTGGCAAATGACCTAAACAGATACTTCTCAAAAGAAGTGCTACAGCCTGGGTGTGGTGGCACACACCAGTAATCACAAAACTCCTGAGGCAGGAGGAACACAGGTTTAAGCCCAGCCTGTACAAATTAGTGACTATGAGGCCCTGCCTCAAAATAAAAAAGGGCTGGGGACGTAGCTCAGTGCAAAAGCCCTGGGCTCAATCCCTAGGAAAAAGAAGGGAGAAAGAGGAAGGGAAGGGGAAAGAAAGGAAAGAAGAAGAAAGAGATGAAAAGAGGAAGAAAGAGAAAGAAATGGAAGAACAGGAGGAAGATGAAAAGGAAGACGAATGAGGAGGAGGAGGAGGTGAGGAGGGAGGAGGATAAATGGCCCCGAAGTGTAAGAAAACATGCGCAACATTCCATAGTCACTAGGGAAGCACATCAAAGCAATCAGGGACGCCATCACACCCAGTCAGAATGGTGGCATCAAAAACAGAAAAGAACAGTTGGGCGAAGTGCCTCAGTCCTAGGATCCCGGCTTTCTCAGAGGCTGAGGCAGAAGAACCCTGAATTCCAGGCCAGCTTGGACCACACAGTAGACCCGAGGCCAGCCTGGACTATGTGGTAAGAAACTGTCTCAAAAAAGGAAAGCGAGCAAATAAATAAATGCAAAAGCCAAAAAATGTTGACAAGGATGGGGGTGAAGAGGAACCCTTCTACACTCTGGTGGGAACCCAATCAGTAGGGAGGTTCCCCAAGAAACTAAAACTAGAACCCACGGACCCAGTCATAACACTTAGGGTACACCCGGAGAAATCATAATACAGGCTACAGGTAAAAATGACGTCCATTCCGGGAGAATGTTTGTAGGTCACATTCATTCCTGAGTCTCACAAAATGTGTCTTACACACCTCTGGCACAAGTATACAATGTAAAGCATTAAAAAAACAAGTGCGAGGTCTGTTTGTATCTGTGAAAGTTTACAACTCGAATGTAAGTCAAGGATTTATTGTCCCTGGGCACCCACACTTACCGTGACACAATTCACAAAAGCCGAGACACGGAAACAACCTGGGTCCCTATCCATAAACAACCAGATAAAGAAAACGTGGCAAAAAAAAAAAAGGCAAAAAAGGGGCTGGGGATTTAGCTCAGCAATAAGCACCTGCCTTGCAAGCAGGCGGTCATGAGTTCGATCCCTGGTATCAATAAAAATGAAAAAGACAAAAAAAAAAAAAACGTTGGCAACAGAGGGCTATTTGGCCATAAAGAACAAAACTATGTTATTTGCAGAAAAATAAATGGAACTGGAGACCATCATGTTAAGCAAAGTGTTCTCTCTCATATGTAGAGTCTAGAAGGGAAAAAAAATGGCATGAAAGGAGAAGGGTGCCTCTCACCAGGCCAGAGGGAGGAGTACGGGGAGGAGGGAGCGTGAGAGAAGATACAGGGGGACAGATGTGATAAAATGTTATATTCATGAACAGAAAAAATACAGAGACCCAGTATTTTGTAAAATAAATAGGCACTAATTAAAAAAAAAAACAAAAACAAGTATATCTGTTCAAGAAAAGCCCGCTCCCTTGCTAGCTGGGCCACCAGAAGCCTGCCCAATACCTCTGGCGGTCCCCGCCTCCAAGGCCACCGAGCCCATGTCCTTCCGGAGGCGCTCCAGCTGCTCCTTCTGCTGTTCGCTCTGCGCGCTGGCCTGCATGGAGGGGAAAGGTCATCGGATTAACAAAGGCGGCCCCGGGGGTGGTCGACTGTGTGTCTACCTGTGCAAAGCCCTGGGCTAAATCCTTAGCACTGAAAAATAAAACGAAAAAGGACCTGGACTAGATGACACTTCAAAGTGAAGAGGAAGAATCATGCAAACATTGGAAGCTCATGAAGGAGCGCGGACAGAGGACAGAAATACTACATAGCGTGGGCCTGGCGGAGAGCAGAACTTCACCCCATTACAAGACTGAGAAATAGAAAACTAAACCCTAGAACCCTCAGAGACATCGAGAGAGAGAGGCTGAGAGTCAGAGGACCAAAGCAGATCCGAGGGCAGGACACTGACCATTTGGGACAACACTTGTGAGCCACCTCTATATTCTTAAAATTCTACAACTAACCTTTAAACTGATCTTAGAGCAGGGGAGAAGGGTTTTGTATACACAATAAGAGAAAATCTGACTTCTGCTAATTCAAAGGCAAGCAGGAAAAACACGGAAGGGATCACTCTGCATAAGGAACACACAGACCAATTTCCAGATTTAAATTAACAAGTATTTGAGGCCACATATAATGGCATGGGCCTACTGCAGGGTATCAAAATAAAAATTAACCACATTGTTAGGAGCTCAAGACGCTTGTTTTGTGTTTGCTTTTCTAATTGGCTTGGTTTTGGTTTTCTGAGACAGTATCTATGCAGTTCAGGCTGGCCTTGAACTCATAGTGATCCTGCCGAGTGATGGAATTACAATGAACACCACTATGTCCAGCTCTGTATTGCTTCAAAAGACAAACTGTCGCCAGGCATGGTAGCCCACACCTGTAATCCCGGCAGTCAGAAGGCTGAGGCAAGAGCATCGCTGCAAGTTCAAGGCCAGCCTGAACAGAGTGAAAACTTGTCTCAAAAAGATAAGTTGTCTAGCTGTGCTGCCCACACTGACTTCAAATTCCTGAGCTGGAATGCAACCGACTTCCCCAATACCTGGGACTGTCCCAGAGTACACAGATTTAGGTTTTTAGTAACTCCCAGCAACACAGTCCTGTTTCTTACCAGTGATTTCTTCAGGCGTTCGTATTCAGGACGATACTCCCTGGAAAAGCAAACACTCTTTAACTGTCTTGCTTAGTAATCCAAACTGTGCACTCCTGCCCCGTCATTTCTGTTTCCTTGAGACTGACAGCAATAACAGATCTGACTTCATCGAGTAACTGACGTAACAAGTCTTACTTGCCGAGGGAGTTCATCCCTATGGAGTTCAAACCCAAGGCGCTCGCCCCTACTCGGAAAATGTGGAAAGCAGGCAAACTGTCTCTGGGCTGCACGGGTTAGCCCCGGTGACACCCTGACGGCCACGCCCCGTATTCATTTGAGAGGAACAGCAGAGGTCAGGACCACGTCGCTCAGGAAGGCCAATGAATGAAGGAAAACTTGAGCAACAACCACAAATGGCTGCAGACTGGAGTCTATTCTGAGGCTATTCTGGTAGAAGGAAAAAACCAGAACAAAATACCCTGCCTGCTGAACTGACTGAAAACGCTGTGTCTGAAAACTACGATGTGGCTGTCAGGACCCAGCAAATTGGGAAGCTGAAAGAGCACGCTCATGCGGTCCCAGCATCCTGGAGCTCTAGGGCTCTCTCCTCTAGGTCAGTGGAATCCAGGGAACTACGAAAACAGGCGGAACAACCGCTCATCATGAAATACGCTTCCCGTGTGTCAGGAACTAAGGCAAGGCCACCACAAACGTTTTACCAAGTAACACGAATGAACCCAGGGCCAAAGCCAGCTGTTTTCTGTGAATAATGTCTCGGGGAACATGGCCAGCCCCTTCCCTTTCTAAACCAGCTGAGAATGCCTTTGTCCCACAAGAGCGGAAGTCCATAGCTGTCCACAAGCCTAAAATATTTGCTAACTGGTTCTTCACATAAAAAGCGCAATGATCCCTGCTTCCTCATCATGCAGCAGTGTCGATCTGATACTTTTCTTTTGCAAACCTGGGCCTTCACACTGAGCTGCATCTTCAGCCCTGATTTTTTGAGATAGGATCTCACTGAAATTACTAAGTTGACTAGGCTGGACTTGAACTTATGGTCCTTCTGCCTCAGCCTCCCAGAATGCAGGGCTTACAGGGCTTGGAGGGCCACCCAACCTCCCTTGATACTTCTATGTTTTACAAAGGTCAATGGAATGGAATAACTAGATGGCACAGGCCTTTAATCCTAGAACTTGGGAGGCTGAGGCAGGATGGTGTGTTTAAGGCTAGCCTGGCCTATACAGTGAGACCCAGACTCAGGAGAATAAAAAGCCAAGAAGATTTGCTACTCCTAAGTGTGACCAGGTTCAGTGCCTACATACTTAGCAGACATACAGCAGACGCAGTGAGAACCTAAAGGCCTGGCTGGTGCCTCAGGACAGGGCTGCGAAGGGTGCCATCAGGAGAAGGCTCCTTCAGCTCACCTTTCGTACTCTTCTGCAGCACTGGCCACCTGCTGCATGAGTCCATCGAAGCCGGTGCCCAGGACAGCGGACACACCCACCACCTGCCAAAATCATCATCAGTGCCACTGCGGAAACTAGGGAGCGTTTTTCAGTGTTGTGTATAGATCATAAAATTGTCACGGAAATGGTGTAAACTTTGAGAAGTCTCTGGCAGAAAAGTAAAGCTAAAACAGAATAAACCGGCACACCTAGTCAAGAGTCATGAAAGTAAGTCTACAGAACATACAGAATTGAAAAAAGACAGCAATAATCAGGGCTAAATGAGTAGCAGGACTTATGATCCACTCCTTTAAAAACCAGCCAGACGTGGTGGTGTACACCTGTCATCCTGGCACTTGGGAGGCTGACGCAGGAGGACTGCTGTGACTTCGAGGCCAGCTTGGCCTCCATAGTGAGTTCAAGGCCAGCCTGAACTATACAGTGAGACCCCGTCTCAAAAAAAAAAAAAAAAAAAAAAAAAAGAAGAAGAAAGAAAGAAAGCCAACCCAAACCAAACCATTTTCTGTTCTGTCAACATTTTACTGGGCAGGTAATACATTCTCTGCATCTCATCCTGTCTACACAGCAATTACCCTAAACTAGATCATAAACATTCAAAAAAGTAGGGTTTATCTGTGTGTGTATGAGACTGGGGGTTGAACCCAGGGGTGCACTACCATTGAGCTATATCCCCCAACTTTTTTCTTATTTTGAGACAGGGTCTAAGTTGCTCAGAAAGGATTTAAACTTGTGATCCTCCTGCCTCAGCCTCCCAAAGTGCTAGGATTAGACAACAGCTAAGGTATGGGAATCTTACTCATCTTCTAAAGCTCTGTCTTTTCCGTGTGTCTTGTTTTTCTATGCTGGGGGTCAAACAAAGGCTGCACACGAGGCAAGGGCTTTACCCCTGAGCTGCTTCCCCAGACCACAAGCTGGTCCATGGGTGAGCAATGCTTCAAAAGTCACTTTCACAAGGTAACAAACGTGCTTCTAAATGAGGCTCAGGTCAGTCCTGGGGGTTAGGAGGCGATCTTGAAAAACTATCAGTGTGAGAAGAAGACCAATTTTACCCTCAGCGAGCTGTAAAACTCATCTAACACCAGGCTCATGGACCGCGTGAGGTTACTGACGTAAGTGGTTTCCTGATTCAAGGCATCTTGGAAAGCCTCAAAATCCTGCATCCATTCGACTGCAAAGCTGTGGTCGATGATGTCTGTCTGTACCAGAGAAAAGGCAGCTATCAGCAGCTAGAGGTGAGGTTTTTTAAAATGTAAGATACTTTAAAAATTAAGTGGCGATATCAAAAGCCTAGCATCTATGTCTCCATCGTCTTTTGGTCTCCCCTGTCCTCCTCCTCTTCAGCAACAGATTTAAAAGCTGGGCTTTGTTGTTCTCTTTTATGGCCACTTCTTTTTAGGACCACGTTTGAGCTCCTTGCCCTCCTGACAGCCCTTCCTCAGGAATTACCAATACGCTAGGCTGGAGGGGCCACTCTATCTGTCCTAAAACACTTGGGAGAAAGGTCAGCGCTAAATGACCATTCCACTGAATGGATTCTGTTTCCTAGAAGTGCCCGTGACTTTACCACAATGAAACTAGTTCTCCAGCACCTGACAGAACCCTTCCCACCTCTCCAAGCCTTCCTGCAACCAAAGGTTCTGCTGAAAAAGCTTATGCTGAAACGCCAAGAAGGATCCACTGACCTTGTTCATGGCTACAATGAAGGGCAGTTTGGTTTTGTACAGGATGCTGCAAATCAAACAGGGAGACTGTGTTAGTGCAGTCACAGGAACCTCTGCTTGCCTGCTGTCAGTCTGCTGGGACAACGTAGAGAGAAGGACTAAGACGCACAGTCACGCATTTTTACCTGGCATTCGCAGGCTGCTGTTCCTGAGAGGGAAAAGACTGAAAATGCCAAGCCAACAGCAAGACGAAGACGCCACGCTGTCACACCCCCACCATTCTCACGTGATCCATTTGCATTTGCTTCTAATCCTAGCGTTTGTTTCTGGGTTTTTTTTGGTGTTTTAGAGGCAGGGTCTCACTAGTTAGATCAGGCTGGCCCTGAATTCACTATGTGGCTCAGGCTGGCTTTGAGCTCACAGTGATCTTCCTGCCCCAGCCTCCCAAGTGCTGGGATTACAGGTGTGCACCGTGACCAGCCCTAGTTTTTAGACTTTACAAAAACAGTTGTCCTTTTTCCAGGGGAAGAAATGAACATCTACTGAATACCTATGTTCCATGTAAGCATTTCTGTATCTATTACAGGTGTAGGAGCTTGCCCGAAACGTCCACACTTCGGAGGGTGAAGCAGCAGTGTCGCTGTGAGTTCCAGGCCAGCCTAAACTACACAGCGAGACCCTGTCTCAAAAACAAAAACAGAAAAATTGCAAAGTAAAAACATCCAACTTTTATTTGTCAATTACACCTCATGAAAGCTGGGGAATAACACTGTTTTAGAACTCACACACCGGGGCACACAGCTACAGTCCCAGCACTCTGGGAGGCTGAGGCTGGAGGATCACAAGTTTGAGCCCGGGGGCTGGGGGTTTAGCTCAGCGGCATAAGCGCCTGCCTTGAAAGCAGGCAATTGTGAGTTCGATCCCCGGTACTGATAAAAAGGAAAAAGAAAAAAAAAACAAGTTTGAGCGCAGCCTGGTCAGTTTAGTGAGATCCTGCCTCAAAGTTTAAAAAAAAAAAGAGGGAGCGGGTGGGGAGGCAGGATATTGGGATTGTAGCTCAGTGTGAAAGCCCTGTTCAATCCCCAGTACAGAAAAGAAAAAATTATTTTACAGACAAACTTTTAAAATTTTTCCTGGGTTTACTGAGGTATAATTGACAAAAATGGATCTATTTAAGGTGTGCAATGCAGATCTTTTCTTTCTTCCATCCTTCCTTCCTTCCTTTCTTTTCTTCTTCACTCATTCATTCTCTGGGGTGCTAGAGACCATTCCCATAACCTGTCTATGCTAATCCTGTGCTCAACAGCTCAACTGCTACACTCCCAGCTCCCAGGATACGCTGATCTGTGGAATGATTACCATAATCAACCTAATCAAATGACTGTCTTTTAAACAACACAAAAATGAAACAATAAGATCATATCATGAGATTGCCATTTGGATCAGGCTTTGTAATATCCAGAGAGAAGGAACAACATTCCTACTGATAGCACAAGACAAATGTTGGTGGTGGCTTTTGTGTATTCTCAAAATATAGTTCTCTCAGCTTTGAGGAGGGACTAAAGTCAGGAGCACACTATTACTGAGCTACATCCAGTCTTTTTTATTTTTTAGTTTAAGACGGAGTCCAGGCCCAGACAGGACTCAAACTTGTGATCCTCCTCCCTTAGCCTCCCTCAGTGCTGGGGTTGCCGGCCTGTGTCACCAGGCCTACCTCCCCCAGTCCTAATGCACTGATACAGCCCAGAGAGGCTCATGCCTCCTCCCTGCAGGCACAGCTGTGCACTGCACAATTACAGGTAAATCTTTTTTTTGGGGGGGTGGGGGTATTATTTTGAAGGTAGTAAAATACAACAGAACAAGACAGAACAAAGGCAACTGAGACAGTGTAGTAAAACTGGTACAGAACTTCACAGCAGATTACCAGGATAACAGCAATAGGTATCACAGTATTTCTTGTTATCATCACAATAGTTGGTCTTTCAATCACGTATATCAAAGTAAAATGAAATACAGAACATTATAGAACTTACCAAACAGAATATTGAATAGAACAGTACCATTAATCAGAATAAAGCAAAACAGTAGTAAAAATATTTGCCTTCAAAAAGATGGTAGAAGGAAATCCTCCTTATTTGCTGTATTGCATAGGGTCAGCCTCCCAAGAGGTGCTCAGATCTCTGGTTCCCATTTGCTATAGGGGGACAGGGGAAGTGGGATGTTTGACTCTCACCCCGTGCACAGGTAGGCTCACTATTGCTTAACAGGGAGGCAGGCTGCTTGCTTGGTTTCCCAGTGCCCTAAGTTCCAACATGGCGTGGATCTCAGGAGACGCTGGTGGTTCTCCCCACCAGGTAAATCTTTTTATTCCTAGTAGTTCCTCTTGATACCATTTCGCTCTACCTGCCAAATATGTAATAGCACCATTCAGACCAGACTTGGATTTCATTCAGCTGGGAGCAACCACTGTAAGGTTCACAGGCATATAGATATTTTCTTTTTTGGGGGTGGTGGTGGTAGTGGTGATAGTTTGTTTGTTTGAGACAGGGCCTTGCTATGTACCCCTGAGTTTAAACTTTCGATCTTCTTTCCTCAGCCTCCCGAGTCCTAGGGTCATAGGTGGTCGCTGCCACATCTGGCTCTAGACCACTATTTCTTTTTTTTTTTTTTTTTTGGTGTCTTTTTCTTTTTTATCGGTACCGGGGATCAAACTCACGACTGCCTGCTTGCAAGGCAGGAGCTTACACTGCTGAGCTAAATCCCCAGCCCACTAGACCGCTATTTCTACAATAAGCCAGGGAGGAAGACCAGAAGGTGACAGATGAGCATGCTAACAGCACAGACATCTCCATTCCTCTGACCTCCTCCAACTCACAACCACCCAGCAGCCGAGCAGCAACTTGTGGTAAGTACAAATCCAAGGGCACACAGTGAGGATTCAAAATGAAAAAGGGGGAAAGAGGGGAGGAGCCTCACTCCTTGATGAACTGTGGCCACCAATAATTGGTTACCTGCAGGCGTACAGCATATTGGACATGAAGGTCACGGGGTTAGTACTTCGCGATGTGTCCATCACATAGATGACCACTGTTGGAAATGAAGATGCCTAAAGCCACACAAAAATTGAAGCCTTGGTCAGAGGGCTCAGGACCTGTCCCCACACTCCTCCTCTACTTCCCTGAGCAGGGAAGAAGCATTTCAGCGTGTGCCAGCCTCTACAGTTCCCTCTGACAGACAGTGCCAGGCAATTAAACAGATACTAGGCTGGTCTAGCCCTCAGCTACAATCAGGAACAAACCTAGAGCACTCACCAGGGCCTCAGTGATGATTGTCCCAGAAGCCGACCAGGTGAACACTTCGATCTGTCCGGGAGTGTCAATCAAGACGTACCTACGTGCAGGAAGACATTAAAGAAGTGTCAGGGCTGTGGGATGCAGAAGAGCATCTCGTCACTCAGAACAGTAAAAATGCCAGCCACACTCAGGCACCCCCGTGATTCCAGCAACTCTAGAGGCCGAGGCAAGAACATCAGTGCTTGAAGGCCAGACCACACAATTTAAAATAAGTCAAGGGCTGGGGATGTAGCGCAGTGGTAGAGCACTTGCCTAGCATGCCCTGGGTTCCATTTGCACTTCTAAAAAAAGTAAAAACAGCCACTTAACGTCTGCACTGACAAGTGGACTTCCTGCCACGGCCCTTTAACTGCACAGCACATTCCCAGACGTTGTTCTCTGACCGTACTCACCCTAAGGACCAAGGGCAGCACCTGTGAACTGCTGCAAATGCTCCCAGCAAACTGTGACACTTACAGAAGCACAAAGCATTACACCTGAGAGACACACATACTCAAAAGGCAAGGTCCTGGGAAAACATCCGGCTGCCTAGAGTAAGGGACTACAGAGTGAGACCTAGAGGGACAGGGGACCGCCAGGGCATCTTCGTCAAGTTCTAAAATTGACAACCATAGTGGTGCATGCCTGTAGCCCCAGGACGTGGGAGGCTGAGGCAGGAGACTGCCTGAGTTCAAGGCCAGCCTGAAATACACAGTGAGAAGCTGTCTCAAAAAAAACAAAAAAATGAATGAATTTGTAAATCAGATAAGATTGATTATGGCGATAGTTGTACAATTCTGTGAAGGTACTAAAAGAATTGTACATTTTAAACAGGTGAATTTAGATAGTACACAAATTGTATTTCAGTAAACTTTTTTTTTAACACAGGCAACAATAGCCTAGGGTTGCAGACCAGAGGAAAAGTGTGTGCTTGGTACATATAAGCCTTTGAGTTTGATCTCAGCACCACAAACATAAATAAACCAACAGCTGGCCATGGTGACACATGCCTTGATCTCACCACCGATGTCAAGAGAAGGGCAACTTCCAAGCCAATCCAGGTAACTTAGGAGGATCCTACCTTAAAATAAGAGGAAAACCTAGGTCTAGCTCAATGCTAGAGCACTTGCCTGGCACACCCAAATGCTCTGGATTCAACCTCCAGTATCAATAAATAAATAAAATAAATGGCAAAAAAAAATTAAGAAATATTTCTCCAAAAATACAGTAATGCCCAATAAGGACATGAAAAGACACTGGACATCATTAGCCATTACAGATATACAAATGAAAGCCATACAACTACGAACATAGCTATAATCACAAACAAAAGGAGTCATGCTTAAGAAAGGAAGGAAAGAAGGACAGACAGACACAGACAGACAAATAAAACCTATGACTTCAGTAGGGCCTGGTGACACAGGCATAGTATAATCCCAGTATAGTAAAAGGCTGGAAGAGGAGGATCATAAATTTGAGCCCAGTCCAGGTGACTTAGTAAGACCTTGTCTCAAAGTGAAAATAAAAAAAAATTTTAAAGGGCTGCAGGAATATAGCTCAGTGACACACAGCATGCCCGGCAAGTACAAGGTCCTCAGGTTGATTCCCTGACACCCCCACCCACTGCTCCCCTAAAAAAATCTGGGGTTCCAGAACCACCAGGAGACAACAACGGTAACCTCCTGTGCACCAGAAGTGTTAGCTGGCCAGGGAGAAAAGACATCCACCCACCTCACCCCACTTCCCTCCATCCCCCCTCACCCTCATAAGCAACCGGCTGATTTGGAAGAACACAGACTGAGGTGACAGCAATTGAAATTAAGAAAGAATTTAATGCTTGTATTGTTTGACTGACTTTGCAGTCCTAAAGCTGGTAGTCTGGCATCTATTGAGAGGAGAACAGTATGCAATGCAGTAATTATTGTGGATTTTCTATTGTCTCGTTTTTGTCAATATCATTCTCATTATTTTGTTGTTTTTTCTTTAAAATAAAATTTAAAAAATCATGTTGCTGTTGGAATGAAAAATGGGGCAGATGCTTGGGGGTGGGGGAAAGGAGAGTAAGGAGTGATTGGTAATGAGTACAGGGTTTGGGGGAACAATGGAACCAGTCTGACGTTAGACAGTGTGATGAATGCACCAGCTAGTGGATACACAAAAATATAGCATTATACATTTTAAAGAGTGAATTATAGTGCAGCGAAGCTGCTATTTTCTTTAAAAACAACTACCTCTACTATAATCCCATGACTGTAAAAACACTATGACACATCTGCCTGTAAAAATCTCCTCTGATCTTTGTGTAAATATACAGACATGCAGCTGGGCATGGTGGCACACTCCTGTAATCTCAGCACTCAGGAGGCTGAGGCAGGAGGATCGTTGCATGTTCAAGACCAGCCTGGGCTACAAAGTGCGCCTAGGGCCAGCCTGAACCACACAGTGAGACCTTGTCTCAAAAAGACAAAAAAAAAAAAAGAAAGAAAGAAAGAAAGAAAACAGAAACACAGAATGCTAGTCATGGAAAATGAGATATCATTGGTAACAGAAATTAGTGACCATGTTATCTTTAAGTACTGTATATGATTTTAGTTCTTTATAGTGAACCTACGTCTCTAAAAAAATTGGCTTTCTTTCTTAGAATAAACTGAACCTCTTAACTTAATAATAGCTTCATATGGATAATAATACTTTATATTTTGTTACTTTTCAAGTTGAAAAGTACTTTTCTCTGAATCATATAAGTTGCATTCAGCTAAACAAAAGTTGTAAGGTTATTCAAGAGGATTTAATGCCAACAAAAGTGGTTTCCCAAAAGAAGGCTGGCAGATCCATGAATATGGACATCTCCAAATTCCTCCAGAGCTGGGAGTGGTGGTGCATGCCGGTAATCCCAGCAGTCAGGAGGCTGAGGCAGGATAATCACTGTGAGTTTGAGGCCAGCCTGGGCTACACAGTAAGTTCAAGACCACCCTGAACTATACAGTGAGACACTTCAACAAACAAAAACAGGGGCTGGGAATTTAGCTCAGTGGCATAAGCGCCTGCCTTGCAAGCAGGCAGTCATAAGTTCGATCCCTGGTACCGATAAAAAAGAAAAAGACCAAAACAAAAACAAAAACAAAAACAATTCCTCTAAAGAAATCATGTAAATTAGCAATCAAAATAATTAGAGGTGGGAAATATTATATTCAGCTCTGTGCTGTGTAACATTTTAATGATCTTGCCATTCACTTCTTACTTCTACAGATTTCATCCTAATCAACATCCTCTGTGGTCCTAACGGAACCTGAAATCCTATCAAAGGCCTGAAATTTGTTAAATTGCTGGGTAATAAACAGGTGTTCAATTTGACATGACTTACTTGGAAGTGTTCTGAGCTTTCTCAATAAATTTCATCACCTAGAAAAAAAGATAACAGTTATATCAGGCTCTAACGTCACCAAAACATCACAGGGTCCTCTCCACGGTGGCCTGCCTTAGAGGCACCATCACCACCTGACGCTCCCTGTTCACAAACTAAGGACAATGGCTAAAAAGCTCATTGAGCCAAAGAGGCACAATAGTCACCTCCGTGGCCCTGCGACATCCTGGTCAACACTGCAAGGATATGAGGAGCTCAAAACTTAACTTGTCGGGGGCTGGGGATTTAGCTCAGTGGCATAAGCACCTGCCTTGCAAAGCAGGCGGTCATGAGTTCAATCCCCGGTACCGATAAAAATGAAAAAGACAAAAAAAAAAAAAAAAAACTTAACTTGTCACCATGAAGTCAAACCTTTTGGCACTTTGATGAAATTTTTCTTTTCTTTTCTTTTTTTTCTTTTTTAAGACTCAAATGATTCCCTTTCTTCAGGTTCCTGAATAGCAGGGACTAGTGATGACTGCTATGATGCATGGCTTTGGTCAATGTGAACAGTACCCGAGTGGCATCGCAGGAAAAAAAAAACTATGAAATCAGGTGACAGAGAAAACCTAGAAAGTGACAAATACTCATCACAAGGAAAAACAGCCCTTTCTGTCCCTGCAACCCAGCCCACTTGCATGCCTGCCTCCCCACCACTTCCTCCAGATAAAATCACAACTCCATATGAGAAAAAAGAACCTTATATTTTTTGTTTTGCTAGCTGTTGCAAATAGTAAGTAAAGTGTCTCCCACAGTCTACCAAGATGCCTGCTTCTTTTCTATCTATTTCTCTTCATATTTGCTCCTCTTCTTTACAAACGCGATGAGGACAATCCATGAAGAGTCAGGTGTCTACACAGCCACATCTACAGACATGAACACAGATGTACCTGATCAAATCTGGTAGCAAAGAGATTGAGTGAGGTCACTATGCCCCCATTGGGCCCAAGTCCATATCTAGACACTCAGTTGAGGATTTATACTTGATAGATTATAAAGTTCACTCCTACATTATTCGTCATCTAATGGCATTAATTAGTGTTCCATTAATGGATATTAGCACAACCCATTCCTTGACAATCAGAAAACCTTACCCTCAAAGAAATTCATTAACTGTCAAGATCTTCCCTATTCACTTATCTCTTTAGGGATGGCTAGACAAGATGAGAAAAAAGCAAACTGACCAAAACATAATTTATGAATGTATTAGGCAGTGACACCCTACTGATTTTAGTCATTACAATCAGTTATAGAACACCCCTTGCTCTCATCATTATCAATCAAGCAATGTGCTAATCAGAATTCATAATGAGATTTGCCTACATAGAGTATACGTGTCACATAGAAATGCACTAATTAATCAAACTACTCATATGCTGAGAATCCCTGTCTGAAGAGGCAGCAATAAAGAATATATCAGTTCTTCAAAGCAATACCACACTGTGGGACCAAGCAGCAGTGAACTAGTTTCTTGTTTTTCCTAATTAATTGATGACTACAGCCTTTGGTCACGGGACATAGTAAGAAAATAGACAGCCAGGTGTGGTGGTGCATACTTGCAATCCCAGCACTTGGGAAGCTGAGGCAGGAGAATCACTGGCGAGTTTGAGACCAGACTGAGCTACAAAGTGAGCTCAAGGCCAGCCAGAACTGTGTAATGAGACCCTGTCTCAAAAAAACAAAAAGAAAAAGAAAAACAGAAATCACAAAGTAAAATGATATTTCTGATCGTTGTAATACCTTACCTCCATTCATCTAACATTTTCCTAAGAGACTTACTTCAATCAATCCTTTTTTGCTTTATGTTTCAACAGGGAAAGCAAAAATTCTCAAAGCTATAAAATACACAGGAACCAGCAAGGAACTACTCAACACCTTAGTAGACAATATAAAGGATACTGTTTCATGACTTCTTTATACTTTACAGTGTCACGAATATCTGAAAAAAAAAAAAAAAAAGACTAGCACATGACACATAGATCCTCCAATTTTAACATCCTAAACCAACAGGCCTCTCAAGTTCAGAAAACCAGTTTCTACTCTTGGTATCATAATTCCTTTTTATATTGGTACCTTTCTTCCTTCTTTCTTTCAAGACAGAGTCTTATGATGTAGTTCAGGCTGGCCTTGAACTCACTATGTAGTCCAGGTTGACCTTGAACGTGTGGGGATCCTTCTGCCTCAGCCCCCCCAAGTCCAAGTGTGTGCCACCACACCGGCTTCATATTGATATGCTAAAAACAATTTAAGGGCCAGGGATATAGCTCAGTGACACAGTGCCTGCCTGGCAAGTGCAAGGTCTTAAGTTTGATTCCCAGTACCAAAAACAAACAAACATAAAAATAAAACACATTTAAGTAAAATTAATTGAACTGTGATAGAGAAAGACGGAAGACCATGAGGAGAAAGACTAGAAGGGAGAAAGATGTCCTATCACCACTTTCCCTGACAGCAAAAAATTAACACTAGTCTATTAGGCTCTCTTGCCAGAATACTCTTCTATCAACCTCACTGGTTTCCCTCCATACACAAGACAACTGCCTAGAAACCCATGAAACAGGTTAGGCTGGAAATATTCAACTTACAGTACACACATTCTAAACAAGGTGAAAGCTGCAAGGTACCCTAAACATCAGTACCCTAGGCACAGAAACACAAGAAAAACCAAGAGTAAAAGACTTATTTTGTATTAATTTTTTTTGGTACTGGGGATTGAATTCACAACTTCACGATTGTGAGGCAGGCGCTGTGCCACTGACTATATTCCCACCCTTTGTACTAATTTTATCCTCTTGATAAACCCAAGACAGAGAGGCTTCTTAAAAGTCTGAGTCAGGCATGATAGTGTATACCTGTACTCCCAGAACTCTGACAGGCTGAGACAGGAGGATCACAAGTTGGAGGCCAGCCTGGGCAACTTAGCAAGGTCTTATCTCAAAATAAAATATTTTTTAAAAAACGGGTTGGCGATGTAGCTCAGAATGAAGGCCCTGGGTTCAATCCCAGTATTTAAAAAAAAAAAAAAAAAAAATCTGTCCACCTAAACCTATGATGAGGGTTTCCCTCATCAACTATTAAAATTCCATCCTTTGGGCTGGGGATTTAGCTCAGTAGCATAAGCACCTGCCTGCCAAGTGCAAGGTCCTGAGTTTAATCTCCAGTCATCCCCCCCTAAAAAAAATTCCATCCTTTAAGTGAGAACATGAAAAATAGTTTCTCAAATTCTTCTCAAAATAATATCTGCTTAATAACTGCTTTTTTTATTGTCAGGTAAGGTAGCCCATGCTTATAATCCCAGCACTCAGGAGGCTGAGGCAGGAGGACTGTCAAGAGTTGGAAATAAGTTTGGGATACATAATTTAAGGCCAGCCTGGACTATATAGTGAGGTCCTGCCTCTAAAAACAAAAAACAAAACAAAACAAAACAAAAACGTCCTTGTATTACTATGCCAGAGGTACAAGAAGCTTAATAGAATCAAAAAGTGATGAGAAAAGAAAGGATTAGCACACAGCAATGGTCTGGAAACAAGAAAGCCTGGATCCTATCAAGAATCCAGATACTGAGCTAGGCGTGATGATGCATGCCTGTAATCCTGTAATCCCAGCACTTGGGAACCTCTCTTTAAAACAAGGCAAACATCTAACACGCACACACATTTTCCCATATAATTTTGAGAGGAGAAATAAGTGTGAATGGGAATAACATAAAGCAATGTAGGAAACGAGGGGACAATAAAGAGAGAAAATGGGAGTAAGGATGAAGCCTGTTTAGGCACTCCAGCAAATCCCTAGGAAATCAAAGTAGGCAAGTAAAAAACATCAAAGCAAACAACTGTCAGGCACTAAAGATTGGCAAAGACACAGCGTTTCCATTCACACTGAAGCATTTCTAAACTCTGGGGCGTGCTACTCACCAATATTGGCGGGAAAGGGAACTTCATGTACCGCTGGGTCCAGGTTGATCACGTAAGGGGGAGAGCTTTGGCTATGCAGGTGCCCGGTGAGCCTCTGCAGAAGTATGGGGAGTCGCAGTGGTGAAAAGAAATAGTCGGGGTCGGAGAGAACTCCCATTCCTTCATGCCTGAAGATTTTAGCACTACTTCCTTCTATTTAACATATCCACCCACTCTGTCTACACTCAGCTCAGTTTAAATGCTCTGCTTTCATCAACCATCTAGCAGAGTCTCTCCTACTCTAGATCATTTATATAACTAACTTTCTATGTGTTTTCTCCGACTTTCTTCACTAAAACGTAAACTACGTGACAACCGGAAACTTGTCCACATCACTCGAGCTAGATCTCCACGCAAAAAATAATCTTGAGACAACTCTTCCCAGAAAACCTGCGTGTCACGTTGTCCCAACTCTAGAATCACTCACAAGCCCCAGGCTTCGGGCAGCCGGCAATTTTAATCAATGAAAAAAAAAAAAAGGCAGTACAACATGGTGAACTATTCAAAGCACGCAGGAAGGACGCATAGCGCACAGCCTTCAGCAATACTTGCAGGGTCTGAGGCTTCGCACGTCTAGGAAGTGAGTTGATGAGAAGCCCCCAGAAGCTAGCAGCCTGGGCGCTGCAACTTTCCAAACAAGACCTTCCTACCCTTGCTCCTGGCCTTTCGCACGCCGAAAACAACCTCTCAAGCACCCTACTACGCCCACGCTGTTCACGTCACCTGTACAAAGGTGGTCTTCCCGGATCCTGCCATTCCCAAAACCAGCAGACACACACATGGTCCAGGAGCTCCAGAACTGGGGAGCTCGGCCGCGCTCCCTCCCGCCGCCATCTTTCCGCCAGTCCCGCCCACACTACCATAGAGACGCCCCCCCGGCCTAGAGAGACTTCCGGTCCTTCCGGAATTTAGGAGGCGCAGATGCTTACATCGGTCGGAACCCAGGACCACACAGCGGTGGGGACGCCAGGTGGCGCTTGCTAAGGGGCTGGCCCGACTGTGGCTAGGTAGTGACAGCGCGTGGGAAGCCGGAGACTGGAAAAGGGAGAAGAGGAAAAGTACCGGCAAGAGGACGCTGACCCGCAGGGACTAGGACCTGCGAGGGATAACGTCAGTGGGGCGAGACGGGATCCCCAGACCGGCGACCCGGCAGGTACCTGATGCTTCGCAGCGAGCTGGCAGCCTCCCGAGAGCTGAGAAGAGCCGCTGCAGACTGGCAGCTAGAGCTCCTTTGGCGACCGAGTAACCCGCAGCTACTACTGACGGGTCCTAAGGACCCGATGCATTTTTACAAATGCTGTGTTTTCTCAATTGTATCAACACTGCTTGCTCAGCGTGTCTATAGTCAGTAGTACTTAATCCAGCGTGCATGAGATTCTACAGGGAGGAAGATACGATAGTAAATACACCACTTTTTTTTTTTTCCTGTGTCAAAGCTCTAACTTTTTATAGAGTTTTTACTTTTTTATGTGTGGCCGCTAAAATATCCATTCAAGCCAGGCAGGTGGTGGCTCATGCCTGTAATCTTAGCGCTCAGAAGGCTGAGCCACGAGGATTCCTTGCAAGTTCAAGACCATCCTGAGGGGCTGGGGATTTAGCTCAGTGACATAAGCGCCTGCTTTGCAAGCAGGCAGTCGTGAGTTCAATCCGTGGTACCAATAAAAACGAAAAAAGACCATCCTGAGCTGCAAAAGTGAGCTCAAGGCCAGCCTGAACTCCAGAGTGAGACCTTGTCTCAAAAATAACAATAGCAACAATAATATGAAACGTGTGCAATGGCAATTCTGTTGACAAAGCAACCAAAGAGCTTAAAATTATTCACTTTTTTTGTCTTTTTGAGATAGGGTCTTGCTGTACAGTTCAAGCTGGTCTTGAGCTCATTTTGTAGCCCTGTCACAAACTCGAAAGGATCTTCCTGCCTCAGCCTCTCAAGTGCCAGAATTACAGGCGTGTGCCACCACAACTAGCTATTTACTTTTATAATAACACAAAATCAGAAGTTGATGCTTTCGATGGAAAACGTGCATTATATTCCACACCCAACAGAACCTTTGGCCAATAGCAGTTTTTTATGCTATTTTAAATGTTGTGTTAGTTCCCACGTATTGTACCAGTTTTCACAAAGAGGTGAGATAATAAAATATGTTGATTTCACTAAAACCCTTGGAATGCAGTTGATTGGGGAAAATCTATGTTCTAGAATGCCTACTTTAAAAGTGCCCATAAAAGTACAAACACATATAGAAGAAATTCTGGGAACAGAGATTCCTGTTATAGAAGAGCCCAGGCAACCTATGGGCAAAAGCAAAAGATGTGCTGTATGCCACAGCATCAAGGACAGAAAACTGCTATGCAAATTGATGCTTGTAAAGTGCCAATGTGTCCTAGTCAGATGTGGTGACACTGCCTGTAACCCCAGCACTTGGGTAGCTGAGACAAGACGGATTGGTTTGAGTTCAAGACCAGCCTGGCCTACAAAGAGAGCTCAAGGCCAGCCTGGACTACATAGTGAGACCCTGTCTAAAAAACAGTCTGTCCTGTTTTGAAAATTAATATTTTTATGTTACAAATATGTACCTTATGTGTTTACAAATAATAAACAGCATATATTTTACTTTTATAAAAAAAAAACTTATGGGTCCTGAGGACCCCTGAGTAGCATCCATGTACTAAAATGAATTGGTTGGTAGCTGTGGATTTGGTAGCAGTGGGCTGTACCGATCAGTAGCAAAGCAGCAGTAGCAAGCAGTGTGTGACCTCTGGACCCCCTGCACCCCGCAGAAGTGCGTGGCCCACGAGTGGCGCCCCGGCGGGAAGTACCCACGACTGGACCCTGTGCCCCCCAGAGCCGACCCTGCCACCAGCGCCTGCTCCTTGGTCTTCACCCTCAGCGACCTACAGTTCCATTAATGATGGTCTCTACCAGAGAGCCTTTAAGTATTGAAGACATGCGCAACTTCCCCAGGGGCTCCGGGGAGTGTGGGGAAGATGTTCCATGAGCCCAGGAAAGTCTTCCTGGACCCGACCACTCAGGCTCTTCTTGAGGCCCTTCGGAGCTGCTCCAGTGGAATCTGGGAGTTATAAACAACGAGTTTCACACCGAGACTGCCACTTGTAACTGTTATGTCATGCACAGGTCACTTAAAGGTTCCAACGGCTTTCTCCTTTGCAATGTTGAGATTTATTGCTTAAACGTGGAAGAAATGCATAGTGTATGTGGGAGCCACATTTCCCATCTTTATGCCTAGCTCTTCTTGTGCCTGGCAGTTTCTAGAGTGCAGCTCCAAAGATGTTTTGGGTCAATTAAGGACGACTGTGCATTTAAGAAATTTTTTCCCAGCACAGCATGGTGTCACACCTCTGTAACCCACACTGGGACCTAAAGCAGGAAGACTGTAGATTGGAGTCCACTCATGTATCCTGGTGAGGCTATAGGTTAGAATAATACATACTGGAAAAAAAGGACTGGGCACGAAGCTCAGTTGGAAGGCCCTGTGTTCAATCCCCAGGACCACAGAAAATATTTTCCTAAATTGTGACTGAAAACTGATTATGGGATGTCTGATTTGTTCTAACTTCAAGTTTGCTGAGACTAGTAGTTCTCCCACTGTCTCTTATCTCGCTGTACTAAATAGATGTTTCCAAATTATCCTAGAAGGAGAAGAGCTAAAGGAAAGATGCTAACAGAAGAAAATGAACAATGAGAATTAAAAAAAAAACTCAAATTAGGTTGGGAAAGTTTTTTGTTCTGGCTAAAAACTTGAAATAAAATAAAAAGCCCAGAACTGTGGACAGTTAGTGTTTCCAACAATGCGAGACTGAACCTGAGGCTGAGAACCTTCAGGTAGGCAAACCAAATCTCACTTCTAAAACAGATTTTGCAGAGGGAAGAGATTCAACCAGAACTGAAGTAGCCGTTGTGGGTACTTTCTACCGCTAAGGAGAATCAGAACATGCTGCAGACATTACAGAAATAAAATAATCCCAGAGGCTGCTAGGGACTGGGAAGTACTTCCAGGTTCTACAGCAGAAATATTCCTGAAGCAACAATTGAGTTAGGCAGGCAGCCAGCTGGGAGAGAAAAACAGTACACTCGAGGAAGACCCAGGCTTGGGAGCCCACGACTGCAGTTCAGATGAGTTCTGCCTTCCCATTGGGAGAAATCCATCAGTAGAGGTCCTAAAAAAGGTGTTCTAGAAACTGAAGGCTTCTCAAAATGTGTTAGAAAACCAGAGTACCAGTTGAAGCAGGTCTTCGAACCAGGCTTGGATGGTGCTCAAAAGAATAGGATGATTCAAAAAACACACTGTGCCCTCTGCTAGGTCCTGAATCAAGAATAAACCCAAACTGAATATACTGAATTTTCTCATCACTTTTTCTACTTACCATTCTTGTGTATCTTACTTACACCACTGTTTAGTTTTAACACAGAAATTATAGCTCAAGATAGCATGTAGTTCCCTTCACCTGAGTATCCAATTCATGAGCTGAACAGACAGAACTCAGAAAGCCTGGTATCTGCGACCAACTTCACATTCTCGCCTCTGGGGACGTAACCTTCTAGGGAGGCTGAAGGACTCGGACATTGGTGAAGACTTTGGGCTTTGCCAGCTCCTGCCCGAACATACACCACTGTCCCAAATAATCTAACTCCGGAGCCAGAAATTCATCTGGTCACAGTATCTCTTATTTCTTCGTCACAGAGCTTGCCGCACAGGAACGCGAACTTACCTGGTAAGGTACTGGAAATCCCTAGCCCCACATGAGCAGCGAGCTGACCAACTAAAATATCAATCTGCATTTTGCCTGCTTTGCTATAAGAAATTACCAAGGGAGATGATGTTACAGAAATTGAGGGAGGTAACAACTCTGTAACCCTTGAATGATAAGAAGAAGCCTACAGAGCAAACAGCTGGGCAGGAAAACATTCCAGACAGAGTCAATCAAAACACATACACATGTGGAAAAGGTCTGAAAACAGACTAAGTGTGTTAAGTTCACAGAGCAGAAAGCTACAAGTAGCCAAAGCAGAGGTGGGGAGCCGTCAGAGTGTCAGCAGAGGAGCGGAAGGCGGAACTGAGAAAGGACAGACAGACAAGGAACAAACATGCTGTTGGCCCCACATCTGGGCGAACAGTAGTACCACTGCTCAAAGGGGAAAGAAGCGACTACAGAACAAGGAAAGACTCAGAGATTTAAGTTGAAGCGTTCCCTTTTAAGGAGGTAGACAGAACATATGCTTTCAGGTATGAACTGTTATTAAAAGGTATTTCAGACACACAAAAACATAAAAAGCTACAACCCATTATCCATTTTTAAGTTTTTTTTTTTTGTTTTTTTTTTTTGTTTGTTTTTTTTGTCTTTTTCCTTTTTATCGGTACCGGGGATCAAACTCACGACCGCCTGCTTGCAAGGCAGGCGCTTATGCCGCTGAGCTAAATCCCCAGCTCATTATCCATTTTTAAGAGTAAGCTATTATATCACATGCCTATAATCTCAGCTACTTTGGAAGCTGAAGCAGGAAGATGACAAGTTTAAGGCCAACCTGATCTTAGGTCAGACTGTCTCAAAATATTTCATTTTTTTATTTTGGAGAAAGGGTCTTTGTAGTTCAAACTGACCTCAAACTCACTGCGTACCCCAGGCTAGCTTCAAACTTGTGGCCATCCTCCTGTCTCAGCCTCCCAAGTGCTGGCATTACATGCATGCACCGCCACGCCCAGCACAAAATAAATTTTGAAAAGGAGATGGGACGAAGCTCAGTGTTATATACCTGGCATAAGTGAGGCTCAGGGTTGAAACCCCTAGTACTCTTAAAAAAAATTAAAACAGGAGCTGGGGATTTAGCTCAGTGGCATAAGTGCCTGCCTTGCAAGCATGTGGTCCTGAGTTTGGTCCCTGGTACCGGTAAAAAATAATAATAATAATAAAACATTACAAATTCAGTTGAAGGCCCTTGGAGTCCCAGGAGCTCCGACCTAAACTTGTTGCTTCCCACTCCTGTGCATTTTCACAGCGCAGTTTTTGCATGTTTTTAAACACATGAATAGCAGTTTTTCATTTTGGGAACTTGAGTATTCCACTCTGATGACTGGACAAGAGTAGGTTAACAAAAAGACCCAAGGATATGTAACGTCTCGAATGACAAACATTTCTTGTTTGTTCATATAACAGTCTCAAGAGACATACTACTGGCTGGCATGGGAGTGATCCAGGGAGTAAACCACTTTCCATTTTATGCTTCCCCATCCCCTAGGCAATCTGTGGCGTGCAACTGGCACGTTCTCTTCGAAGTGTTAGCCAGGAAGCAGCCAGCATTACCAGCCCTCCCATTCCCGGGAAGAGACGTGTGTGGGCTACTCACTGCACTACACGCAGGGCGGGCAAAGGACGAGGGAAAGGCAGGCTCGCCTGTAAGCCTGAACTGCAGAAGCTGAGAGTATCGTGGGCAGGCAGTGCTCTTTGACACCTAGCCCTAGTACCTCTCTAATGAAAACGGTACTGCAGTAATTACTTTTGTTCATCTTCTTGGCACAATGAGAAAGAGGAGTTCCTTGCACATACCTAGGACTCCAGCTGAGTATCGGGGTGTATTTCAACTTCATTCAATATTGCCAAATTATTTTCAAAGTAAGTGTATCAATTCACGTTCTCAACCACGCATGAAAGTCTGCACGACTCAACAGCACCAGGTTCAGTTTGTGTTAACCTAAGTGAGCAGTGGGATCAGGGGGAGCCACGGAGCCCTGCTACTGCCTGGCCACGGGAAAGAGAAAGGAGCACTTCGAGGGGCCGGAGAGGACAGGACACGTTTCCTGTACCGATTCATGTTAGCCACAAATTTTTCAGGAGCCGCCAAGAATCCCTTAGATGGCTGCAGTTGGGGTTATTTCAAACTTACCCCATCATCAGCCACTGTCATACCAGCCAGGCAGCAGAGCAGAATCAAGAACCAGAAACCACATTCTAAGTGCGAGTCATTTATTTCTTTTGTCATTTCCAAACATACCCCATCTCCTACTCACCAGAAAGTTACAGTTTCTCCATTTCTCCTCCCTGACAACCTCCTCTGCTGAAATGTCTTTAAGGGCTCAGCTGCCAATGAAGACGCAGTGTGTGCACCCCTTCCTCCGCTTCCTACCTGTTCTGGCAGTCTCTAACTCAGGTCTGAATGTGGTCTTCACAAAAGCCCACATGTTAAAGCTATTCAGAGGAGCAGAGAATAGAGGGGCTAAGGTGGCCTCAGCCTTTCGGATTAGTGTTTGCACATAGCAAGGTTAATTTTTAAGTTACATACGCCACAAAACCAGTGAGAACATTTAAGACCAATATTTACGCAGAAAGAGAACTTATAAACACGACTAGACTGCTCTAAACACTGCTCCAGAAAAAGCCACCCTCCCAGGGAAAGAGCCCATGAAGCATTACCATGTAGGCAGGAGGACAGATGAAGATGTTTTCTTTCCAACTCCAGACATCCCCATCTGGTGTCAAAGTCTCATTAGACTATAAAGAAGACAGAACTCCATATACAAAAGAGAACAGGACAATATTCTCAGAAAACTCAGACAGACAGAGATAGGTAAAGGGCCGGTGTGAACGTGGCAAGGTGTGGATCAACAAGTGAGGTGAAGTCCAGGGGAAGAAGGTGCGCCTTGGATTCCAATCTACTGGCATTGCCAGGTGCACCTCGGCGCTGTCTCAAAACGCCAGGGGCACAGTGACATTCACAACATTTAAAACCAAGGCAGAAGCAGATTTTAGGAGGGCCCTGATCACAGCAACATACGAGGCTTTGGGTCCCAGGAAAGATGGGCTGCTTGTATTACTGCATCTACCTTTTCCTTTCCAGTCATTTTAGCATTTGGGACACATTATTCCTCAGACTGCTTTAACGCCTATTGGGTCTAGTTAATCATTGCTACTTGGTACAGACAAAGCACCTCCCAGGTTAACCGGCGTAGGGAGGTTCTAGCTTTTTCATGCTATCTTTTTTTCTCTTTTGATCCTAAAATCACACTGAGGACAAACAGCCTCTGCAAGGTTTTGCTTCCCAAGGATTCGGGGTAACACTATTAAGTAACCAACAACAGTTCTAGCTTCAAGGCTGCATGTATTACAAATACAAAATGATAAACCAATAATGGTTTTTTTAAAAAGTAGTTTGAAATTATTTATAAGTTACACAGTCTAGTGGCTACTAAATCAATGGAGCTTCCAAGAACATTCAAACCTCAGGAAGAAAAGGACAATAAACACCATTCTTAGTCTTGTACAAGGCAAGAGGGGCCTACAGTTGGCCTTAAGAGGGATCTCTTTGGGCAAGAGAAGAGAAGAACAGGAGGACTCCTATGAATAGTAGAAAATCCTGCTACAGGGGTCTGGGGAAGGAATGAGAGTGAGTGAGTAGGGAAGACAGTGAAATTTACACAGGAGGGAGGAGCTGAGGAAGTCACAGCCTTGCAGGACAGCTGACAGCTGCAAGCACCTTCACTCAGCCCCACGACCCAGACTCAGCCTCCCGCACAGGTCCCCTGGCCACGCGTCACCGTCACCTCCGCCTCCTAGGAGTGCTTTCACTGACTGCCTATTTTCTTCCTCGTTTGTGATTGGTCTTTGGGGGCTTTGCTTTCTGGAACTGGGCTGCACCAGGCTCCTGCTCTGCCTCCTTGCAGGAGGTCCACGCGGCCAGTTCCTCGTTACTCCTCCTCTGCTCCTTCCCTGCTCTAAGGCTCAGCTGGGCCTCGGGAAGCTCGCTGCCGGCCTGCTGCCGCCTCCGGAGGGACCTGCTGCTGCGGTGCTGCTGCCTCCGCTTTTCTTCCTCTTGCTGCTTCTGCTTTATCTTCATCAGCTTCTCAAAGCTTTTTGTTGTTGTTGGGTTTACAACGAACCAGTCCTACAGAGGCAAGACAGAAACACCATCCAGTGAGAAGCGCAGTGAAGGCAGTAAGGAGTGAGAGAGCTCGGGTCTGCTTCTAGATACACACACTCGGTCAGCTGTTCGCCTCTTTGAAAAAGAGAGGGCAGGAAATGTAAAATGCAAAGCACTTTGCAGAAAGAGAAAGGAAAAGAAGTGGGGAAGAAAATACCAAGTGAAAAGGAAAGAAAAAGGAAAGGAATGGGAAAAACAAAGGAAAAGAAAAAGAAATGGGTGAAAAAACAAACAAACTCAAATCTAATCAAGTGGTAGCAACAATGTCCCAGACGTGCCAGGAACAGCATGGGCGCACAAGGAATCGGCAACACTCAATGTGGGTAAATGCGTGCGACGAATGATCTTGTTTATTTTTTTTTAAAGGCAATGAAAAAAAACAAAACAAATAGGAAAGGGAAGCCTGCTGGCCACAGTGAGCTAGCCAGGTGCCACATGTGGGCAGTCCAGACTCAGGTACACTTTCAGTGAAAAAAGCACACCAAACTTTAAAGACCTGGGCAACCTGGTGCCATAAAATTAAAAAATAAAAATATACAAGGGCTGATGGATGTAGCTAGTGCAAAGACCCTGATTTCAATCCCCAGTATTACAAAGAAAGAAAAAGACAACTGCAGTAAATAAGCCTTTTTTTAGGTCCTGATTTCAACAAACCAATTCTGTAAAACTGAGGTAGAAGACTATAGTGGATCAGATGTGGTAATAATCCTACCACTCAGGAAACTGAAACAGGAGGATCTCTGAGAGCTCAAGGACAGCCTGGGCTACATACAGACTTCAAAGCTAGCTTGAACTACATAGTGAGACACTGCCTCAAAAAATCACTGTTAATCTTTTAGATATAATTATGTTGCGAGTATGTTTTTTGGTTTTTTTTTTGGTCTTTTTCCTTTTTATCGGTACCAGGGATCAAACTCAGAACTGCCTGCTTGCAAGGCAGGTGCTTATGCCACTGAGCTAAATCCCCAGCCCCTGTGAGTATGATTTTAAAAGTCCTTACATTTTAGAGATATATATCAAAAAAGCATTTGTACCTAAAATAATACTTGGAATGTGCTATAAAGTAAGACTTTTATACTTCTCAGCATTTTAAATATCCTTGAAAGCAGGCTACCTCTAGACATGAGAATACTCAGAAAACAGTAGGATAGACATTGCTGGCAGTAAGAATGTTGAACATGCAAATTCAACCCATGCCTCATTTATTTGGATTTAGGAGAACAGTTAGGGCTCAAAGATAATCACACTCACAACAATTTCAAATATTTATCCAGAACAAAACAATTGCTCATCCAATTTTAAGACATGTACGATGGAGCTGTATTGGTATGTTTCACTGCCAGAGAGCTCTGAACCACTGGTGGTACACGCATGGACCATCCCATGGGACAGTGGCACATCTACCACTGATGGTACGTGCCACCCAGGGGATGGTCTGGCAGGTACTCGGTGGTCCAAGCTAGCAGGAGGGTGGTAAAGAGAATTTTTGCTCCAGTGTCTCTGTAAGTACTGCAGAACTACTTTTCTTAATCCCCGCAGGCCAAAAAAGATAAAGTGCACCTGCCTATTCGTTCGTATGTCGACTCGAAAGCAAAAACACTGTGGGAAAGCAGACACCTCCTCACCTCAGCATGGACGGAGTTGATGTGATACTTGACACCACTCTCTGACACAAATTCTTTCTGGCATAGAAGACACTGGTATTTTCCAGCCACGAAGGTTCCCTATTTCCAAGAGACAGACAAGAGAGAATTACCAGCACATTCAGGAACAGCTGCTTGTGCAGAAGTTATTTGCGATGAAAAGGGAAGATTCTACTTTAGGAGCGCTAAGGAGGAAAAAGACACACACGGCAGTATGCTTTGGAAAACTGTCTAGATTCTCACTAACACAAGTCTCTCTGAGTGTAACTACCGAACTACCCGCTGCTGCCTTTACCACCACCCAGTGTCCTAGCTGTATCATGCACCAGGCCACATTTTTTTCTCCCTCCCCAGGTTCCTTCCACTTCATTTTCACACTCTCTTGGTTTACTCCAGAAGAATGGCTAAACTTCCCAACACTCCCCATTCTTCTCACTGGGATTCAATGCTACAAATAATGCCTCGGACAATCAGAACCAGAAGAATATCCTCCACAATGCCCAGTTCAAGGACTCAGAAATTATAATCAAGATGACAGACTCAAGATGGCCGCATTGGCGTACATCTGTCATCCCAGCATTTGGGAGGCTGAGGGCAGGAGTATCACTGAGTTCGAGGCTAGCCTGATCTACACCGTGAGACCTTATCTTAAAAAGTCAAAACCATGAGCTGGGCGTGGTGGTTCACGCCTGTAATCCTAGCACTCGGGAGGCTGAGGCAGGAGGATTGTTGAGAGTTTGCAAGGCCAGCCTGAATTGCATAGTGAGACCGTCCCAAAACAAACCAAAACCAAAAGATGACAGGCTGTAAACATTCTGGACAGATCTGGTCAGATGCCTACAACTTCCTTGCTGCACTGAACAAACTTTGCTCCCCTCCTGGGGTTTCGGTCCCCAGGGTGCTCATTTGTGTGAGGAGATAGTCCTGAACGGAACTGGAAAGTGGGGCTCACGAGTTGTAGATGCCTGGTCCAGTGGAAAAGATCAGTGAGGGAGCAGCTGCTAGGCTGACATCCCATCCTTCTCTCCTCTCTAGAGGCCAGTACAGTTCGGGTGAGTTTGGAGGTTCTTCACAAGTCCAGTTAAGCACTCAAAATTTGGTCTTGGATATTTCAGGCCCAGAAAAATGGCAGGCCAGTGTGAGGGAGGCTCAGGTAGGGTCTCTCATAGCAACACAGAACTCAGATGTCACCCCACAGTCCTTTCACTGTAAGACTTGTGGCTATGCTGGTCTTTTCTGCATTTCGGGTGAACCCTGACATTTCACGCAATGAGTCCAAGAATTTTCATGACACAGAAGACTAAAGCAGCCGCTGACAGTAACAGCGTACAAATGAATAGCTGTGCACCAAACCGAGTTCTTTTCCACGTCAAACATTTTAGAGGGCACATTAAAATACCAATTTTTAAAAGTTACAAACCAATGTACAAGAGCCCAGGTGAGCTTTAAGGCCAGACACGCTACTGTAGACAGCCTCACAACCCTGCAAAAGAAGAAAAGCAGTAAACGTGATACCACAGAATCCTTTCCTTAGTATTAGACACCAGGATACATAGAGAGCATAGCAGGCTAGTGATCACTGCGGAACAAAAATGTCACATGTATCAATTCAACCTAGATCTCACTTCTGTGTTATCTGGAACTTTCTCTGACACTTAATAGATACATACACTTTCTCTAATATTTAACAGAAATACAGAAAAATGTATAATTAGTTTTTAAATGTGAAGTGCAAGTGTATCTCTTACCTCTTTTGTATTTTCCTCCTTAAACTACCGCACACATAGCTCTTATAGCAATTTTTCAGATGATGGCCAATGTATAATACTCCTGCCATTACAAGTGGAGCCTATGTAACCTCCCCTGGAGTCTCACTTGGCCCTTCAAAGCTACCTAAGTGAGAATGCCATGGAAGTGATGCTATACAAAGTCTGAAGAGCGGGCTAAAGGACTCTTCAGCCTTGGCTGCACCAGAGAGCACACACCCATCATCCCAACCACCTAGGAAGTTAGGCCAATAAAAAGGGCTGGGCACATAATTCAGGGGACAGCACTTGCCACGTATGTGCAAGGTCCTAAATTCATTCCCCAGCACCACACACAGACACACAGACACACACACAAATCTGCAACTTCTGCTTTCTTAGAATCCGCTCCAAGAAGCCAGTTACTGTGTAAACTGCTGGTAATCCCACTGCTCCATTAGAGAGAACGGCCATCTAGATAGCCAGGGTCCCAGCTAAACGCAAGAGCACAAAAGCCATCTTGGACATTACAATCCCATCTCCCCAGAGCTCAGCATAGTCCCAGCTGGGCCACACACAGGAGGCCTGGTCTCCTGCTGACCCACCCCTGCAGGATTATTAATCTACAAAAATGACAACAAATAAAGTAACTTGTTTTCAGTAACTCCACTGCCAAGTGCTTCATCATGAAGGAAGAACTGAAAACCAGAGCATACACTTGCAAAACATTTACTGAATAATGAAAGACAAAGAATCACCTGGTTAGGGCACTGAATGCGATGATACTTCTTGACATCTGTCTTCCACTTGTGTAGCACTTCCTGGCTGAAAGTTGGGAGCCCAGGACGAGTATATTTTAACTAGGAGACAAGAAACATTGTATTGCAACGATGCAATCCTCAACCAAAATAACAGATGGCTTCTGGCGCACCTCTTGTGCACCTCTTCAGGTTATGTACTTCAGAAGTCCACAGGTTTATACTCCTACACAAACACAGTAAGATGTAAAATCCTCTAAAGTCCTTCATATTGGTAAGTATGAGTCTATTATCTAAAATTAGAAAAGTTTGGTTTTTAATAGAGGACAAGAGACTTAGAGCATTTTTTTCTGTAAATAAATCAGGAAGGAAAGAACTAGAAGAGTATTAAATAAAGTATTTGTTATAAAAATTGAAAATAACCAGATGTGATGGCACATCTTGTAATCCCAGCACCTTGGAGACTAGGTCAGGAAGATGGTGAGTTTGAGGCCAACCTGGGCTACATGCTGAGTTCAAAGCCAGCCTACACTATTTAGTAAGACCTTATTTCAAAAAAACAAAAAAAACAGAGAATACAAATATGTGTTGCTATAGTCATTCAATAGAAATACATAGAGATAGCACAAAGAAGGATCTAAATCAAAATATTAATAATGGTATTTCCTGGAATACAGAATTTTGAATGATTTTAATATTATTCTCTATTGGCTTGGTTATATTTTCTTTTGTGATTTTTTTTTTTTTTGTCTTTTTCCTTTTTATCTGTACCAGCGATCAAACTCATGACTGCCTGCTTGCAAGGCAGGTTCTTGTGCCACTGAGCTAAATCCCCAGCCCCTATATTTTCTTTTAATGAAACCATATTAAGTTTTAATATTTTTTAAATTCTAGAACAACAAAAAAAAGTTAAGGTCCAATCTAAAACTAAGATGTGAGAGACATCAGGACAGAAGACATAACCTTTGCTTGCACTACAAAAGTAAAATTACTGCTAGCACACCTCCCCACACGCGTGGACCTGGGCGCCGTGCAGGGTGCCTGGGAACACAGAGCTGGCCCCGCACCTGCACAGACAGCTCCTGCTGGCCCTCAGCAGCAGCTCTGCCCTTCCGGCCAGAACAGTCCCCCTGATTCAACAGTGGACGTGGCTGACAGGAGCTGGTTCTCTGAGGCAGATAAGCAAACCAACGCTTAAAGAGGCAACGGGGAAGGCAGGTGCTGAAGGAGCCCCTGGCACAAGCTAACCCGGAGCACGCAGCCACATTCCCCGTGAGCCTTTCTCTCTTCAGCAGCTAGTGTAAATGTGCCCACAGAAAACTCGGGTGAGGGAATATTTACATAAAATACTACGTTATGAACATGCTACCTCAGGTACCTAACTGTGTAAACACCTAGAGGAATGAAGGATCAGTAAGATCTCTATGAAGATATACTGAGTGACTTCCTGGACATAGTGTAAAGTGGAATAAAGCTGAATACAGAAGGTAAAGAAAGAAAGAAGGGTAAATAAGAAAATACAGACGTAGCTGGGCGTGGTGGCTCACGCCTGTAATCCCAGCTCTCGGGAGGCTGACGCAGGAGGATTGTTGTAAATTTGAGTCCAGCCTGGGCTACAAAGTGAGTTCAAGGCCAGCCTAAACTGTATAGCAAGACTCTGTCTCAAAAAGACAAAAAAAAAAAAAAAAAAAAAAAAACAAAAAACATGTATCTGATCATTTATCCATAAAACTAAAGAAATAACAGAAACTAGTAAGTGTGGATATCTTCAGGGCTAGGTAGGAATAGAATGGAAAGAGACAATGGGAACATAATCACTGAAGTGGACACTGATTCTTCCTTTTGTATAGGCCTGGGTTAGAACAGTGGCAATGTCTCACACACTCTCACAGAAAATTAAATACTTAAAAGTCAGTAAAATGTGGGCACACAGGAACACAATGCAGGAGGAGGGCAAGATAAAAGTCAGCCTAAACTGGAAAACACGACTCTGACTAACTACTAGAAGATTACAGACAAAAGCAACTACTGTGTATATAAATAACTGTGCTTGTCTAGTTAGTAAATCCGCTGCTTTATAGGAGAATGAATCAGCAGATCTGATACTACATGATATTATACCAGGTTTCACCAAATCTCTAACTACTTCATACATAGTTACAGACAGATATCTCAATTTTATTCATTTATTTTTGTTTTTGTTTTTGGTACTGGGAATTGAACTCAGGACCTCATGCTTCCCAGGCAGGCGCTTATGCCACTGAACTCTTCCACAACCCAGATGTCTCAATTTTTTTTTTTATCAGCACCAGGGATCAAACTCATGACTGTGCGCTAATCCCCAGCCCCTAGATGTCTCAATTTTAGACAAAGGAATTAAAAAATGAAGCAGGAAGGCTAGAATGAGTTTGTGCTGTTGCACTGAAATCGAAGGTATTTAGCCCAGAGTGATGATGGAGCAGGCCTGCAATCCCAGCACTTGGGACACGGAGGCAGAAAGATCACCCTGAGTTCAAGGTCAGCCTGGACTACAGAATAAGCTGAAACCAGCCTAAACTACAGAGCAACATCCTGTCTCAAAAAGAAACAAAAGAAAGAAAGAAAAGAAACAGGTATTTTTGTTTTTTAACATACCTACAGATAAGAGAGGCACAGAAATAAGGATTTACCCAGATACATGAAAAGACAAATATGGCCCAACTCTGCATCAAGAAGGCCCAAAAGCAATGAAAGCCTGAGAGGAAAGAACAAACCCAGCGGCACAGTCTTGTTTTCTAAATACTCTCTTGAAAGGAAACCAGGATCCCTTAGAGAAATGACTGAGTCCAGGGTTTGGGCAAGAAAAATCTAAGCCATATCCTCTGGTGTTGAAAAGTAAAACAGTGCTCAAAAAATGAGAGCAAAGGGCTGGGGATACCGCTCAGCAGCATAAACACCTGCCTGCTGGCAAGCCTGAGGTCATCTGTTCAACCCCCGGTGTGGAAAAAAAAATGACACGAGAGGTCCAACAGACACAGAGCACATGTGGAAGAGCTCTCAACAGCCAAATCTAGTGCTAATCAAGCAGCTACCCACCGAATAAACTAAGGAACTAAGTATCCAGCTGTGCAGACAACCCCAAAATCCTCAGTTTCTGCATTTGCTGAGTCAACCAACTAACTGTAAATCAAAAATATTTTTTAAGGAAAAACATTCTGCATGTACTGAATATGTAAACACATGTTTCTTCTATTTATCCCAACAATCAGCATTTACATTGTATTGGGCATTATAAATAATCCAGAGACATTTGAAAGTGCATGGGAGAATGGGTGAAGGTTTTATGCAAATAGCACAGCATTTCTGAGAAGGGGCCTGAGCACCCCTGGGTTTCACTTTCCTCGGGGGTCCTGGAGCTATTCCCTTATTGACAACAAGGGAGTATACTGACATAAATAAAGCAAAAGGACAGATTTTTCCTACACTCAAATTGCAATTAATACTTGTAGAACAAATGACAGAAACAAACTGTCATTAACCCAAGGCTACAGTAACACCGCTGGAGGCAAGAATCGTCATCAGTGTACGCTAATATAAGTGGGCAGAAGTCAGATGATCTCAGTCTCCCCACAAAATACTAATTTTGGGGAAGACTATAATTTTACCATAGAGACACCTGGAAACACACCCTGGGCCAATGGATCGGCGATCCTCATCTATAAAAGACACAGAGGATTGTGCAGCTTCTGACCCAATGCAGACAGGCGCCAGCGCTGCTTGGGTGGGTGATCTTCCTGCCCAACCATGCAGCCCTTCCCCTGACCTTAAGAAAACACTATAAAAACCATGCCAGGCAACACTCTACAAAATCGCCAGCTAATCCTGTCAAAACGTCACCCACAAAGAGACAAAGCCAGGGCGCCACTAACACCCTGAAGGAAGGAAAGACAGATAAGGGATTTAAAGTGGGGTCCCTGTGGGTCCAGTGGCAGTTACTCAGGGTGCTGGCATCGGGGAGGCCGGGTGGAAACTGCCTGGGCCGTCTAGCAGTTCTTCTTCTTTTTGTACCAGGAGCTGAACGCAGGACCTTGTGCTGCCAGCTAGTGCTTATTCCCGCCCCTATACACGAGTTCTACAACTGCCACTAAGTCTAAAATACTTCACACGAAACTTTCTCTGAGAAATATACGGCTCCTCTGTCCATCAGGAAGCTCTGGAAAGGGCCAGGGATTAGCTCAGGGGCTCAAGCGCTTGCCTCCTGGTAAGCGTGAGGTCGCAAGTTCCATCCCCGGTACCAAAAAAAGCAGCTCTGGAAAGATGCATGAGAGGCTGCTAAGAGTGGAGAAGCTTGGGGAGAGCACAGAGGAGCAAGGACAGGACTGGGTAGGTCTCCATGCTGGTCATCATTCTGACTTTGTACCACAAAAGAAGCTCCGTTGCTAGCAAAACAAATGGAAACCACTTACCTATTAAACCACTGCATCTGCACCAACACGATGGAAACATGCTGGACAATAAGCAAGCAAAAGACCTTACCTGGGAATTTCAGGTCCCTTCTGGAAGCACCTGAGAATTCAGAGGGCCCTAGAGGGACTTCCACAGTGGACTGGGAGGCTAGGACCTACCTGAATGCAAACGGTGAGCTGGGTCAGATGTGCTCCATCTCCACAGGTAAAGGAGCGGAGGACTCTTATCATGCGCTTATGCAAGAGCCTCTGCTTTTGCCTACATCAGACACTGTGGTTCCAAAAGTGGCATAAGCTTCTACATTACCTTCCGATCATCAGGCACCAGGTCCTGCAGCACCTTCCTCTTAGGCCACTCCTTCGCCAGCTCCACAGAGGCCAGCTCCTGCAGGTGGTACACAGCAATCTTGGCAGAACGTCTCTGAACTCGGCCCCCACTCTTGGCTTCCAGGCCCATCTCCTTTAAGCACTCTGTCTGTCCTGACTCTGGAAAGAAGGAGATCTGCAAGAATGAGACACAGCAGAACACAGGTGTGAGAAGTGGCTTCTGTCACTAGAAATAAATGCTGCCCTTCCTGTCTAAGTATCAAAAGGGTTGCCTGTTGGCTTGCTAACCATGGCGATCAAGCTCTACCATATTAACATTATTCATACGAAAAAGCTGTCTAACAAGGCAAAATCTGTTCTTTCCTAATAAGTAAAAAGGACTAAAAGGTCAAGAAACATTCATGTACAAAGATTTCAATCACAGCAGCACAAGCCTGAAATCCCAGCACTGAGGGAGGCTGAGGCAGGAGAATCACAAGTTCAAATGCTACTTGAGCAACATAGCAAGACCCTGCCTAAAAATAAATAGCTAAATACAGCAGGCTGATGATGTAGCTCAGCAGTAAAACATCCCTGGATTTGACCTCCAAGACCAAAATAACAAAACAAAGTAACTTTAACCTATTCCTTGTAATATGTACAAAAAATAATTCACAAAAGACCAAAGCACTAACCATAATATATAAAACTATAAAACCTCTAAAGGAACTATGGAAAAAAATTTTTGTGACTCTAAAGTGTCACCTTGGCTAATTATGTAATCATACGCAGCTAGATAGATTACTACAAAATTTCTAGCTAAGTGGAGGGATGTTTTCAATTTTGAAAGACGATAAAGTTTATTTTTTTCTAGACTATACTTAAAACTTTAATTTATCTGACCTAATAATGTTCAAAAGGCAGAAAAAAAGAACAGAATAAAAAAATGAATGAAGAAGAGAAAACAGAAACAGTCACGGAGTAAAAGGTACCACACAAAGGAGGAACCAAGAGCTGGGCACTCACACAACGGACATCACCCACAGCGTCTGGAGAGGCAGCGGTACTCACAGGAGCATGCTCTGACCTCAGGTGATACGCGAGGCCAGCCTTTGACCTGTACGGTTTTCCACAGTGGTGACATTTTAAGGTCATCTTCTCCAGCTCTGCAGCCGCTTTGCCACACTTTCTAACATGGTACACATATCCCATGATGCTGGTAAAGGTACTGGAGCAACTCTGAAGACAGGAGACAGCCCCACATCAGAATCTCCATTCTCTGACACGGTCCCTTCAAGCCCTAAAAACCTATGAAGTATTCACCGACACACGCGAAGTCACTGGGATCAGACAAGAGGCCTCCCCGGCACCTCCCCTTCTGCCTGGCTGGCTGTCTAGGCGCCATCAGATGAGGCTGGCGTGGCAAGTGCTCGCTGAGCAGCACCCAGGCATGAACTCTGTGTCCGAGCTTCCTCCACCCCCAACCCCACTCCAAAATCAAATAGCTGGTAACATCAAAGCCCATCACAGTGACAGGGATCCAATTCACCACATTTACAGAGGGGACGGGAACGAAATGCTCAGAAGACAGAGGAATGAGGGGAGATAAATGACTGAAAATGGGAAAGAAAAGAAGGAACCATCAACAAATTCGAGACACCGGAACAATAGGGGTCATGCCTCTGTCTTAAGGTAGCACAGAGCCAGGGAGTCCCCAAGGAACAGCAACTGGAGAAGGACATGGGAAGACACCGTCCCGAGTTCCGGGAGGAGGAGCTGTTGTCCCTAGACGCTTACCTCTCGCGAGCACCTGAGCTTTCCCAGTCTCTTCAGAACTTTCCGGAGCCGTTCCCTCTCCCTCGGCTCATCAATTTCATCTCCAGCTTTCAAAATGGGCTAAAAATCAAGAGAAGCACATGACTGGATGATTAATGGAAAAGACACACACAGAAAAAGAAAAATCATACAGACTCAAGAACTGGACTGGTAGCTAAGCTGTGCCATGAAGTCCAAATTTTGGCTCTCTCCACCTTCTGGATAAGGTGAGAAGAATGGAACTAACAGTTCCGACCCTCTGCCTCCAACAATAGCACAATACTAACACCAATATTATGGTCCACACAAAGGCGCCTAGCTCTTGCATGAAAGAGTCTTGCTACTCACAACACTACAAGGTCCCAGTGCCTCAGCCATCGGCATTAACATAGCTTCACACACCTTAGGAAAAGATACACACAGGATAGAAGACAAGGATAGATTACCAAATTATGATTCGCCATGACATGATACTTCATCCCTGCCAAGGAACGAAGCTGTTTCCCACAGTGATGACACGTAAACTTTTCCTAGAAGAAAAAAATTGGTACTCAGTGGCAGGCCATTCAACAGAGAAGCAGAATGCTACCAACTGCACTTAATGGGGCTAGGGACCGAACAGGTGTTACTTCTTTTTTTATCCTCTCACTGACTGAACGAGGTATCTGTTCTTTTTTCTCTGTTCTACCGATAAGGAAACCAAAGTCCACAAGTGAAAAATAAGTGCCATGACTAGTATGCAGCAGGCTGAGGATTCAAATAAAAATGTCACACAAAGCCTATGCTTGCTCTACCACACAACACTGCCACCGATCAGCTCTTACTAGCATAATGAACATAAAGCGGAGGTCTAAAGTTCAGATAAAAGAATCCTAACAGTCAAAAAATAACAAACAAGTAACCTGTTTGCAGTTTTCCATGTGTTTCTTCAAACCCTCTATGGTCTTCCTCCCCACTGCCTGGCAGGTAGGACAGGAAACACTGCCTTTCTCCACAATTTCTAAGTACCACTGTTCCTCCAAACTGCCTAAAAGGAGAGAAAGGGATACTCTGTGATCTGCAGTATTATCCAGAAACAAAAAGCACACTACTACCATTTTGCAAAAGTGTAACGGGGGGTCTTCTCTTTCCTACTAGACAGGATGTAGCTTCTAGATTTTTTTTTTTTTTAGTAAAACGTCAAATTTTCAAAACTGCGGCACACTTCCACATGTTCAGAACCATTTGAACCACTCCAACGCCCCTGGCTTATAGCCTGAGTGTCGTGGGTTAAGACGGGTGGTCAGCTTAACACCAGCTGAACTGAATCAGCATGGTGCTGAGTGTAGATGGCCCACTTGAGGACTGCTGCTAGCATAAAAAGAGATGTAGAGAGGAAGAGTAGCACTGTGGGTTCTCCTAGGTGTTCTGTGGTTTGCAGATGTTGGCTCTCCTGGAGGAGCCTGTCATGCTGGCTCCCCTGATACGAATGCAGCTGTCATCGTCAGGGGAGCTTGGGACCTTGCTGCTCAGAATAGCTTGTGGTTCACTTTGGGGGCGCTCTGGTCCTTATTTTGAGCATCAATTCCTGGCTCCGGAGCTGCTCAGTATCCAGAAGTCTGTCATGTACTCGCCTATTCTCACTGTCAGAGGAGCTTGGGACCTCACTGTCACTGAGGATGGCTGATACTATTCGGGGAGGCTCTGGTCCTCCTTTTGAGCACTGCTTCTTGGCTCCAAGGTAGAATTCTCAATCTACTAGCACAGATCCTTCATACCACCGGCAGAGACTTTTTAGCTGATTTTTGGGCCTTCCAGGACAGATCCATGAAGACTTGCATGAGTCACTGTCATGGGCTGAGGGTCTTCAGCTGCACTCATGCAGGACACCGCTGTGCAATCCAGGACCTTGGCAGGTTTTCTAGGTCTTCAGTGTTTTGTGGGCACGTTTCCTGCACTCTCTTGTATTTAACTCTGGATGACCATCGTAAAATAGTATTATAAAATCTGTGTCCTCTATGTAATTGTTCTCCTTGCAGCCCCTGACTACAATACTTAGCAACATTGCTCAAGCCAGGACAGAACAGTGGGGCACAGAGAGAGGCAGTTGCCACTTTGCTGAGTGCTTCCTCTGCCCCAAAGTCCATGCTAAATGTTTTTAAGTCCTTTCATACTGTCAACAATGCTCTTTATCATTACCACTTAGAGACAGGAAAACTTGGGCTCACACAACTGAAACAAAGGCAGTTCAGGAAGTCAGGAGAGCCACGTGACCTCCAAAGCCAGGTCCCTAAGATCTGTCTCTGTAAAGAAATGCTTCAGTGTGTCCCTCCTCACAGAAGACCCCAACAAAGCAGAGACACCCCAGGAAGCCTTCCACACAAAGCCTACCTGCTGCATAAACTGGCGGCTCCTTCGGTATACGCCGTGCCTGGGGTTTCGGAGCAGGCTGAGTCTTAGGCCGTTGCTTCCTCCCTGACAAGACAGAAGCTTGCAGCCTGATACGTCCCCTTGAGCAACCCCCTCCAGCACTGACATCCCTTCCTTCCTCTCTCCTAAGACACCCTGGGCCCCACTCTCTCAGCTAATGACTCCTTAACTTATGACTGAATGAAAGGGTTCAGTCAAAGGAGGATAGAGGCTGCTCCCTCCCTCCAAGTTCAAAGAGCTCAAAAACCAAGAGCCAAAATCAACATTTCTGTTCCTTTAGTCCACAAAGAATAAGCCGGGCATGGTGGTGCACGCCCGTAATCCCAGCATTTGGGAGGCTGAGGCAGGAGGATTGTTGTGAGCTTGAGACCAGCCTGGGCTACAAAGTGAGCACAAGGCCAGTCTGAAATGCATAGCGCGAGACCTGTCTCAAAAAGACAAAAGAAAAAAAAAAAAAAAGAATAAAGCCTCCAGTCTCCTGAGGAAACAAAAATGACCAAGTTCCTCTCTTACCATAAAGTTTATGCTTCTTCTGTGGAAATTCCCCATAGTCTTCGTCGTCTTCCTGCTTGAGTTTCCTCTTCCCTTTGGCCAGCACTCCACCTGACTCTGGCAGACAACGGAAACACAAATGCACAGGCTCAGGAAAGTGTGTGCAAGAATGTCTTGTCCTGCCTCCAGAACATCACCCACAGGACCTCGAGAGGAAAGATACCCCCACTGCAGGCTCACAGAAGTTTTGTAGCTTCTCATTAACTAGCCAAATCTCTCCTCTTCCCTTTAAATTGTTCTTCCAGGAATCACCCACAGGGGCCTCCAGGAAATATGATTTGTGTGACCTTAACTGAGGCTGCCACTGGAGAACTGCTCAAGATACAGGGCTCCCGAGATTCTTTATAAACTGTGACCCTCTAGAATATAAGATCCTATTATCACTCTTTCCCTAGCTATTATGTCCTCAAAAAAGGAGCAAGATAGAAGTATATGGGGAGGAGACTCAAATTCCTCAAAGGAGAAGGCTTATTCTAAGTCCGTCCTAGAGGAGCAGAATCAGCAGAACGGCTTTAATACATTTAGAGTCACTTACAGCAAGTACCAAATGTAACTTCAGAGTACCCTGTCTTGGGAACAGGACGCTGATATTTGTACCTTCAATGGGTGGAGAAGCGGCTTGCTTGATCCGCCTCATCTTCCTCCAGTATGAAGATTTTCGGAAGGATGCTGGAAAATCATTCACTTGTTCACACGAAGAGGCAGATGAACCACTTAAGGAGTCATCATGAGGGATGGTGTACTGGAAACTGTTATCCTTTATGGGGGAGCACTGGGTCCTGCTACTAACACAACACAAAGATACACACCACAGAGAAGGGTTTGGTGCAAAATTCCTACTAATGCTTTTACCAGTTACTTATGCAAAAGAATTAAGAAGCCTGATTCTCCCTTTCCCTCCTGGGACTGAACTAAGGCCTGTGCACTAAGCTACATCCCTAGCCCTTTTCTAATTTTTTTTATTTTGAGGCAACATCATGCTAAGTTTCCAATGCTCACGGTAGGCTCAAACTTGTGATACTCCTACCTCAGCCTCCCATGGTAGTGGGATTACAGGAATGTGCCACCACATCCCACAAAAACACTGTTTTTTAATTTGAATTTTTTGTGTGTGTGAGACAGGGTCTCACTATGTAGTCCAGGCTGGCCTCGAATTCAGTGGGATCCTCCTGCCTCTGCCTCCTGAATGCTGGGATTACAGGTGTGCACCACCATGCCAGCAAAGATACTGATTTTAAAAGGCTAGAATGTAGTCTGTAATCAAAGAATTACAATGTTGCTTCTAACACCCCCAAGAATGATTCCTATTATACTTCAATGTAGTCAGAAAGAGTAAGCAGTCCACATAAATGACTATCTTGCAGAGCAGAAAGGCACTGCAAAGTCACAGTGTCTTGTGACCCTTCACAAACCCTCCTGGGGGTCCAAGGAGGACCAAGCCTTTCTATCTGTCCCATATAGATAGATTCATTCAAGGGCACTGTGAGAATAGGGAGGAAAAGGACAGACCCTAGAGCAGTGATGGTGAACTGTTTAGAGACTGGGTTTCAAACTGCACCCCAAAATGCACTTACTTATTATTGTAATCCCAAGTATTGAGTATAGTTATCCAAGTATTGTAATCCTTTTTCTAGTTTTCCTCACAATCCCAAAAGTTACATTTGTAATCCCACTGAGATGTTATTGGAATCCCAGGAGGTTATTTTAATCTACCACCACCAATGCAACCCACAGCTCGAGTAGAGACACCAAGACATGTTCCAAGTTAAGGGCAGCCAAGGGGCCCTAAATCTAATTCCTGTGAGGATGTGTGCCTAAGATCCTGATCCTCGGGCTCTCCCAGAATTTATTATCTTATGAAGAAGTGGGGTGGCTCAGGGATGAGTGACAGTGGGGATGCCTGGAATTACATGAGTAACTTGAGCTGGCTGGCCAGATAGGGTGAAAAGCATCTGTGAAAAATGCAGAGATAGGATATGTAGAAGGATTAATTTGCATAATTCAATAAGGTAGCAAATGAATTGTTTTAAGAGGCTCTTGCTTTGGTTTCTGATATGTAAACTTTTTTGCCCCAGGGAGTCACAGCCTCTTTACCTTGAGGCTCATACCCAGTTGATATTTTTGGAGCTATTGGCTCTAACATCCAGCTGTGTTTATATCTTTTACAGAGAGGACTATGTGAGCAAACAGGAGACTGTCAGCTTTAGAGGTTACCTACTAGTACCTCAGCTAGCCTTATTTGCAATGCTTGGAGCCAACTGAAGAGAGAAGAAGAAAATGCCACAGCTAGCTCTCTACATATCAGTACAAGGAAATAAGTCTCCATATAATCAAAGCTGCAGCAATTGTTCTGCATTCAAGGGAAGTCACTGGAGTTGTCTCCCACAATTTATCACAAAGTGCAAGGACCAAGGTTTGAGTTTAGAAAAACAACTCTGTATTAACATCTTTTATTTTAGGGGAAAAAAAAGTCCCACAGTAATACTCTTGCCCTAGGTTCACCACCACTGCCCTAGACCCTGATCTGATCTCTCCCTCCCTCCCTTTTCCTGAGCCTTCTATGTAAACCCTGAGGTTAGGACAGCTCTGTCTCCCTTAGGAAACATGACACTCAGCCTCCACTCCGTCTGAGTTGAGCTGGCCAGAGAACCTTAGTAAATAGCTGGATTCAAATTTTTTGATCCAGTATGAGTCAGTGTGTGAGGGAAGAAACATTACTGAGAAACTACAAAGCTCAAGCATTTGAGGTGACTCAAATGCAGCAGACAAGCAGCTCACAAAGTGTGGCCCACGGATCCTCAAAGACCTGCGTGTTCCAGGTAAACACCTGCATGAGGCCTGCTTTAGATACAGGATTTAGAAAGAGCACTCTGGCTGCTGTATGGAAAACAGACAAAGGGTCAACAAAATGAAAAATTAGCTTGCTGGCATGCTGCAAGAGAAGGAAGGTGCAAGACCCTGAGTTCAATTCCCAGGACAAAAATAAATAAGTAAAAAAGACCTAGGCCTGAAATTAGACTCTGTAGGACAGATGGCGGAGATTCAAGAGAATATGATACAGGCAGAGCTAATAAGAATGCCACAGGGGCACACACCATCAGTTTGTGACAGCAGGATGTGAATGTCACACTGATGACTGTCCGTAGGAAAATATCAACTCCACAGATGCCTACTGTGGAGTACTCTGTAGTTGTCATCTGTTAAAAAACAAATTCTACACAGACAAAAACTTAGTAAAAAGGCACAGTGCTGAGTGAAAAAGGAAACAGAACGAGATCACCGGTACTGTCAGCTTAACCCCCACCCTGTCAACTGCCTAACTTCTATTTTAGGTTTGAAGCCAGCTAACTTGCTCATTGCCTTCCTCGCTCCATTTCTGGATGAAGCTCTGTTCCCCACCCCGGGCATAACACCTTCGGCTCAACCTCTTGGGGGCAGGCTGAAGTCTCTACTTCAGAGAACAACCAGTACCCCCACCTCCCATGTGCTGCTGTACTTGCAGTGTTAATAAATCTTTCTGCCTCGATAGGTCTTCTGGTCTTACATCAGCCTAACAGGTACAGTGTCATCTTGGTCAATTGGAAATACATATATAAAAGAGCTGTACTCATCTTCATGAATATGGTTTCCTCTGGAGGAAAGGGACAGACGTGCGGACAGAGGAAACAGCTGAGACGGATGACGTCACATGCTACGAACAAGCTAAAGGAATTTACATGGTGATGATGTTTCTACATTTAAGCAGTGGCAGAACAGTTACCCTAAGTAGACCTCGAAAGGACAAGTACGTGTATTTTAATTCCAAGACCAACCATTAAAAAACAAGAGAGCCAGGTGCAGTGACACACACCTGTAATTTCAGCTACATGGGAGACTGAGACAGGATGATCATAAATCCCAGGCTAGTATGGGAAATTTAGTGAGATCCTGCCTCAAAAATCAAAATAAAATGTAGTAAAATAAATAAAATAAAAACACAAAGAACTGCCACTGGTAGAGTGTTTGCTTAGCACATGCACAGCCTTGGGTTCAGTCTCCAGCATCAAAACAGACAAAAATTCACATCCACAGTAGACTGTACAACATTTAACTAATTCAAAAGAGGTACAGAGAATGAATAAAAAAAAGGTAGAGCTAAATACAACCATAAATGTTTACGGTCTAAACACTCCTACTAAAAGAGAATGAGTTGATTTAAAAAAAAAACCAATTCCCCACTTGTATACGCTACCTACAAAGGACACTCTCTAAATAAAGACATAGAGAGTGGAAATTAATGGATGAAAAACTATACCATGCAATCAGGAAATATAAGACAGTAGGAGTGGCCACTTTAATTTCAGATAAACAGACTTGAAAACAAAGAGTACTTCCAAAGATATAAAGACAGACTTCACAATGAAAATAGTTCCAATTACTAGGAAGGCATAATTACCCATTTTATGTACTTAAAAATAGAGCCTCAAAGTACGGAAAGCAAAAACTGATGGAATAAAAGAGAAAACAGATATTCTTCAATCTTTGAAACTTTGAGAATTCCCGGCAACTAACACAACTATTATATAAAAATTTACAAAGGACACAGATGATCTGAACTATTCTACTGGCCATCTTGCTCTGGTAATTAATATTTATGAAATCTTAAATCTTTTTTTTTAAGAGCAGAAATATTGAGAGAAAGAAAGCTTCTGTGTGAGAGAGACAAAAGGGGTCCCAAGCGGGTTGCCTGAAATCTTAAATCTAACACACAGGATATACATTCTTCTCAATGTGCACATATTGGGCCATAAGCCTTAAACCTTGGTTTTTTTTTTTTTTTTTGGTACTGGGGATCGAACTCATGACCTCGAGCTTTCTAGGCAAGTGCTTATGCTGCTAAGCTAAATCCCCATCTCTAAATTTGTATTAAATGTATGAGATCACAATATTTTTGTCTATACTGGAAATTAGAAACCAATGACAGTAAATAATCAAAAAACAAATTTAAAAACCCACAAAAATCCAAGTATCTTGAAATTAAACATATTTCCTGCATAACTCACAGGTTAAAAAAAAATGACATCATGCAGGAAGTTTTGAAAGTATTTCTGGCACTGGCTTTTTATTTATTTGTTTTTTGGCACTGGGAATCAAACACAGGGCCTTTTACCTTCAGGCAGGTGCTGGGTCACTAAACTACACCCCCAGTTCTGAAAATATTCTTGAGTAACAAAAAAAAAAAAAAAATTGAATCGTGGAGATGCCTTCAAAGCAGTACTAAAAGAAAACTTAGAACTCTAATTACTTGTATTAGAAAAGCTCTAAAATCAGTACTAGGATCACTTAAGATACTTAAAAAAGAACAAAGTAAACCAAACAAGGAAAACTAAGAGAAATCCATTAACTAGAAAACAAACAAGCATGGGAATGCCTGTAAACCCACAATCCTGGCACTCTGGGAGGCTGAGACAGGATCAAAAGTTTGAGCTTTGCCTGGTCAACTTACTGACTTACCATAGATCGAGAAAATAAGGAGAAAACCTTTGTAATCAAGGGAGTGGAAGGCTTCTTAAATGGGGGCGGGGGAGGGAAGAAACATAAATGGAAAAAAATTAATACTGAGTTTTAAATATTTGCTCTGGAAAACACATTAGAAGCTGAGTGTTGTGGCACATGCCTGTAAACCCAGCACTCAGAAGGCTGAGGCAGGAGGATCACCATGAGTTTGAGGTCAGCGGCATAAGCACCTGCCTTGCGATCCCTGGTACCGATAAAAAGGAAAAAGACCAAAAAAAAAAAAAAAAAAAGGAAAATGAGTAGCATATTCTTCTCAGTTGTTTATTTTTGGATTGGGTCTTTGAATGTGGAGGAGTCTGATTTTTTTCAATTCTCTATATGTTTTAGACAAAAGTCCTTTGTCTGAGGGATAACTGGCTAAAATTTTTTTCCACTAAATGACAAATAAATATATGAAAAAATGTTCAGCATCATTGATCATTCAAGAAGTACAAATTAAAACACTGAGATTCCACTTCACACCAGAAAAATCAAGAAATCAACCAATAAAAATGCTGGAGGGTGTGTGGGGAAAAAGGAACCCTCCTCTACTATTGGTAGAACTACAGCCTGGTGCAACCACTTTGAAAATTAGTTTGGAGATTCCTCAAAAAACTAGGATTAGAGGGTCTATTCAACCCAACTATTCCCCTCCTGGGTATCTTTGCAAAATTAAAAACATTTTACCACAGTGATATATGTGCACCAAGTTTATAGCAACAGAATTTGTAATAGCTAAGTCTTGGAAACAACTCAAATACCCATCAACCAAGGAATAGATAAAACAGATGTATTTTATACAGTGGATTAGTACTCAGCCATAAGGATAAACTTCAGACTTTTATAGGTAAATGGATGCAACTTAAGACCATCCTCATAAGGGAAATAAATTAGTCTCACATGTGTAGACATTGTATTATCTCACTGGTGTGAGAAACTCAGAGTAAGGTCTAAAAATGTACAACAGCTATTGTGCAATGTGAAGAAATTGTTTAAAAGGAAAAAAGGTGAAAAGACAGATAAAAAGGGAAAAAATGCAAGTCAGTTATACTATTAGTGTTTTACTTCATTGAAAAGGAAAGTTTGTGCTAATATTGGAGAAATGTTTATGCCCCTATCTTGAACTCGAAGCAACTACTTTAAAGATAACATGTGATGTATTAACTATTGTTATTCTCCTAGTATTTTGTTATGAAATTTTGTTTTCCCTTTTTTCCATAAAAAAAGAAAAAGGAAACCACAGAGTGGGAAGAAATATTTATTTAAATATATACATCAGACAAAGGGATTGTATTCAGAATATGTTTTTTCAAAAAACACAATCATGGGGCTGGGGATTTAGCTCAATGGCACTGTGCCTGCCTGGCAAGTGCGAGGTCCTGAGTTTGATTTCCAGTACCAAAAAAGAAAATAGTTTTTTTTAAAAATGACCAAAAAAACACAACTCATAGAAGGACATGGTGGTACACGCCTATAATCCCAGCACTCGGGAGGCTGAGGCAGAAGGATCACTGAATATTCTAGGCCATATATTGCTGGTGTGAATATGATATGACACTATTTTGGAAAACAGGCAGTTTCTTAAAAAGTTCACCATACTCCTGTCATGTGGCCCAACCAACCTAGGATGGCAAATTCTTTTGCAGGTATTTATGAGATGAAATGGAAACATCTCTTCACGCAAGACTCATGAATGACTGAACACAGAGGTGCACACCTGGGAATCCAGCACTCTAGAAGCCTGAGAAAGGAAAATCTCACTTTCCAATCCAAACTGTATGACTGACATTCTGCGTCACAATAAAAAAAAAAATGTTTAAAAAAGGCTAGTGGGTGTAGCTCAGTGTGAAAGTCCTAGATTCAGTCTCCAGTACCATAAACATACACACATCATATATGAGGGAAATGTAAATCAAAATTATACTGATTTAACCTTTCCTCAGTGGTAATAGCTATCAACAAAAATACATAAATGCATACATGCATATATACATATACATACACACACATATACATAAATGCCGATGAGGACTGGGGGTACTCTGACACTCCAGGTGGGAATGTAAGCTAGTACGGCCACTGTAGCAGACAATATGAATGGGCTGGGTATTTAGCTCAGCAGCATAAGCTCCTGCCTGGCAAGCACATGATTGAGTTCGATCCCCGGTACCAAAAAAAGAAAAGAAAACAATATGTTCCTCCAAAAACTAAAAATACAATTATCATTTGATCCAACTACATCCATTCATGGAATACACCCAAAGGAAATAAAATTAGCATATCATAGGATATCAGCCCACCCATGTTTATTGTGATACAACAGGCAAGACACAGAACCAGCCTAGATTCCCATTAATAAGTGGATAAAGAAAACATGGTGCACGTATAAAATAGAGTATTACTGGCCATAAAAAAAGAATGAAATTTTATCATTTGTAAAAAAATGGAGTGAAAAAAAAAACTGGAGGGATCAGGAGATTATCATGTTGAATAAACTATGACAGACTGTGTTCTCCCTAATACAGCAGAGTGTGAAAAAGAAGGCAAGAGGATTTAGTTCAGCGGCATAAGCACCTGCCTGGCACGCTCGAGGTCATGAGTTCAATTCCTGGTACCAAAATAAAACAAGAAAGGAGACTTCTATTAGACTAGAGGAAAGGAAGAAGGGAGAGGGGGTGTAAGTGTGGGTAACAGGGGACAGGAATATGATCAAAATATGTTACACATATTGAAACCCTCCCCCACAAAAATGTCAAACTAGGGTTGAGGGTGGGGACAGGGAGGTGATGGGGAGAAATGATTGAAGTCTGTTATGTCCACATACAAATCTGCCAGAAAAAGGGGGGTGGTGGTGCATGCTTATAATCCCGGCACTCAGAAAGCAGAGATAGGAAAATAGTCATGAGTTCAAGGAATTGAACCTGGATTACATAGTAAGCTCAAGGCCAGCCTGAACTACACAGGAAAAACCTGTCTGAAAATGAATATATTTTTTATTTTTGGTACCCGGGATCAAACTCATGACCACATGCTTGCAAGGCATGCACTTACGCCGCTGAGCTAAATTCCTGGCCCATTTTTAAAAATTTGGTTGTAGCTTACAAAATTAAAACAAAAATCTGCCAAAATGAAACCCATTGATCTGTATAACCAAAGTAAAAATGTGAAGCTGGATATGGTAGCATCTGCCTGTAATTCCCAGCACTTGGAAGGCTGAGGCAGGAGGATCACTAAGAGTTTGAAGCAAATCTGGGGCTACATAATGAGCTCAAGGCTAGGCTGAACTACACAAGATCCTGCCAAAAAAAGAGAGAAAAAATTTGTTATCTAAAATGTGATGATTCAGAGATGCATACATGTATCATGGCTGCTCACAATGTACACTTTAAATAAGGACAGTCCGTAATCACATTAATAAAGATATAAAAAGTTTAATGGAAGACGTATGATAGGAAAACATATCCACATTCACAGCAATGTACTTCATAACAGCTACACTGTGGAAAGAGCCGAGATGCCCATCAACAGATGAATGGATAAAGAAAATATAGAGAATGGAATGCTACCTAGTCATAAAGAAGAATGAAATCACGTTATTTGCCTGAAAATGGATGGAGCTGAAGGCCATCATGTTAGGCCTGTAATACTAAGCAAATAAGTCAAACACAAAAAGTGACATGTCACATGCTTTCTCTTATATGAGAAACCTAAAATACAAATAAATAAATGAATAAAATAAGGAATGGCAGGCAAGAAGGCAGACTTTTTGGAAACAAGAAAGAGGATTAGGGTGAGGAGAGAGGTAGAGAAGGGTAAAGAACAGAAATGATCAAGGTACTTTGGTTTGGTTTTTTGAAACAGGGTCTTATGGAGACCACATTGGCCTCAAATTCACGCTGTAGAGCTCAGGCTGGCCTCAATCTTGTGGTATCCTCCTGCCTCAGTTTCCCAAGTGCTGCAATTACAGGCACATGCCACTATCCTTAGCTCAAAATGTGTTATATGCATGTACCTTACTCTCTAGTTCTACAAACATACAATAAACAACAAAAAATTGTTTAATGGCAATCAGCAGCTTTGTAGGATCAAAATCCACTATCCCAAACAACAGTGACAAGCTCTATTCAATAAAGGCTTAATAATACCAACAAGTCATTAACAGCCAAGTAATTAATCTTAGGGAGTTCTCTGTATAGAGGAATTTCTTTACTATCAATAGAAAATTTAAAATACCTATATCTCATGAATAAGCATGAAAATTCCTTAGGAAAAACATCCATAGTAACTATGATCAGCATGATTAATAAAATGGAGAATAAGTCAAGATACTTAGAATCCCTCCCTCCAGGCTCTGCCTTTTGTTTTTAAAAAACTAAACAAAAACAATTCTCACGCATTTTACGCTACTATACATCAAATTGTGGTATTTGATTATTTGTAAAAAATCAAATTAATTTCAAGTTTGCTTGAAAAGTTTTCTTATGAAATAATGACTTCATGAGTGACTTTACAGGGCACAGCATAGCTATCATCCTAGCACTCAGGAGACTGAGGTAGGAGGATCAGCCCACAGCCAGCCAGGGCTACATAATGAGTTCAAGGCCAGCCTGAACTACACAGCAAAACCCTATCTCAAAAACCAAAACGAAACAAAAAATCATGACTTCATAATTTGCTGCCACCCATGTGGCAACTTTTTGCTTCTGACCAGAAGAAAATTTAACCTATTTAACTTTTCTGATTAGAACAAATTTTTAAGACCTTATAGTTCATTTTTCTATGGTTTCATTAGTAAAGTATTTTAGATTATATCAGTATCCTTAGTACATTTCCATCTCTTTGCCTTTAAAATCTAGTTTCTCCATGATTTCTTCCTCTATTCTTCTGGTCTCCCTGTTCATCACTGGTCTTGAACTTCATAATCTCCCAGGAAGCCGGTTACAAATAAGGATTCCCATGCCCCGACCTAATGATCCCAATTCTTATTATGAATGGCAATCTTTTTTTAAAAATCCTTTTAAACATTAGTGTCAGCTCTGTATCTTTTAACAATTATTCTTAGGTGAACAAAGGTACACATTGAGAAACACTGCTTGAGCCACTTTCCATGAAAGCTCAATTGAACACTCATCTTGTGAAGTAAAGTATGTGTCCAGTAATTTTTAGACCTGATGAGTCTAAATTTCAGAACCGCTCTTCATCCATTTATGTTTGTTCCAAATGTTGCTCCTCATTCAGAAATTCCGGGTTCAGTGAATTGGCTCCAACATGTTTGCCACAGCCAGAAAGCCACAGACATCCTCTAGGCCTTCCTTTTACCCCTCTGCTCAGCTGGTCCCATTCCCTCTGACCGTCCCTTCCTCATGCCAGCCATACAGAACTACTGGCTATCAGTTCACGTCTTTCAGCTGTTCAAATGTTGTACTCTCTTGTAGAAAACCCATTCTCCCGGCTAACTGTATTATTCCTCAACATTCCAGCTCTGCTTAGGAATGACATACTCAGATAACCCATTCCTGCGATGCCATTACTTGTTCTCCCGAAAGTCGTATTAAATTTCCATTTTAAAATATTTAGGATTTATACTGTGTTGTGCTCTGGATTGCTACTTCTATTTTTCATACCCGTATAGCTAACCTATGCAGTGGGTGCAAAGCAGACATTTAGTAAATGTTATCTGAATGAAAGAATCATCTGATGAGTTTCTAGTCCATGAGACTATTTTCTTTTGTTTTAACCGTGGAAAAATACAGCACATTCAGTATACAAAATAAACCAGTCTTGTGGCCAAATACTTTGAAAATAAAAGGATTTCTTACAGCCATTTTCACCTTCCTTTCAAAGCTCATCAATTTATGAACATAATTTTATGTGTGGAGAAATCCAGGAGTACCACTGAGTCAAACGTTGTTGCCAGCCAGGTATTCCTCTCCAACACGGTGTTTAGACTGGCATGGTCCAATCCAGTAGCCATTAGCTACAGGTGATTACTTCAATTGAAATTAATTGAAATTAAATAGAATTTCAAATTCCTCAGTTGCACTGGCCACACTTCAAGAGTTTAAAGCCCAGGGGCTGGGGATTTAGCTCAGCGGCATAAGCTCCTGCCTTGCAAGCAGGCAGTCGTGAGTTCGATCCCTGGTACCGATAAAAACGAAAAAGACAAAAAAAAAAAAAAAAAAAAAAAAGAGTTTAAAGCCCAAAAGCCAAAGGTAATTGGTGGCTAAGACACTGGACAGTGCGGATGCAGCATTTTCATCAGTTCTACGGACAGAGCTGGAGACACAATCATAAAAAGACCTCAAAAACCTCACTTACTTCTTTGCTCCCACGATTCTGGCGCTCCTCTGCTGCTTAAAGGACGTGGGTCCCGGAGTCTAGCAAATCACAAGCATACAAGTGAGTGCTAGCATATCTGAACCTCGACCACAAAGAGATGAATCCCCCTTGTGCCGAGAAGAAACGAAGCTCTCCCGGGGCGACCCTCTCAAACCGAAGACGAAAAGCCTTTTTAGCAAAAGTATGTCGTCCTACTTTCCTAAAATGTAAAGACAATGCCAGAACCTTCATCTTCCCCCATCCTCAAAGCCCTGCCCCCGAGAGGCTCTACAAAAGAGAAAAAAGAAAACAACGGATCTGGGAGGGATCTGAGGATGTAAAAGGAACCGAAACTCTTGGCAATCTGGCGAGGAGTGCGTACAAGAAGATGGGGAACGGGAAAAAAAAAGTGGGAAAAGGGGGGCAGGTGGATCTGATTTGAAAGGGTGGGGCCTATGATGGGGTCTGATAAAACCAACTCTTTGAGCATGGGACAAAAGCGAGGAGCTGAATGTCCCCGGCTCGACAGCGCTACCTCTAAAGCACAACGGTCACGCCAAGAAACTCACGGCGGGGACTGCACCGAGTGTGGAAGACATCACTCCCTCTCCACGCCTAACAGTTTCACCCAAGGGCTCCGTCCAGACCAACGCCACTTCCGCTCGCCTCGCCTCTCCCGGATGTGGACTCAGTGCCGCCCAGCCCGGGTCTGAACGTCTGCTTCCGCCTAGCAGCTTCCAAGGGGGCTGCGGCGGGAAGCGGTCACGTGACGGCTCCCTGGGCCCACGGAGACCCCGCCCCCTATTGCGGCGCAGGACCCGGGAGACCGGGGGGAGGGGCGGGCGGAGGGGCCGAGTGTGGGGTCCCAGCCAGGCCACCCCGCTCTCTCGGGGGTGCTCCGTCCCCTCGCACAACCTCGTGCGTTCCTCCCTTCATCCACCCCGCCAGTGATCTTATAAATGCACGTGGAGCTCAATTATTGCCCCTTTATTGATCTTCGAGAGATGACAGGCTCATTTTCGCTCCCCTCCCCCACGGTGGAGGGGTCCGACAGCCCTCTCCTCGCGGAGGAAGTGGGATGGGAGGCAGTGGTGGAGGAGGGAAAAGCCAGGCGAGGGGAGCTAGATAAAGAATTGTGGGAGACGTCTATAATCTACCAGCTTCAGGCCTCCAACCGTGTCCTGCTTTGGGCTTTTTTAGACACGTTTGAGTAACTCTGGAAAGACTCCTGAGGCCTCTCTGTGGGGCTGCTGTCCTTGAGTCTCTCCTGAGGGGGGCTGTCATGGGTTTTGTCAGCGCGACTGCGACTGCGGTGGCGCCTCTCAGAGTGGCTGTGTCGGGTTCCCTCAGGGCTCCTGAGATGAGCTCTCTTCGAGGGACTGTGACGGCTTCTTTCAGAGGGACTGCGATGGGCTGTCCCAGAACTGTGGCCTTTCCTCTCAGACGGATGGCGAGTGTTGGTTGTCTCAGAGAGACTGCCCCGGCTCCGCTCCGAGGCACTGCGCTGTCTCCTGTCCGAGGGCCTGTGACGTTGCTTCTCCAGGGCACTGTGGTCTCTCCTCTGTGAGGGACTGCGGCCTCTCCTCCGTGAGGGCCTGCGGCCTGCCCTCTGTGAGGAACTGCGGCCTGCCCTCTGTGAGGGACTGCGGCCTGCCCTCTGTGAGGGACTGCGGCCTGCCCTCTGTGAGGGACTGTGGCCTCCTCTCTGTGAGGGACTGCGGCCTGCCCTCTGTGAGGGACTGCGGCCTCTCTGTGAGGAACTGCGGTCTCTCTGTGAGGAATTGCGGCCTCCTCTCTGTGAGGGACTGCGATAGCGCCTCTCAGAGGTTCTGTGACGCCTCTGCCTCTTCTCTGAGAGACTGTGGCTGGTCCTCTCTGAGGGCCTTCGACGCCTCTTTTCCAGGGGACTGGGAAGGTGGTCCTCAGAGAGGCCACAATGGAGTCTCTGTGAGGGGCTGCCCTGACTTCTCACACAGGAATTTTGTCGGGTTCTGTCCCTGTAGGACCGGTGGAGGGTTTCCACCTTGTGGGTGTCTTTATCTCTGAGATGACTCTGCAAGGTTTTCTTCCCAAGGGAACAAGGTAGCTTTCCCCTTTGTGCCTGAAATCTGGCTCCTGGTTTGGGCAAGTTGATAGATTCTTGGCTGGAGGTTTCATCTCTGTGGAAGCTTCTCTTTGCACTGCTGCCACTGACATCTTGACCTATACCCAAATCCTGAGTGACTAACGTAGGGTAGACACTAACTCCTGTTTGGGAAGCTGTGGACTTGGGATGGGAAAAGCTGTCTCTTTTTGACTGTTGAGCTGATCTCCCTTGGTTGGTCTCTCGCCAAAATATGTCCTCCTGCTTAGTGATCGGACTTGTTGATCTTTGCTTGACAACTGGTATCCTTTCTCTTTTGCTACCTCTTGGTAAGTGGTAGTCTCTAGATTTTTGTTGTGAACTGCAGTTTTCACTTGACCACAAATCATCTATCTTTGTCCTGTCCTCAGGCTTCTGACCAACAAAAGGCAGAATTCTGTGTGCTGTTTGGAATACCTGCTTTAGGCCTTGAAAAAGCAGTCTCAGGAATTTGGGATGGGAGGATTTCTTAGGTGGTCTTTTTAAGGAAGCAGTGCTTATCTGAGCTGCTCTAATCCTCTTTCTCCTTAAAGTGGCTGATAAGTCCCTTGAAGGACTGTATGTGTGGAACTTTGTGTTTTGTGATCTAGGTCCCTTTATAATTCTTTTCATTGGATATTTTGAATCAGGGGACTTTTCTGTTCTTGCTTTAGTGAAATTTTCATCATGACTGCTTTCAGAATCACTTTCTGATAGGGAGTGAACTTTAGGGAATTTATAGTGCTCACCCTCTCCAATTTCTGTCTTTCTGACTGATTCGGGGCTGCTCCGTTGCTTCCTCTTGATGTGGACTTCGAAAGGAGCAGGAGGCTGAGAAGAACCAGACCGAAAATCTGTTGTGGGACCAACACCTTTGGAAGCTGGAGGATAAATTTTAGCTTTTTTTCGTGATGATGATACAGGACTTCTTAATTTGGTATGTTTATCTCTTCCATGATACTTGGAGATGTGATGTCTTTTTCCAGTTCGCAATCTAAAGCCAAGACGTAGCCGAACCTTACCATGGCCTTCAGGAGTGCTCACGAGGTGGAGCTGTGGATAGATAAGAATATAAGACCTAGAAGAAGTATGCGAAGTAGAATGATTACAGTTAAGTCCTGAACACTGGCCACACTGTAGGCAGATGGGATATTTCAGGACAAGACCTGAAGCCAGAGGTGGAGGCACATTAGGAGGTATTTGACTTCTTAGGAGTTTTGCAGCAATTTTTAGCTGTAGATCTTGTAGAAGGTGGGACTGTTCTGAGAAGTCACTCTTGGCCTGAGAAAGGTAAGTGGGTTTTGAGGAGTGGAGAGGCTCAAAAGTCCTTGTCTGTGAATCATACTGTGGTGGTCTGGAATGGGAAAGCCTATCTGTTTTTGGCTGTTGCGATGATCTCCATGGGTCTGTCTCTCCCCATAAAATGTCCTCGTGCTTCGTGATTGGACTTGTTGCCCTTTGCCTGACAACTGGCATCCTCTCTCTTTTGCTATCACTTGGTAAGTGATCATCCCCAGATTTTTGTTGCAAATTGTAGTTTTCATTTGACCACAAATTGTCTATCCTTGCCTGTGAGTTACTCGGTGATTCACAAGGAGTAAGATCTTCCTTATTGTGAAATATCCTGAGGGAACTTTCTGACTCTACTAGGGTGGGAAACCACCCCCCTACATATGACCCTGGCCTGTACTGAGTGACTTCCTGGGATTTGTCTCTGAGCTTTGAGTTTGCTTTCTTTATTATAAATCGAGTCCCAGAATATTGCTGTATTATGGAAGATGTGAAGCCACGTGTCCACATCTTTAAGCCCATTCCTTTTTCATGATCATGGCATGAAGTATGCCTCTGAATATAGTTTTTGAATACTGAAGGCTTTGAAACAGTAGCTGGACTCTTCTCTAGCAGGGACTGGGAAAATTCCATCAGTTCAGCTGGAACTCCAAATAAATTCTGAACAGATTGACCAATATCTGCACCGGATCTTTTTACTAAACATGTTCGAGAACAAAGCTTTCTTTCCATAGTGGATCCTAAGACATTCCCCAGCATTAGCATAGAGGATAGATATTTTCTAGGTAGTCTCTGCCTATAGGCATGACTCTCCCAGGCATTCTGTTGTCTCCCCAGGAAAGATTGAATAGAGCCTCTTTGAGCCCTTGGTCCTGCCTGGAAAGACCCAGATCTCCAAGTTGGTAGTAGATGCTGGGAATAGCTCTGAAGTGAGTCCTCTGATTCCTCTATCTGGTTTCTTGTATTTCTTTCCTTAGACATGATAGCCACTGCCAGGATCTCAGGATTTAGGGTTTCCACACTGTTCACTGGCTTATCAGAGGGTTGATTATGAAGGTCCAAAGGAAAGGTTGAAGACTGTATCATAAAAGGGTCTATGTAGGAGTCTTCATTCTCCAAAATGTCTATACCAAGGTTTTTCATATCCCAAGCTCTCCATACTTTTGGTATCCCAGAATCCTGAAGTTCTTCTGATTCATCTGTTGTAGCAGAGCTTGAAATGAGTGAGGCTGAAGGGTTGTAAGGGAATTGAGAGAAATAATTCTTAATTTGTAACTCTTCTGATGTTAACTCCTCAGAGTCCTCATTCTGGTACACCTGTCCTTGAGTCAAACCCTTATTTTCCATGACCTTAAGAGGTTCTTTTGTTATCCCTATGGATTTTACAAGTTGAGTCAATACTGTAGGTCCCTCAAATGAAGGTGTTTGCTGTGAGGTTAATTCTGCAGAGTTCACTTGAATATTTAGAGTTGGCATTAATTCTACAGGTTTTACCAGTTCCTGAAGATTCGGCCTTGTAGTCAAATCAAAACAATCCATTAATTCAATCCCCAATCTTGTGGCTACTCCTATAGGTTCTACAAACTGAGGAATTGGTCCTGTTGCTAATTCCTCAGATTTTACAGTTTGAAACAGTGGCCCTGGGATTAACATGGTCTTTACAATTTGAAATCCTTTCAACTCCATTGTTTCCAAAGTTTGGTGTGTTGGGTTTGTGCTTAATTTATTGGATTTCATATTTTGTAAGCATGGACTGGAGGTAAGCTCAGAGGATTCTGTGATTTGATAGCTTGTTCTCAGGCACTGATTCCCAGATTGTACTTTTTGAGGCAGTGCCCTTGGTGCTAACTCCACAGGTTTGGCAATTTGTTGCAGCGATAATGAAGATAATTTTGCATGTTTAACGATTTGCAGCTTTGGTTCTGGAGTCACCTCCAAAGGATTCATACCTTGTTGCTGTGATTCGGGAAACAAATTTGAAAATTTGACACTAGATAGCGCTGGTCCTGGTAAGAACTTCCTAGGAGGCTCAGGTGCCAATACTAATGATTTCCCATCTTTCCATCCTAAATTCAGCTCTTGGCTATTTATACCTTTCTGTTGGGATCCCATGCTCAGTTCCATAGACTGCAAATCTTGAAAACTTAACTTTTCTAGTGCAAATACCCCATATTTTAAGTCCTGCAGCCCAGAGCCTGAAGTCAGTTTTACAGGGTCTACACCAGAAAGTGATGGTTGTTTCCTCATCTCCTCAGACTTTACATCGCTAAGCAGTGGATCTGGTATGCCTACCACAGGTTTCAGATCATTGAATGAAGGCCCTGATTTGAACACAGGTTGTACAACTTGTTGCTCCCACTGAAGCTGGTTCTCTGAAAATTGGACTTGACACTTTGTCCCTGGAGTTAACTCAGAAGATTTCATTCCTTGAAAGTGTGGTTCAGAATTGACTACTACAGATGTCTTGCTTTGAATTTGTGTCCTTGAATTCAACTCACAAGACTTTACTCCTCGAAGTTCTAAAACTGGAGTTAATTCAGGAAGTGTCGCATCTTGCATATATAGCCCAACGTTGCATCCTGTAGAGTTTACACACTGAGGTTTTGGCTCTGAAGAGGATGGGCAGATATTCATACTCTGAAATTGTATCCCAGGTTCGCAACCTGTAGAATTTGTCCACTGAGGTTTTGGCCCTGGAGAAGATGCACAAGTATTTATACCCTGCAAATGTGGCCAAGGGTTGCACCCTGTACAATTTGCACACGGAGGTTTTGCCTCGGAAGAGGGTTGAGTAGTCACATCCTGCAAACATGGCCCAGGGTTGCAACCAGTAGAATTTGTACAGTGAGGTTTTAGCCCTGAAGAGGATGCAAAAGAATTCACATCCTGTAAAAGTGGTCCAGGGTTACATCCAGTAGAATTTACACATTGAGATTTTGCCCCTGGAGTGCATGCAGAATTCACACCTTGAAAATACGATTCAGAGTTGCATCCAGTAGAATTTATATACTGAATTTTGGGCCTAGCAGAGGATGTGGAGGAATCTATCTCTTTCACATGTGGCTTAAGATTGCACCCAGTAGAATTTACATACTGAGGTTTTGCTCCTGAAGTCCAGGCAGAAGAATTCACATCTTTAGAATGTGGTTCAGAGTTGAACCTGGTAGAATGCATACACTGAAGTCTTGGTCCTGGTGTACATGCAGAAGAATCCACATCATTCAAATGTGGCTCAGGATTGCATCCAACAGAATTTACACACTGAGGTTTTAGTCCTGGAATGGATGCAGAAAAGTTTATGCCTTGCAAGTGAGGTCCAAGGCAGAGCACCTTAGATTTTGTATCTTGAAACTCTGTTGTAGGTTTCAGCTCAGATGATTTTACATCTTGTAACTGTGACTCAATATTGAATGTCATACAGTTTTTACATTGAATCTCTGGCCTTGGATTCAATTGAGAGGATTTCCTACCTTGTAATTCATACTTATGCTTGAATTCCAGAGATTGGTTATCTGGAAGCTTGTTTTCTTTGCATAAGTCAAAAGACTTTATCCTTTCCAACTGAGGCCCAAGATTGAACTCTGAAGACTGCATACCTAGGAGCTTTGTTCCCAGACACAACTCAGAAGATCTTACATCTCCTGGCTGTTTTTCAGAAGTGAATGCATCTTGAATCTTTATCCTTGGACATAATTTTGAAGATTTTACATGTTGCAAATGTGGCCCAGAATTAAACACTGTAAATTTTTCACTTTCAAATTGTAGCCATTGCTCCAATTTTTGAGATTTCTTACCTTGGTGCTGATTTCCAGCATTGAGTTCAGAAGAGAGTTTTGCAACCTGCAATTCTGAGCCATCATTGTTCTCTGTGTAGTTTACTATTGGAAGGTTTATAGACTCAGCTTTCATGTCTTGCAAATTGGTGCTTGGGTTGAATTCCATAGATTTCATATATTCATCATTTATTTGTGGTGTCAACATAGACAGTTTCCTATTTCGTAATGGTGGGGCAGAGTTGGAACCTAAAGATTTTCTATCTTGTACCTTACTTAGAGTCAGTTGACAGTATTTCACATCTTGCTGCAGTAACTGAGGCATTTTAATTCCCACAGATTTCTCTTTTTGAAGCTTTGTCTCTGGGATTATGTCAGATTTCACACCCTGCAAGTATGGTATGGAACCAAACCCTATAGATTTTGTATCCTTAAAGTCTGTCTCTGAGATCAGCTTAGAATATTTCATATCTTGTAAATAGGAGTCTGAGTTGAATTTTGCAGATTCCTCACCTTCGAGATTTGTCTTTGGTAATAAAACTGATGTTACACCTTGTAACTTTGGGCCACAGTTGAATTCTACAGAGTTCACATCTTGAATATTTGTCCTTTGAGCCAACTCAGAAGATTCTTGGCTTTGAATCTGTGGTCCAGAGTTGAAGTCCACTATCTTTACACCTTGATGTTTGATCTCTGGTGCCACTTCAACAGATTTTACACTTTTAAAGTGTTGTCCAGATTTCATACCTGAAAACTCTCTCCCCAGGGTCAAGTCAGATTCTTCATCTGATAACTTTGGACTAGAGTTGATTTCTGCACATTTCACACCTTGAAGCGTCTCACCTAGGATCATTTTAGAAGATTTCACACCTTGTGTGTATGGTTTGGAACTGAAATTCATAGATTCTGTATCTTGAAGCTTTATACCCGTGATCAACTTAGAAGATTTCACATCTTGCAACTGTGGGCCTGAGTCAAATTCTGTCAGTTTTGTTTCTTGAAGTTTTGTCCTAGGTATTGACTCAGAAGATTTTATATCTTGCGTCTGTGGCTGAGGTTTGAAATCTGTAGGTTTGACACCTTGAATCTTGTTTTCCATGGTCAAATCAGAAAGTGGCATACCTTTCACCTGTGAGCAGGAGCTTAACTGAATACATTTTATATATTCAGAGTTTGCCTCAGGTGTCAACTTAGAACATACTGGACTTTGCCACTGGGACCCAGAGTCGAACTTCTTGGACTTCATACTTTGAGGTTCTGTCTGAAGAGCCAATTCAGATGACTTCATACTTTTCAAGCCTAGTAGTGTGTTCAGGTCTACAATTTCACCATTTTGTAATAGTGGCCTTTGACTTAATAGCCTAGATTTCACTTCTTGAAGCTGTGGCTGTTGCATAAACACTAGAGACTTCATACCTTGAAGCTGTGTTCCTGGGGATGACTCTAAATGTTTCATTTGCAGCTGCAGTCCTGGCATAAACTCAGCAGATTTCACATTTTGTAAATGAAGCTGTGATTTGAATACCATGGATTTTACATCACAGAGCTTTGACCTTGAAGTTGGGTCAAGTGATTTCATACTTCTACACTCTGGTCCAGATTTTATAACTTGGAAGTCTGGTCCTGGTATCCTCTCAATAGACTTCATGCTTCCAAGTTGTGGCCCTTGGTAGGTTTCTGCAGATTTTCTTCCTTGGAGCTGAGGCTCTGGGGTTAATCTAAAATTTTCCCTTTTTTGTAGCTCTGACCCTGGAAACAACTCAGGGGTTTCCCCACACTGTACCTGCTGTACATCCAATTCTATAGATTTTGTACCTTGAACCTTTGGCCCTCGAGACAATTCAGATGACTTCAGACCTCCTGAGTATGTCAAAGATTTCAGCTCTGTAGGTTTGACACCTTGAGATTGTGTCTTCAGATTTAATCCTTGGAACTCAGGGCCTGGTATCCACTGCAAAGATTTCATATTTCCAAGTTGTGGTTCTTTGTTTAATTCCACAGTTTTCCCACCACCTATTGGTGGCTCTGAGTTTGATTCAAATGTTTTCTGGTTTTGTAGCCTTTTTCCTTGGGACCATTTAAAGGTCTTCACACTCTGTAACTGTGATTTAGGATTAAATTCTGTAGATTTTGGTCCTTGAAGTTTAGGCCCTAGAGTCAATTCAGATGACTTCATACTTCTTGACTGGATGGCAGATTTTAATTCTGTAGGGTTAATACCTTGAGATTTTGATCTGAGACTCAACCCTACAGAGGTTGCATGTTCGGACTTAGGTCTCGATAGCCACTGAATAGTTTTCATATTTCTAATCGGTTGCTCTTTTTTTAGCTCCACAGATTTTCTGTCTTGAAGCTGTGGTCGTGGGGTCAATTTGGAAGATATCCTACTTTGCAATTGGGCTTCATATTTGAGTGCTTTAGCTTTTACATTTTGTTCTGGAGTCAATTCAAACAATGCCAGGTCTTTCAACTGTGTCTTATTGAAGGGTACAGACTTTATATCCTTACATTTTGGCTCTGGAACTAACTCCAAAGACATTCTACTGTCTGAATGAAATCCTCTCTTCAGTTGTTCTAAATTTACATTTTTCCAACCTGGTAAGTTTACAAATACCTGACTATCCTGTCCAGGATCAAGAGTTAAACTAACTGGTGTCACCCCTTGAAATCGCTTTGGGTCTAAATCCGTGGATTTTACTCCTTGAAACTCTTGTCTTCTGGTTACATTCACAGATTTTGCCTCCTGTCCCTTTAGCCTTGAGGCAAACCTCACAGATTTTTCACATTGCAGCTGTGGATCTGGAGTATCCTCTACAGATTTTATATTTTGCAGCTTAGTAAATGGAGTAATGGACATAAGTGTCATATCTTGCATTTGTGGCTCTGAAATCAGTTCCTCAGATTTTATACTCTGTATTTGAGGCCTTTGAAGAATCTCCATTGGTTTAACAACTTGAAGCAATGGATCTGGTGGAAAAGCAATGGAATCCTTGCCTTGTCCAAATTTCAGTTCCATAACTCTCAAATTTTGATCCTTTGTACTTGGGACTAACTCAATTCCCAAATCTTTAATTCTTGAACCTGGAGTCACCTCCACAGATTTTGCATCTTCTAGCTGGAGATTACAGGTTAAGTCCATAGATTTCAGACCTTTTAGACATGGTCCTAGAGTTAAAATCACAGATTTCTTATCTTTCAACTGTGATCTTAAAGGCATCAACTCTGATTTTAAGCCTTGAAACTCTGAACCAGGGGCCAGCTCCTCAGCCTTCATGCTTCCTGACTGTGGCACTCGGCTTAACACCATAGATTTGACTTCTAGGTTTGGCTTTGGTGTTGACTCCACAGGTTTTGTATCTTCTGGCTGTGGTTCTGAGATCAGCTTCTGAGATTTTAAACCTCGAGGCCTTGAGACTGTGGTCTGATCCACAGGTTTTGTATCTTCTGGCTGTGGTTCTGAGATCAGCTTCTGAGATTTTAAACCTTGAGGCCTTGAGACTGTAGTCTGCTCCACAGGTTTTGTATCTTCTGGCTGTGGTTCTGAGATCAGCTTCTGAGATTTTAAATCTCGAGGCCTTGAGACTGTGGTCTGATCCACAGGTTTTGTATCTTCTGGCTGTGGTTCTGAGATCAGCTTCTGAGATTTTAAACCTTGAGGCCTTGAGACTGTGGTCTGATCCACAGGTTTTGTATCTTCTGGCTGTGGTTCTGAGATCAGCTTCTGAGATTTTAAACCTTGAGGCCTTGAGACTGTGGTCTGATCCACAGGTTTTGTATCTTCTGGCTGTGGCTTTGAGAGCACCTTCTGAGATTTTAAACCTCGAGGCCTTGAGACTATGGTCTGCTCCCCAGGTTTTGTATCTTCTGGCTGTGGCTCTTGGGGCAATTCAGAATATTTCATACTTTGTGGGGGCCCTGAGATTAAATCTGCAGCTTTTTCTCCTTGAACTGACCTTGGAGATAATGTTGAAAATCTGACACTTTGCAACTGTGGCCCTGGAGTCAATCCAGATTTGACATTTGATTGCTCTGGGTGTAAATTTAAATCCACAGATTTAAGTTCTATAGTCAATTCTTCCAATAAAACACTTTGTAATGTTGCCTCTGCTTTTGGTTTTTTAGGTTCTACCTCTTCCGTCCTTAATTGTGGGATTGAATTCACACATTTTGCATCTTGCAAATGTGGTTCTGGATCAGTCTTCCTAGATTTTCCTTTCTGAAGCTGTGGCCCAGAGGTCAAGGCAATGAAGTCTGGTTTTGGCACTGTAATTAATTCTGTAGCTTTTACTACTAATGGGGATGACCCAGCAGTTAAATCAACAGATTTCAAGTTTTGCAGTAATGAACCTAATTTCTCATGTTGTGTCACTGGCCCTAGAGTCAACTCCAGAGAGCCAGTTTCTGAATGTGGTTTTTGGATAGCCTCATGGGTCTTATCAACTTGAGGAAATGATAACTGTACAGTTTCTGTGTCTTTAGTGTCTGACTTTAGGGGTCCCTTCAACAATGTGGTAACTTTTGAACATGGCTCTACCTTTGGATGAACAAAGATCATGCCTTGGGGCTGCGACTCGAGGGTCAATACTCCTGATTTTACACTTTGTACCTCTGATCCAGGTATTAAGCCCAGAGATTGTTTTACTGTGTGTTGTGATTCTGGAGTCAACCCTATCGCTCTTACAGATGAGAGCACAGTCCCAGTAGTGTCTTGGAGTAATGATGGGCTCATTTTTATAGATTCTGAAGTTTGGCTTAATGAAACTGCAGTAATTCCTAAAGATGACTGTGTCAACTCATCAGATGCTTCCACTTGGTGACAAGTATCAGGGGTCAATTTTGCAACTGTTTCTTGAAGTCCTAAATCTGAGGTCATCCCTAAAGATTCTGAGGCTTGCTTCTGTGGGGTCAGTCCTTCAGGTTCTGTGGCATGGTGATATTGATCAGGGTTCAGTTCTTTATATTTGACTGGCTCAAGGTGTGTGCCTAGGGCCGATTCCCCAAATTTCATGCTTTGCACTTGTTTCTCAGGAGTTAACCTCCTACATTCTATCCTTTGAGGAGTTTTTGTCTCTTTAAGCAATGGTACTAAGTCTACCTCTCCCAAGCTGGTATTTTGTAACCATGACTTTGAGGCCAATTCCACAGATTTTGATTCTTCCAGTGGTGATTTAAAGGTCAGTTCTACCGTTTTTATATGTTGACACTCTGGTGGCAGAGCCAAACGAAGACACTGTAGACCTTGAAACTGTGAACTGGGGATCGAATCTGTAGATTTTCTACTTTGCAGCTGTGGTATAGGTGCCAACCCCTCAGATTTTACACTCTGCTGTTGAAATTCTGGGGCCAAGTCTATAGATTTCATACGTGGGATTGGTTGTTCATAATTTACCATTTGAGGGTCTAAACCTGTGATTGTGTCTACAGATTTCATATTTTGCAACTCTGGTCCCACAGTCAGATTTTTAGATTTTACATTTTGCAGTCCTGGGGATAATTTTGTAGAATCTGTCAACTTAAATTGTAGTATTGGCTCCACTCCCACGTATTTCACACCTTGAAGCAGAGATGTAGTAGTCCTTACTGCAGATTGTGTAACCTGATGCAGAGGCTTTTGGCATATTCCTGTAGATTCTGTATCTTGACCTACCTGGTCTTGACCTGAGATTGTCTCCAATGGTTCCATTATTTGATGGTGTGATTGTGTCAACTGTACAGATTTCTTCACTTGTAGCCCTGTGTCAGAGGTCAACCCCACAGTTTCTGTCACTTTATGACTTTGCTTTGAGTGTACCATTGAGTATTCTGGGATTTGATGAGGCAGTCCTGAAGCTAATGACACAGACTCTGTGCCTTGATGATACGATGGAGCCAAACCTAGAGGGTCTCGCATTTCAGTCTTTAATCCAGAAGTCAATCCCAGAGATTCTTTGCCTAGAGATATTGACTGAGGACTCAAACCCTCAGATTTTACAATTTTTGACTGTGATTCTGTGATCAGAACCAAGGGTGAAGCCAGCACTGCTGAGTTTATGTTTAGGGGAATGGGTTGCCATGATGGTGTCAGAATCTTCCGTGTTGGTTCCATCACTTTGGGTGGTGACTCTGGAGGTAAACTCACAGATTGTACAACCAGAGGAGCAATAGCAATAGGAAGATCACTAGGGGGAGAAGTCAAACCATCTGGTTGAGTTGGCTTTGAGGTCAAATTTGCAACTTGAGACGGTATACCTTGGCTCAAAGCCCCAGATCCTATCTCATGTGACTGTACTGGTGGAATCTCCCTGAAACTTTTGGTTTGTGATAGTGCCACTGGGGTTATTTTCATGTGCTCAGTGACCTGATGTAATGGTGTTGAGATCATTTTCACTGATTCTGTGTTTTGATGTATTAGGTCTATAGTAAGCTTTACTTGTTCCATGGACTGACTTTGTGACCTTGAAGTCATATTCACTGATTCCATGACATTGTGCTTTGGCCCTGGGGCCATTTCTACAGTTCCCGTGACTGTGTGTTGTGGCATCATTGTGTCCAACAATGTCTTCATCTTCACAGACTCCATGGCTTGACATGGTGGCCTTGGGGTCATTCTTACTGGTTCTGTGATACATGGATGTGATTCATTAGTCTTTCTCTTAGAATCCATGACTTGAAGCATTGCTGTGGGAGTTGTCTTCACATTATCTATGTCTTGTTTCAGTCTTGAACCCATCCTGTTTGGTTGTACAACTCGTTGCTGAGTCTTTTCGGTTATCTCCACTGATTCAGTTACTTGTTTTGGTAGTTTGAGAGTTTTATGTGCTGTTTCCATGATTTCCACTGGCTTTACAATTTGATTTGGGACCAAATCCACGGATTCTGTCATTTCTGGAGGTGCTTCTGGGATCATCCCCATTGAATCCATGACCTGAAGCAATGCCAGTGGAGTTATCTTTATGTTCTCTGTGCCTTTATAAGGAAGCCCTGATGTCAGCTCCATATTAGCTGCTTGTGTATTATGCTGCTCAATTCTTGTTTCTGAAAGACCTATGGAGCTCTGCTCTGTACTAAGGTGTAGTACATGTTTTGAGCCCTTCGGTGAAGCAGTTTCTTCTTGAGTTATGTTAACTCCTAAATGTCTGGGAGGTGGAATGCCCACTGATGGAACCAAGGGTTTGGATCTGAGGATTTTGGGGTCATTTCCGTATTGTAATTGCTCCCTTGAAGTAAGTGTGTGTGAAATTTTTGTTTCTGTCCTCTTCAATCCAGATTCTATTCCTGTATCCACATGAAGCTGAAATGCTGGATGGTCTGGGGATTTATTGCTGATATTTTGCTCAGTGTTTTGATGAATGAGTGTTGATAACTGGGTTTGGGGGTCCTCTAGTTCAGAGACTTCTCCTGATACCTTAATCAAGTAATTCAGCATTGCCCAAGATTTTTTCGCAGGCACAGGCACTGATTGTTCCTGCAAAGTACGAACCTTTCTAGACATATGTCCTTCCAGCTTCCCTTTGGACAAAAGAGAGAGCTGGGACAGAGCCCACTCTGGGAGGCGTGGTCTTTCACTCAGAACAGAAGTTGTCCCATGATCCACTACCAAAAGATTCCTGTGCCTTCTCTTATTTTTTGTTTTCTCTTCTTGTGTGCAGGCATTTAGGGGTTCAAACATAGAGTCAGTAAAATAATTTTGTGGTGGTAAGTGTGAAAGGGCTTCCAAATTCTGAAGTAGCTCTGGTTCTTCAGGCTCTAACAACTGAAAAGGTGGCAGGGATGTGCTTTGGTTCCTTAACACAGACGACTGCTTTCTGCAGGAAGCAGGCAAACGATTGCTCTGGACTTGCCAACGCGTCCCTTCAAAGAGGGCAGGAAGGTAAGACAGGCCGGATCTATTGCTGGATGACCCAGAGGAGATGCTGTGGTTGCTGGAATATGTTGCCTTCTCACAGACGTAACAGGATGGATCAGCTTCCTGAGCCTCAAGGAGAGAGGTGGTGGAAGAAGTCTCATCCTGTGGTTCAGATAAATGCAGTTCCATAAGACATAATCTAAGAAAGAAAAGAGAAAAGTTTCCATTTGTTTTGAAGTCAGAACAAAGAACAAACAAACAAACAGGAAATGGAAAGAACATGTCCTTTTCAAATGTAAAAACTTTTGGCCTGAGGGAGAATTGGAAAAGAAAAAAGTTACTTTCTGGTCATCAAATAATGATGCAGAAAGTCCCCTCACTGGGCAAAGGTAGGCAACTATTCCTGAAATGATTCTTTGACCCACTTGAACTCAGGACTTCCTCTACTATCACCTCAGCCAGCCACAGTGACACAACACCTGTAACTGCAGCACTCTGTGAAGCTGAGGCCTGAGAATTGCGAATTTGAGCCCAACCTTGGGCAATTTAGCAATTTAGTGAAAACTTGCCTCAAAATAAAAAAAATTTTAGAGCCAGGCATGGTGATGCATGCCTGTAATCCCAGCATTTAGGAGGCTGACTTCAAATTCAAGGCCAGCCTGGGTTACACAATGAGACCAACGCCAGCCTGAACTATACAGTGGGACTCTGCATCAAAAAACAGAACAAAAGAAAAAAATTAAAATTACCTAAAAGGGCTGGGGATGTAGCCTAGTGCAAAGGTTCTCAGTTCAATCCCCAAAGTCAAGAAAACAAAACAAAAAAGCTTTCCCCCTTTGCCTTCTCCTCTTAAATGCTCTACAATCCTCCTCCCAGAAACTATGTTCTCCAACCTTGCACTTTCCAGTTGTTCGATGATCTGCTGAAGACTCCTGTCCATTGACCAGAGCATACGTTCCTGGGCCCAGTTCACAGGGAATCCTAAAATACTGGATGCAACAGAATAGGTCAGTGTAATTTAAGGGGTACCAAAGTATCAGTAAGCAAACCACAAGAGAAGAGAGTTAACTTAGAAAAGAGACAACTATCATAATGAGGGAAGAGGACCATCTGTTTTACTGCTAACTTTTACAGTTAGCAGGGTTTGTCAGTAGGACAGGCTGGAGACAAACTTTACTTACTGTGTTAGGTTATCTTCACTGCATTTTGTCCTGAGGCTTTCTTCTGACTCTGAGACTAAGAATCCAGATGAAGAATCTATTAGCATTGTGAATATTATTGACATCAACCAGCACAATCTTCTCATTTTGCACACAAGGAAACAAAGATGAAGTCATGCCCAAAATCATAAAGCTAATTAGTGGTAGCATTCAGTTCTCAAGTTTAAAAAATAATGATTATGTGGTTTGCATCATATAGTAGATGTCAGCCCTGTGTGGACCAGAAATGATCACGGACATGAGGTTGGAGTGGGGAGAACAGAGGTCCTGATACATTTCCTTCAGAGGAGGAAAGGAAAGAAAAGACACCAAAGCTTCCCTTACCAAACTTTTAGTAGTTAATCTTTGTCTATTCTCGTATCTTACCAGATTCTTCCCCTTACTTTGGTCTTTGCATTAAAATTGAAGAAAAGGACCAGAGAATTAGCTCAGCAGCGCAAGTGCCTGCTTGGCAAATGCAAGGTCTTGAATTCAATCCCTGGTAAACTGCCCCCCCCCAAAAAAAAGAAAAGAAAAAATTGAAGGAAAGAGAAACCTCAAATAATACAATCATGGAAACATCTCTTTGGAAGCACAGGTGCTAGAAAAAACAGGCACATGGAGCATCATGGTATAGGCCTATAGTCCCACACACAGGAGGGATGAGCCAGGAGGATTGCCACAAGTTCAAGACGAGCCTGGGTTACATGGTGAGACTGTCTCAAAAATGAAAGAATAGTCATGCTTCTCCCATTTACATCCTCTTTTTCAACCTCCCTCCACCTGCTATTCTTTTTTTACTTCTTGTTTCTCTTCCATCTCTTTCTTTCCTTCTCCCTCCTTCCTCCTTCTCCTTCCCATATGAACATTTTTCCACCTGCTATTTAAGGCTAGAATTCTAAAGCACATGGACAGCTGATCAGTCATTAGCCTTGAACCACAGAGTAAAGGATAAGATTTTCTGACCTGAGCCTTTCTGGATCTTTTTCAATTTATGTTGCTGTGAAGTCTAGAAAAGCACAAAGAGAAAACATAAAATCAGATTATTGTATTAGCTTTATATTTCTGGGGCAAAATACTTCATTCATACAGCTTAAAGGAGACAGAGCTTAGCTCGGCTCACAGATTCAGAGAGTTCAGTCCATGACAGGCTGACCCGGAGGCAGGAACATCATTGCACAGGGGATGGCAGAGGAAGGTTGCTCACCTCATGGCAGCCAAGAAGCAGAGCAAGCAAGGAAGAGCCAAAGACAAAGGGGCAGAGACCAGATACAGTCCCCAGCGTCACCCCTTCATGACCCACCAGACACACGGGCTAGTGTGTGTTACTCATCTCCTAGGCATCTCTAGGCCCAGTCAAGTTGACAGTCAAGATTAACCACCAGTCATGTTCTAGGTTACCAACTTATTAACAGCATATCTCGTAAAAAAACAGTGAAACAGCTGATATTTATAACCACATCATTAATTACCACACATTCACTGATTTATGACTTACCGTGTACTAATTTCTAGGTATTATGTGGGGTGCTGAGACTACTATGATTCCTGTACCACAGGCCCTTACCCTAATCAGGAACCATTGTCTAAACAGGTTAAGTTAAAATACCACATGGTAAAAGCTGTCACACAAGTACTTGCCACCCTAGGCTACATAGCAAGCTCAAGGTCAGCCAGGGATACATAGAAAGACCTTGACTTAATTTTTTTTTAATTAACGAAATGAAAGGGACCAGGGATATAGCTCAGTGGTGTAGTACCTGTCTGGCAAGTGCAAGGTTCTGAGTTTGAGTGCGAATACTAAAACTAAATAAAGTCACTTTTCAGTTGTAAAAAGTTATTTAAAGCAGTGGATGAAGGAAAAGGAGAATGGAAGAGAGAAAGATAAATATTAGGGAATTCAGAGGATAGTAATTCCATTAACTTCCTAAGGGAGAAGGGAAGAATTAATAAATTGCCACTTTTTTTTACTGAATTTTGAAGGGTCTGCATAGTTTTAGGTGAAAAAGAACATTGTAGGCCAGGGTGTTACTGAGATCAGTGGGTTCTGATTGTCAGGTACATTTTTGCTAAATAATTGTGGAGATAAGGTTTAAAAGGGAGGCAAAAGCAAGACTGTACCTAACGGTATAATTTAAATTTATTCTGTGGATCAGAATTTCCCAAAAACAGTTAATAAATTCCTGAGGTTTTTGAAAGGGTGGCTCCAGGTCATTTTAAAGGCATTAATGACATTTGTTACCATTTCAATAAAACAAATATTTATATTCTCTTTGAATCAGGACATCAGTCTCTGAGAAGATGTCAAAAAAATGTAGACAGTGAGACTTCATGAATATACTCATGATTCAGTAAACTCATTCACCACTCACTGAATACCCCATGACAATGGCAGATTTGATGTTTCGATACTTCTCAATTGATTTTACGCTGTCACATATGATTTAATAATTAGTGTCAATAATGGAGCATTGATTAAGAACCAAAAGGAAAAATGATGTTGAAATATAAATTAATAGGCTTACAAATGATCTTTCTATACGTTTATCTCAAAACGATCTAAAACATTTGCATCACAAAACACCTGGTATTGTAGTCAGGGATTGCAAGAAGAACAAGACAAGATACATGATTTATAGTATTATTTATAATGGTCACCCAAGGAATCAAATACATTGAGTGCGGGAAATCTGTCCACACACTAAAGACCTAGAAAATCCAGGGCCTGGATTCCATGGCAATGTCCTGCATGAGTTCAGCTGAAAACCTAGAGCCCACAACAATGATTCATGCAAGTCTGTTTTATCGATCTGCCCTGGGAAGGCCCAAAACGGTGATGGATCTGTGCCAGTAGGTTGAAGGTTCTTCAGTGGAGCCAAGAAGCGATGATCAAAATAAGGACCAGGGAGCCAGCAATTTAGCTCAGTGGCATAAGTGCCTGCCTTGTAAGCGCAAGGTCATGAGTTCAATCCCTGGTACCAAAAAAAAAAAAAAAAAAAGAAAAGAAAAGAAGGACCAGGGCTCCCCGGAAAAGTATCCCAGCCATCCTTAACGACAACAAGGTCCCAAGCACCTCCAACAATGATAACAGCCAGGTTCATATTAGGAAGCCACAGTGACAAGCATACATCTTCCCTTCCGGAGCCAGGAAGTGACGCTCCAAGTAAGGATCAGAGCTCCCCCAGCGTGAACCGCAGCCATTCTAAGCAACAAGGTCCCGAGCTCCTCTGACGATGACTGATGCCAGCTGAGTTCACATCAGGGAAACCAGCATGATGAGCTCCTCCAGGAGAACCAACAGCTCCAAACAACAGCAACACTTAGGAAACCCAGGAAACTCTCCAGGTCTCCTTTTTACGCTTTCCTCAGGCGGGCCATCTACACTCAGCACTACACTGATTTAGGTCAGCTGGTATTTAAGTTGAACAACAGTTTTTAATTCTCCACCCTGAAAATGCTGAATAAACTGCCACATCCTTTAAAATGCAGAATTTAGCTGTCATGAAAATGAACAAAAAATCAGGGTGAAAGCAATGTAGAGAGAACTCTTCCAAAGGATACTAGAAGGCTACTAAGATAACAGGATTTACACACATCTCAAGCTGCAGCCTAGGAATGTGGACTTTGGTGACCTCTACTCGTTGACTGCAGGTATCTGGAAAAAACATGACGAGACAATTACACTGTACCAGAGACTCAAAATACAGGCCAAGAAGTTACCAGATTTGTGAAGAGGGTGATGACCCATCCCCATAATCCCAGAGCCACAGAAGCTGAAGCAGGAAGATCACCATAAATTTGAAGCCAGCCTGTGCTACTCTGTGAGTTCAAGACCAGCCTGAACTGATTAGTGAAATCATCTCAAAAAGACAAAAAAACAAAACAAAACCTTTCCTATTACCACAACCTTCTTCACTATACCCATAATTTACTATGGCACATGTACTACTATTAAAATCCTGTTAGTCCCAAATAATTATTATTCTTTAGAGACACTTTCTGTGATGGTTACTTAGATTCACAGTGGCCAGGAAAAAAGTCTGCCTACCAGACAAGGATGTTTGAGCTCTGTGTGTAAAAAATAACTTCTCTTGAGAATTTTAATTATGAGTACATCCTCCTACTGGTTTGGAGTTTTAATTTGTACTCTGTACCAAGAAACTAAAATTAAAACAAAAATTAATCTTGTAAAATAACAAAGAAGTACAAGAATAAAGAGAATATGTTTTGAATAACTATATGTGAAAAAGCAGATAAAACAGTTAAGACATTTTTTTCTTTTTTGTGAGATAAGGTCTCATTGCATAGTTGAGGCTGGTCTTGAACTCACTATGCAGCCCAGGCTGGCCTTGAACTTGCAGCAGTCGTCTTGCCCCAGCCTCCTGAGTGCTAGAATTACAGGAGTGTGCCATCTTGCCCAGCAAAACAGTTGAATTCATATAAAAAATATAAAATACCAAAATTGGGCAGGAGCTAGGAATATACCTCAGTGGCACAGTGTCTGCCTGGCAAGTGCAAGGCCCTGAGTTTGATTACTGGCCCAAAACAAAGTTGGGCAAAAAAAAAAAAATAGATAATTTTAGTAAACCAATAAGCATGAAAGTAATTGGAATGGTAAAGACACTCGTCAATCAACATATCAGAGTTCAGCAAGATTTCTGAATACCTGTTGTATTCAGGGGTTGTACACAGAGAACAATTACAATCAAGGCATGGAGTTTATACTATTTTTATAATGGTCACCGGAAGTTAACACAGGAAAATGCAGGAAATCTATCCGCACCACCAAAGACACAGATTATTCAGTCAAGAGCCTAAACCCGATGGCAATGTCCATGAGTCCAGATAAAAACCCAGAGCTCAGGACAATGCCTCCCATGAGTCCAACTGGAGGTCCAGAGCCCACAAGAAGGACTCATGCCAGTCTCTTTTACGGATCGGTGCTGGGAAGACCCCAGGGTCAGCGGTGGAAGCCAGAAAGTCTATGCCAGCAGGATGAAGGAGCTGTGCTGGTGGAATGAGGGTTCTACACTGGAGATGAGAAGTCACACTCACAGCAAAGACCAGGGCTGTCCTGAAAGTCACCACAGACATCCTCAGTGACACGGAGGCCCCAAGCTCCTCCGACAACAAGCACAGTCGAGTATATGCCAGGAAGCAGCGTGACGAGTTCATCCTGGAGACCAAGCAGCACATCTCTTCCCCTCTGGAGCCAGGAAGCAATGCTTGATGTGAGGACCAAAGCTTCTCCAGAATCAACAGCTCAGACAGCAACTTGTAGGAGAACACACAATGCCTCCTTAACACCTCAACCCTCAATACTTCCCTTCTCCACCTATTTATCCTGGCAACTTTCCTCAGGTGGAGCATCTTCACCCAATGCCATGCTGATGTAATCCAGCTGGAGTTAAGTTGACCACCAGTTCTTAATCCATAACAATACCTGAACAATTTACAAATAGCATTAGCATTTCTCTACTATAACAAAAAGTATAAAGATAAAATTGAAGATAGCACAACATATTATTCATAAATAGAAATAACATGAAAAATTTGCCATCATGCCTAAGCACAAGAAACTTTAGGAAAGACTTTTGGGAGAACATGGTGGACAGATAGCAGCAGCTACGGAGGCTCTCTGAGAGACCCAGCTTAGAATCCAGGAATGGTGCAGAGTGACGAGTCCTAAGCAAGAGGAGATATATCCTGCTGACCCAAGAATGAACTGGACTGAGAGAAACCGACTGGGAATGCAATCCTGGTGCTATAACAGAAACAGATAAAGCCTCAGTGTGAAAACTGGAGCCCGGGCCATTGGAAGCCAAGATTTGGGTTTCCTGCTGCCGCTGCTGCATCTGAATCAGCTCGGCAGGGAGAGAGACATGCGAAAGCTCTGAAAAATAGGAATTGGTGAACAGAGTTGAGAGCGGGATGGGCAGGGAGCCGTGCATCGACCTGTGGTGAGAGAAGGAAACAGGGATTCTTCTATGGTCTAGGAGGCTCCAACAG